GGGATGGATACTTAAGAGGATATTTAAGGGCAAAAGCCTTTTTTTAATGCGTAACACCAGGTGTGTCCATGGGCAGGAGAGGGGTCAAATAATCAAGATGGCAGATGTGGCTGCACTATCAAAACCTCATCTTTTTAAGCAAAGCAAAGCAGAATTTCAATCACAAGGCCATAACCACCATCTAGACTTTTTTCATCCTTCCTGCAGGTGCCCCTTACAGCTCAGTAGGGTTAGTCTAGAGCAGGGGTGTCAAACTGCTGGCCCACAGGCCGGTTTCATCATACTGGAGCCGCGCCCACCCCATTGCCGGCAATGGCGAAAAAGCTCCAATACGTCATGAGATGCCACGTGACGTCGCGAATTTGACATGCCTGGTCTAGAGCAATGATTTTTATTGTAAAATAAAGCAAGGTAATATAACAAACCACAAGCGTAACAGATGCCTTTGCTAGAAAGTGTAATAATTAAAATAAATTGCATACCATTCTAATGTGTTTATTAAATTAATCATGGTAATTGGAGGACATTATGAGTTCTATTCAATAGGCCATAGTTTCCCAGATAATATATGAAGATAACGATCCTTATTCCTTTTTAATTTATGAAGATATCATATTCCTTTTTAATTTATGAAGATATCACACAGTTTGTTTTTTTAATATATGTCATTTTCTGAGCAGGGTGCATGCTTCCTGACATGTTTGTTTTGTTGAGTTAACAGCAACTGAAATTTCATTTAACCATAATTGTCTTATTCTAATTTCCTTCATCTGATAACACTAGAAAATTAATCTCATCTAGCACTGGCATGCATGCAAGCATCTCGAGTGTTCAATTTGCTGAGAAAAATCTCAGCTCTGGCTTCCTCCTCTTTGATACAATTCTTCATTTTCTTGCTGATAGCCAACAGGCTAGATTCACCTATCACCTCTAAGCCATGATATGGCTTCTTTAGTTTTGGTTTAACAAAACATTTGTAAATCATGATTTATGTCTTTGCATGATTATGGTTCAATCATATGTTCTTTACTCAGTCAACTGCTAAAGCAAACTATGGCTGTTCTGCAGGACAGTAGATGGGTCAGCTGGCTTCTATTGGTCAGTATCCAGCATGCTACTCTACCTGTATGGATGCTGCTTCCAAATTAGAGTCAAACTGTGTTTTCTGAATGTATTGCTAAAGACATTTGTTTTCCTTATTCAGAAGCAAGCAGAGCATATGTAAAAAAGAGACATACGTCTTTGTCTCCTTTCAAATTGTGGTCATGATCTTTGATCAGGAGCATCACTTTGAACAACAGTGGAGAACAAAGAGTTAAATCACTCCTAAATTAGACCCTTCAGTGCCATTTATACTTACACCAGGATATAATAAACCAGCCTGTTTAATATAAACAAGCCTGTGGTTAAAAAGAGTTACTAAGCTTTCGTCCGGCCAAAAAACTGCCAGCGTCATCAGAGTTAGAATAGCAAGAGATTGGGAAGGCAGCTCATATAGCCTCCTGCCTCTGCACCCGGCTCCTTGAGCGCATCATCGGACCGTTGATTGTGTTAATCCTTATCACACCAGGTTGTTCCGCATCAGGCAAACTGTCTTTGACTCCACTGGTTGTTTTACGATCCTCAAGTGCTCTTTTTGAGTGTGTGCAATCCATCCCTGTGCCCAGTCCCCCTCCCCCTCCCTCCCAGGGCCATTATCCTCCCCCACCCCCAAGGCCATTGTCGTAATTCCTCCACCCCAGTCCTGCAACAAGCAGCTGTTCTGGCATTCCTGCTCTCTATCTTCCCTCTCCCTCCCCCTCCTTCCAGATCGCCTCAGCGCTTCCATCCCTGGCTTAAGGCCATTTGGTCCATCATCTCGGTCCATGGGAGTCGTGGTCGTCCCATCTATAGAGCCATCATCCCAATTATGTAAAACGCTGTCATCTTCTTCCTTGGAGATCGTGCCTGTCTCATCCATCATTCTACCACCCCAATCCTGCCAAGAAAGAGTTAAATGTCTTCTCAGAAGGCTGTGGTGCTGTTGTTCCCATCTCCTAAGCATCTGGTAGGCCAGCATAAGGTCTATATGCCGGTTGATGGAATTTTCATTAGAGAGCCAGGCTTCCTTAAGTAGGCGGCCACCCTTGGTAGTCTCACGAGCTATAACCTCTGCGTTAGCTAGATCAAAAGTGTGGCCAGAGCTGGACATATGGGCTCACACTTGTGAGTGTTGCTCCTGCCTTCTAATAGCAAGTTCATGCTCATGAACCCTGGTCCTCAGTCTTTTAGTGGTTTCCCCAATGTAATTGCTTGCACAGTCCTTGCAATTAATTCTGTAAACCAGAACCATTAGGGAGCGGTTCTTTTGGATGCATGACCTTGGACCTAAGAGTGTGCTCGGGCCTATGGGCAACACTCACATTGTAGGGGACCAACAGCCGTGCTGTGGCCTCAGAGACACCATGAATGTAAGGGAGGGTTGTTCGTGTGGCTAGCATTGCTGTCACATTGGAGCATGTGTCTCTATGATTTCGATGTGTTCTACTATAACATCTCACAAACCCCATGGGATAGCCATTGCACATGAAGATGTGATGGGGATATTTTTTTCTCCTCAGCTTTAGCTCTGCCAGTGCTACAATGGGAATTAACCCGTTTAAACAATGTCCGGATGCAGCTGGTTTTATGTGCTACCGGGGGGTTGCTATTATAATGTAGCATTCTGTCTGTATGGGTGGGTTTGCGATATACAGACATGCACAATGTGCCATTGGGGCATTGGTTGATCAGTACATCCAGAAAGGCAAGACTGCCTTGGATCTCTTCTTCTGCGGTGAAGCAAATGTCTGGATATACTGAGTTCAGTTCCTCCAAGAATTTGGTGCTATCCTGTCTTTTGACAATCACAAAAGTATCATCTACATAGCGCGCCCAAAATTTTGGGCGGTACCTAGACATTACTATTGACTCTAGCCGCTGGAGAACCGCCTCAGCAATAATGCCTGAGATGGGGGATCCCATTGGTGTCCCTTTTATTTGTTCATATACCATGCCCCAAAAGGTGAAGTATGTCTTCAGGCATAGGGTTAGCAACTGTATTAGATCATTGGTATGGAGACAGTTATTATGTTGTTCAGGCCCCTCTTGTAGGAGGTCCCTTATTGCCATGACCGCCAGATCTTGGGGGATAGAGGTAAAGAGTGAGGTAACGTCAAATGATATCATTACCTCATCTTTCTCTATCCTTAGGGGGTTTACTCTCATTTTTAGTATTTTAAAAGACATAGCTTAGTTGGCTCAGGAATTCTGGGAGTTGAAGTCCACGAGTCATAAAAAAGCCAAGGTTGACTACCCCTGATCTAGAGGATGCTTTTGACGCCTGACAGTTTTTCAGAACCATTGATTAGCCTTCCCATTTCCTGGCAGTAGAAGATGGAATTTGTTTCCTGCTTTTTCACAAAACCACTTTGTATCTCAAAGAAAGTATGGCTCTTACAAATATCTGATTAGAGCTTCATAACATGGATGAGTATAAAGACACACAATTGTCTATAAGCTTTCCCTTGATTTCACTGAAGACATTTGAAACTTTTTTTTTCAGAACTGCTTATACAACTTCATAAGGTGAAATCTATTCATATAATTAACTTCAAAACTGGAGTTCAGTCTTAGGGAACAACCAGGAGGGCCTTTTTGTCTTCCTCAGAAACAACTATTTTTAAGTTCACAGATCCACTCAGGCCTACCAGATGTTTATGAATTTCTTCCCTGTCTATCAAAAAATGGAATTCTAATATTCCCAAGAAAAAAAGAAGCAGCTCCCCACGTGTTTTTATTTTTAATCATTTTCACATGTATCACTATTTTCCATATAGTCCACTGATCATATAGACCAGCCTTTTCCTATTTAGCATAGTCCAGATGTGCTGGGATTGTCACTCCCAGAATTTCCAGCCAGTGTGGACATGAAATACCTCAGGAAGATGCCACATCAGGGAAATTGAATTATAGTCTCTATACTAGTGCAATTGAAACTCAAATACTTTGGCCACCTAATGAGAAGAAAGGACTCACTGGAAAAGGGCCTAATGCTGGGAAAGATTGAGGGCAATAGAAGAAGGGGACGACAGAGAATGAGATGGCTGGATGGAGTCACTGAAGCAGTAGGTGTGAACTTAAATGGACTCCAGAAGATGGTAGAGGACAGGAAGACATGGAGGAACATTGTCCATGGGGTCGCAATGGGTCGGACACGACTTCGCAATTAACAACAACAACAATACTAGTGCAAACTTAAATTCAGATCCCCCTGCTCATGCTGTGGTTAGGTTCTTATATTGTGCTAAATTATCATGCTTTTATAGTTTATTGTGAACTTAGTGCGGTATGTGAACCAAGTCAAAACAATATCCAAATAACCTTGAATTTTTCAGCAACCTTCACATATAAAGCCTGTAATGGCTAAATCATTCTGTAATTATCCATTCCTTGATAAACTAAGCACAGATACTTGTGCCTAAATTTCCTATGTTTAAGCAATAGCTATAATTTATCCTATACTTGTTTTGGCAGCTCATTGCTGCTTAAATCTCAGGTTGCAAGTCACATCGCAATATGCCCTGTGCTCAGCATTTTTAATGATATTCTAAACTTACCACAAAGTTGTTCAATTCCCTGCCAATTCCCCATTAAATTTATTTTCAAATACTAACAAAAAGAATCCATTGTTTTACCTTTCACTGCACCTTCCTGTCTTCAAATCCACTTTCATTCAAATTAAGCAGAATTAATGCCACTAAATTGTTAAATATACCTAGCCAGCACCTTTTGTGTCCACATCTGCTCCTCTCCACTGGGAATTTTCTGTGGTATAGGAAGTATATAGAATATTGCTTAAATTCCCTGCATCGGAAAATAAGTTAAAATGGTCTTTGCCATTACTCTGAGGAAAGAGTCTAACAAAACTTTTAACTGTCATTTCAGGACACTCTTATTCCATTTGTATTTATCTTCTCTAGGCTACAGAGGACAAAAGGGTGAAAGAGGTGAGCCTGGAATTGGCTTGCCAGGTGATCCTGGCCCACCTGGTCCTACAGGTAAACAACAACCCTTCCTATTCTTGACAATACAACAGTTACATATTAAAAAAAAAAAAAACTAAATTGAGTTGCCCTGTAATGCATAACTTCTGAAATAAAATTCAATACTCACTGCTGGATGGCTGACTAAAATTAACAAGGCTAATTGCAGTTTCTTGTTTGTTTGTTTGTTTGTTTGTATGTATGTTTGTTTGTTTAGTTACCGGTATGCAAGGCCCACCTGGAGCTCCAGGAGAACCAGGTGTGCAGGGACTACCTGGCCATGCAGGAAGATGCAATCCAGAAGATTGCTATTACCAAGTTTCTCAAAGTCAGTCCCAAACAACTGGGAAATGAACACCTATTTTGGATATGTTTTAATTCCTCAGTTATCTTTTCCTCACTTCTTCCCCCATCTCCCCTAACAAATTCTGAAATTTCAGTTTTAAACTATTGGTGAATTTCTTTCTATGTATATTTTACAGATCATCTCAGTGGAACATTTCATCTCCAGATTAAGCCAATACTGAGATGTTGTTTTCTTGAGTTCATTCCATATGTTTATACGTTTAGTGTATTTTTCTTTAGCAAATTGTGCATCATGATGGCCTGTTGACTTCTTAATGGTATTTCAGTTTATGATTTTTTTTAAAAAAAAAGTGAGTTTCTTACTTTTACCTTTAGCACAGAAGCCATATTGCGTTTTCTTTTGCTGGATGTCTCCTTGCAGTTCCATCTATTAAATGATAAATATGATTTATAATACAGTAGAATTTTGAAGTTTTTCTAAAGATTTGGCTAAAAATCTAAATAGTGACTGGCATTTTCCTTGCTCCTGTCATTCTAATGCAATATGGTAAGATCTGCAAGATCTACATTTCTGAATGACCTAAAAGACTTTTGAGCAAGGTTATCATATTTAGCTGCAAATTTGGAACAACTGCAAGACAGTAGCAAAGTGATAACAGAAAACTCTAAGTCCAGCAATGCTCTAGGTATTGCAGATAAGATCTGGCTTTGTCGGATCTGAGTCTCTCTCCCATTAATTGTTACTCGGGGAGAAATGTCGTAAATTCAGACAGCACATAGTAAACTACAACTCAAGTTCTATACTCACATTATCGAAAGCTAGCTGTGAGCACGTTTTTTACATTTTCCTCCCTATAAGGAACTGCTTGTAGGGTTTTCCCTGCATATGGGAAAAAGAGCCTGATTATTAGAAGCTAGTTTAGTTCTCAGCGGGACTGCTGGTAATAACTTGTCCTAGTTAAAATATACATTTGTCAGTCAGCTATCCTACAGGGTCTTATATCTAGGTTGATGAATATAGTAATTATAATACTGTGCAAGTCCAATCATCTCCAATCTATAGTCCTGTCAATACCATTTGGTAAATTAGACCAAATAGCCACAAGAAGACTGGAAGGAATCTCACTTTGTTTTTTCATATAACTTCATTATTTTTTTAAAAAGAAAAAAAAATAGAAGTAGCTTTTGTTGAAGTTAGCTACAGCAACAGAACCTTTGGGTCTTCTTCAGCTCTATCTTCTCTTCCCTCCACCCCCACCAAATCAGGGAGACATCTGCTTAACCCACTTTTAAATATTATCTTGTTTTCCAGAACTTTTAAAAAATGTTTTAGCCACCTTTCCTTGCATAGTTCTACCAAGGTCATTTTTCTTATTCTCCACAAATCCTTCATCATGATGTTCCATTGCCTCCAGCCAACATGCTTTTTATAGACAGTGGAGTATTGTTCAGTACTATAGACCTAAAGAACAAAAGATTATGGAAGATTGCACAAATGTAATGTATTTTCAAGGTTTATTGTAATATAATCAGGACATTAGCTCAGATAAAATTCTGACAGACTCAACAGAGAATTTCTGCAGGTAGTTGTAGTTTGGAAAGAAGTATCTATCATCTTACATCCTGATCAGCGATATTTGTTGGGCTCCTCTTTTTTTATTGAACGGGTAAGAAAATCAGATGTTCAGAAGAACAGCTGAACATCAGCAATCCCACTCAGCTCATATATATTGACATAAGATAGGCTAGTTAGCAGTACACACAACTTTTCTCTGAAAAATTCAGGGATTGAAGCAGATTCCCATTTCATTTATCTTGAGGAGAAGATGATTGTATAAAGTGAAGTTAAATAAACAGAGATATACAGTAGCATTAGTTAATGAATAGCATTGGCATTTAGGACTAATGAAAACAATGGCCGTCCCCTGGATTAATTTCTATTTTAAGAAATTAACTGGACTTTTTAGCTCTTCCTGGAATAGATTTATCTATATCAAATCTATTTTTTTAAAAAAAGAAGAAGAAGAAGATGTAATTGAGAACCTATAGTGGGCAATTTGTTGGCAGCTGCAGCCCATAGTAGAGTAGATAGTGATATAATTTATTCTAAATGTGTTCTGAAGTTGTATCATTGTCCTGTTTTGATGGAACAAAAGGACATCTATATTTCAGTACTGTAAGATGGACTGCTGGATAGCTATAATGTTTGGCAGGATTTTGTTTTGAGATGTTAATCTTGTTTTATTTAAACATTTCTAGTGATTCCCAATTTAATTCAGATTTTCATTTTTTAAAAATTTAGAATTTATTTTATTTAAACCTTGCTATGAGAATAACTATAAGTGCTATATTTTGACAAGCTTCTGTAAAATGTCACATTTTGGAAATATATAGAGCAGCTGAGATTATATATAATATGACGCTTTGTGTATATTTTGACTTTTCACTGAGTGAAATAGAAATGATAAATTATTTAGCATTTTACATAAAAGTAAAAGTATAATACTTGAATTGATCAGAAAAACAATTTATATATTTTGGAAAAAATACATTCAATTCATATTGCTTTTATTTTTATTTGCCTGTGTTTGGTAATTATATTTCTTAGAAAAATCGTTTGTTCTGGATTTTATTAGGTGATTAGGATAAATGTAAGTTGTTTTTTTCTCTTGGTTTCCTTCCTGAGAAAGGAAACTGTTGAAGATATTGTGTAGTTTTTTACAAGAAGCAGGCCAAACTCAAAGATTGCTTAAAAACTTCCATGAATTGAAGTACATCAAGATTTCTGTTCTTATCCTTAAAATCTACATTTGTGTGTGTGTATGTCAAATTTCAGTTCATTTTCACATTTTGAAGAGTGTATTGCTCTTTAAACCCAGATAACCTAGTTTGTTTTTCTAGTGCCTTCGCATAGTTTTTAAATAATAAAAACTTTATTCTAATATTTTATTAAAATAAATTAGGTATTAGTCTGAGCAGCCTATTTGAACTATAGCTAGTGATATTTTGAGGCATGCATATTTTTATTGTTTGTGTGCCACACAGCAGGCAGCTGCAATAACTTTACATTTAAAAAAAATATTTTCTTTCTCTACCAGTAGAATCAATCATTTCTGAAACTATTAAGTGATACTGAAATCATAAACTGAAATACAGAGGATATATTCAGATAGAATGCTACAAATCAAACCTCTGTGGAGAAAAAAGGGGTATTTTCGTATTTATGCACCCTTTTAAACAGGCTGCAAGAACGAATAGGAAACTAGTGGATGTCATACTACTGTCTATGGATCTAAGGCAGGGGTGTCAAACTCAGAACGTCATGTGACGTGTGGTGGCGTATCGTGACTTTTTTTCCATTGCCGGCAATAGGATGGGCGCGGTTTCGCCATGATGCATCCAGCCTGTCGGCCGCCAGTTTGATACCCCTGATCTAAGCTCTGTAAACAAGACTAAGTGATTGAATGACAGAAGTCTTACATTGGAGCATCCACAGTTAGTCTACTTCTGCAGATGGAATCCATATACACAACCACTTAGTAAATTGTAAGCATGGAAGTTGGGACATTCAATTTAAGAATGGACTCCAGCAAAACTACACACAGAATTAGGAATCTGTTTTTAGATCTATCTATCTATCTATCTATCTATCTATCTATCTATCTATCTCTTTCCCCCCATTTCCAGAAAGAAAGGATTATTATTACACCAGTACACAATATGTCCTTGAATCTGGAATAATGAGGGCAAATTTTATTGGAAGCGCCTCAATTTACCCTATGGTATCTTGCACTGATATCTCTCGAGATACACAAAAGCTGCTTTCTTCTCTGTCCCCCAACACTTTTTCTGTTTCTTAGCCAATTACTAGAACTTTATAGCATGAAGCACTCTTTCTTTTTAACTTATGAATATAATTTAATAGAGTTTGAACTCTATAAATGCATATGACATGAAACTGTGCACTAAATAATAAATAACCTTGTTCCAAGTTTCCTTTTTTGTTTTTTGTCTTTACAAGATAATATATTTATTTTATTTTATTTGGTCTTAGAGTTAATGTATAAATAAGGGAACAATTCAGGCAAGGTTATATTTGGTTTTTTTCCTTTAAGTCTCATTGTTTTCATCAGGAGATAAGCAGATTTTTTTTATCTCCCCTTTGAATCAAAGGGATTTGATAATGCTTATCTTTGGCTAGATAATCCTCATTCTGTATTTTTTCCCCCTCCGGAATAGTTTGAACATAATCATCATTTATTTAACGTAGTTTGTACATAATAAGGTAACAAAGCCTTGGGCACAATCTTGCCCCTTCCACATCTGCATCTTGTATAAATGGGGTGGAATCTCTACTGGGTTCTGTGGATCCCCACTTTGTTCCACATTTCTTTATGGGAGCAGTAGTATGCATTTCAATCTTTACATAAATAAAAATGCCTTGATAATGTTGTGGAAGCTTTATGCTATTTATCTCAGATATTAAATTTTAATATCAATATTTTTATATAAAAAGTTGATTTGGTTTTAGCTAATATATACCTGGGTGTTTGCTTTCCTTGCCTTTAATTTAGCTTACACTTTATTACCACATGCAAATGTGTTTGATATAAATACATACCTCTGATAACCATTAAGGAAACACAGGCCGTTATGATGATGGTTTTAAGCTTTCAACTGCAAAAGTTTTTGAATGAATTTTAAAACTGTAAGGAAAGATGATAAATAAAATAGACCAAATGGATGTACACATTTTACAGAAACCAAAATGAATGTCATAATCTAACAATGAAAGGTACTTAATTCTCTGATCTTTTGAATTTGAGCAGGCTTACTTTACTGATAGATTATGATCTAGGTGCATTGTTGGTGTTTTCTTTTATAAAATACAGATGCGTTTAAATTATTTTCTGAACTTTTCTATGTAAATATTTATTTATCTCATGTGCTCATAACAATTGATGGAGGCATATTTCATTGTTGCCTTTTCATTACTGAATAATATTGCCTTATTATTGTTCTTATATCTCTATTTTTGTTTTCTTCAAATCTACAAGTGAGAACTTCACTAATTTGCATATGTTAACTTATCTGCTTTGGTCTTAAATGAATTTTGAATGGCACTGAACTGAACCCGACAGATTTTTGTTTTGTTTTGTTTTGTTTTATTTGTGTGTGTGTGCATTTATAATAATGAACATGTGGTTATTTACTTTTAAAATCAGCCACATTTAATTTGTAGTTGGTTCAGAATTTTATAAAATTCCATTTCAAAAGTTTTGATAGAATTTGTATTTCCACTTGGTTTATATTGTTAAATTTCATTCAGCAATTTCCATTATATTTCATTCTCTTATCAGTTTCTTCTGTTGTTTATTTATGTGATTGCTATGTTTAAAATAAAAATTAACTGTTGGAACCACAAGTTTAAGGCTGTGTTTCTTCCTATATGCTACCCAGCTCCTAGGCAAATTATTTAATAGATTCTAGAGCATCTGTAGGTGATAGTGTATATAGTAGTGCAATCTGAGTACTTCGCTCCATAAATATTACTAATTAATTTATAACACAATGTCAAATATTTTGACTCAGAAGGAACATTCACTGAATTCCATAGATTTACTCCTAGGTACAAAGGTGAGTATATAATTACAGCATCAATTTACAATTCACGCGCTTTTATACAAAGGGAAATTGATACAGTATTTTAAAATGGTTAAGAGGGGCGGAAGTAGTTTTTATGAAACCATTTTCTCTACAGACTGTTGGCAGGTCTATTTTGCTGGTGGAGGACAAAGGCATTATATATACACATAGACTCGTATATACATGTGCACATACATATATATGTATAGAATTAGATTGTCATTGCATATTAGATTGCAACTGGTAATTCCTATCTGATGTGATAAGTGACAGATCAGTTAGGAGACATAATAAACTTGCTCAGTGTTCTGCCTCTCTAATGTGTACTGTTGCTGCTTGACTTATTTCCTGTGAAATGGCTGCTCCACTCTGCCTAAGGACAATGCCCAATTTAATAAACACCTGTTTCCTTAAACCAGACATATGAAATGAGTCATGGATCATGAAAGCACTCAAATGTATTTTAAAGCAGTTGCACTTTCCATTAAATTCATTTGTGCCAGACTTCACTCATTCAAGCAGGACTTAGATAAGTTCACAGGAAAACCCAAGAATTTAGAATAAGTATTATTTATTGAAGAATCTTAGAAAGCTATAACCAAAACAATGTCAGCAACATTAATCATTTAGGGCATAGCCTTATGTTTTTATTTTGCCATCTATTAGATTATTTTAAGCTCGGCTGCCTGCGTGAGTCAATGTTTTTAGCTTTTTCTATGTTTTCCTAGTTTTCTAATCTCCAGTAGAATTGGCCAGCCAAGAAAGAGAGAGAGAGAGAGAGAGAGAGAGAGAGAGAGAGAGAGAGAGAGAGAGAGAGGAAGCGGAAGGAAGGAAGGAAGGAAGGAAGGAAGGAAGGAAGGAAGGAAGGAAGGAAGGAAGGAAGGAAGGAAGGAAGGAAAAAAAGGAAGGAAGGAAGATAGGTAGGAAGGAAGGAAAGGAAGGAAGGAAGGAAGAAAGAAAAAGAGGAAGGAAGGAAGGAAGGAAGGAAGGAAGGAAGGAAGGAAGGAAGGAAGGAAGGAAGGAAAGAAGGAAAGAAGGAAGGAAGAAAATTTATTTATTCTGGGAGCATAACTTTCATTGGATGATTACCAACAAGGTTGGAGGACAAAATAATTGAGAAATGTAAGATCTCATCTAAGCTAAGTGGCTTCTGTCTTATAAGTGGATATTAGCCAACCCACTTTCAACTGACTTTGGTTTCCCAGCACATGAGAATTGGTGTGGAGACTACGTGTGTGTGTGTGTGCGTGTGTGTGTGTAATCTCCATACTGTTTTCCCCATGGGCAAAATCAGACCCTTCCTCTGCATTGGACTTGGGTTATTTTTCTATCTGTCATCAATCACAGTAGCTGGCACTTGCCACCAACATATATTTCTACAGACTTTTCTGAATTTGTAATAACTAGCTCAATTACTGGGATAGCATTATGATTATTGGTGTATTTTGTATGCTACTTGTAAAACAAGCAATTTACAGTAATTTAGCAAATAAATTAGCTTTAAGAAGCAGAGAGCTCTGGACAATATTAACGTGAGGGATCCACTGGAATAAATAACCAGGAAGGCATAGGGGAAAATAACCACATAGTTCATTTTCAGCACACAGAAACTAAACAAAAAGAAACAGGAAATGTGGAATTTATTATTTTAAAAGGGTACTTTTATTTTTGAATTACAAGTGACAGATCATGTGATTCATAAAATAGGGATAATTATAATGGATGTCTGTTTCATGAAAAAATAAAACTATACTCAAAATACAATTTTTGGAGGATGTTATGTACTTGTTTTGTTTTTTACTACTTTGATTTTTTTCAAAGGGAAATAAAAAATGCTCTTTGTTTTACTTTCATTTACCTTTTATAAAAATTTAAAGGATTAAGTAATGTTATTTATTTCATTTGTATACAACCAGAGATAAGGTACTTATAAATAAATAAACTCAGCTATAAATTTTAACTGTTCTCAAAGATTAAAAATCCTTTCACAGTGGTTTAACTTCCTGATGTTTCAAATAGAGCAGAAAACTAAGTTTATTTCACCTGACATATTCCTGATAAACCTGGCACTGAAGCACTATATATATTCCTTATTCCTCAGAAATTAGCACTTTTAAAAACAGGGTGACTACATCTAAATCTCAGTGACATGCAAAGAAACTTAAGTTAGCTACTTATAGCACTAAAATGGGCCCTAGGGAGAAAGGAAAGCAATCGGGATAACTTACTGTTCTGATGCATTAGAGATGGCTGTTATGTACTCTAATTTCATAAGACAGTACTTTAGGAACCCCCAAAGAACTAACAGCTGAAAAACAGCTGCCTTTTGTCACAATTCAAAAAAGGAAAACCACTTGGCATCACTTTGAAAGCACCATTTTGAAATGTTTTAAGTGTCTTGTATTGTTTTAGGAAACAGACGAAGGGGACAACCAGAACATTTAGCTCTGTCAAGGCCTTGATAAGATTTGCTGTATTTTTTACAATCTAATTTTTCTAGACTGCTTCTCTCGGTAGTTGGTAGATATCTGCAGATCAAAGATGGCTTCCAAAACGTCCTGTCATTTAGTGCAATGCTGCATTTTTTTCATGGCCCTTTCACATTCGGCCCTCCTTGTAATCCAGCTTCCATGGTACAAGCTGATGGTTCACAAAAACCAGGAGGACCTGGAGGGCCAGTAGGACCTGGAACACCAGGGGATCCAGCGGCTCCAGCCGGGCCTCTCTCACCATCTCGCCCATCAGTGCCATAACTGGGCTTGCCGGGTTCTCCTGCAAAAACAAAAACCGGGCCATAAATTCAGAAAAAGAACCTAATATCATTTTTGTTGTAATTTTAAAAGTCTTATTTGCAAGGATGATTGCATCAGCCTTGGTTTCTCCTGTGAACCCAACCCCATGTAGAAGATGAAAAGTATTAGTGGAAGCTCTCTACACAACTGGGACTTCTGGAAAAGTGAATCTCCAAAGTCTTAACACAGGATACTTGTTGCTATAGACCACAGGTTGGCAACCCACAGCTCTGGAGCCGCATGTGGCTCTTTGAGCTTTCTCCTGCGGCTCCCAGCCTCCTCCACCATTTGCGCTTCCCTTCTCTCTCTCTCTCTCTCTCTCTCTCTCTCTCTCTCTCTCTCTCTCTCTCTCTCTCTCTCCATGTGTGTGTGTGTGTGTGTAAAAAAGAGAGTGGCCTCAAGCTGTCCTCCAACGAGCTGACAAGCTTATTGGACAGGGCTCCTGCCTTTACTGTGTCGAAGCAGGAAGCAGGAAGCAGCAGCTCTCTTTGTCTCTGTCTCTGTCTCTGTCTGTCTGTCTGTCTGTCTCTCTCTCTCTCTCTCTCTCACACACACACACACACACACACACACTGAGTGGGGGAAGAGGACTGCAGACTAAGGGCAGGAGAGAGCCAGCCCAAAAAGAATGTGTGTCAGCTTGTCGGAGGACAGTGTGAAGCCAGCTTGCCAGGTGAGCAGAAGATCGGAGAGAGGGATGGGGGGAGAGAGGGAGGGAGACAAAGAGAGAGAGGGAGGGAAAGAGAGAGAACTCATGCACAGCAGCCTCTGTTTCTTTTTAATTAAACTCTTCAATCAAGCTCCCGCTCCCGCGTGTGCGCACGCACAACTTTTGTGGCTCCCAGTGTTTTCTTTTCCCTGGGAAATGGGTCCAAGTGGCTCTTTGAGTGTTTAAGGTTGCCAGCTCCTGCTATAGACCAATGTTTTTCAAACCTGGCAACTTTAAGACGTGTGGCCTTCAACTTCCAGAATTCTTCAGCCAGCAATGTTAGTTGGGAAATTCTGGGAATTGAAGTCCATGCATCTCAAAGTTTTCAAGTTGGAAAACATTGCTATATACAGTCATCTTCTGTATGAAAGGGGAAGTTGGGTTCTCATTTTCCTCCTTTATTAAGTCAATAGGGAGTAGGTTTCTCCAATGAGAAAATGCTTTCACCATCTGGATATATCGCACTAGATAAAATGCACATCCAACTATCCCAGTTTGTAAACTATGATCTAATAGTTCATCCTAATATGCAAAGACACCGTCAATTGCTTTTCACAAGTGATCCATTGTGCCTGGAATGATCAATTTGACAAAGGCAGACAAGAAGTTGAAAAGTGACATAGACAACATAAGGGAAAAGAAGAGAGAGAATGTCTGCTAGGAAATTAAAGCAAAAGAACACATTTTACTTTTAATGCAGAGAAACATAAAGGGGTTATTTGCAGAATTATTCATAATACAGTGTTTTAGAACAGGGCTTTTCAACCAGTGGTATGGGTACCACCTGTGGTACATTGGCACCTGGCAGGTGGTACATGACCATCCTAGAAAAGTGGTAGCGGGGGAGGGGAATGAGCTGAACCGGTGGTAGCACCACACAAGCCTGACTGAGAGACGGCTGGAGCTGCAGGGCTGTCAGGGCTCAACGGAAGCGCCAGGATCAGCACTTCTTCAGGGCTGTCAGGGCTCAGTGGAAGTGCAAGGATCAGCGCCAGGATCCAGCTGGAGCTCGGCGCTGATCCTGACACTTCTGCTGAGCCAGAAGAAGCACCGATCAGCTGGAATGTTGCAGCATCTCCAGGGTCTTGTGATTTACATTTAGATGCTTGGCAACTGATTCATATTTATGACGGTCACAGTGTCCCAGGGTCATGTGAAGTGACCAAAACCTGCTGCAACCACCCAGTAGACGGGGGAATAAAAACCAAACACCCCCCACCCCACCCCGCTGCCAATCTTCAACAGAAATGCTCACAACAATGAAAACCTCAGACAGGAGGAAAAGCGCCGCTGGGCGGGCAGGCAGGTGTCTTGCTTGGCTATGGCTTGGGGGGCACTTTTTTCAGTGCCATTGTAACTTTGAATAGTCACTAAGCAAACTGTTGTAAGTCGAAGACTACCTGTACTTCATCACTTTTTTCCTTTTGGGGGGGGTCAAGTTTTTGACACCTTGGCAGGCGACTGGTGGTACTCGGATATTGCCATATCCTAAAAGTGGTACAGTGGGTGAAAAGGTTGAAAAGCCCTATTTTAGAAGTTTCCATAAGGTTATTTTTACTATGCCAAATTATTTGATTCTACTAGCCACTAGAGGGCACTTTTGCTTCAGTTATGACCAATGAAGACTTTTGCAGAGCCTCCTCCCCTCCCATTCCCACTATATCCCCAATGCAGTATCCAAAAGCTGAACTTCAAAATGCTGCGCCACCAAAATCAATTTAAACGATTTGCAAATCCTCACACAACTCATTTTAAGTAGAAACGTATAGTGGTATTTTTAATTTATTTAATGTGTGCTTGGTCCTTGTCTCATGCAATTTTGTATACTGTGCTGTTATGACACAATGGAAACTGATTTTAATACTTCTATCGCCTCTTGGCTTTCAAGCTGATTTTTATTAAAGTGTAAATCCTCAGTTTTCCCCACCATGATAAAGGTGTAAAAAGCAGCATGAGAAAAAAAAAATGATAGCAGTTATGTTGCAGGAACCATAACCTTAGGTCTAACTGGCTTTTTAAAAGAGATACACACTGGCAGAGTTGACACACAATGTTTAAGCCAAGATGTTTCAACCAAGGTTTGTTAAAAAGAATGGTCAACTTTGCACAGATTCCTAAATCATAACGAGCAGGTTAACTCATGCTAATCCAAAACAGCCCCTTATGGCTTGGTATTAGATATCAATCAAGTCAAGTCACCTATTGCGATAGAGACTACAAAACTGCAACAGAAAAGGAGGCAAAAAAAATTGGGGTAGAGGGGAAAATGCACGATAAGAGTGTTTTTTGCTGTGTAGAGAGAGAGAGCAGCACTCAGTCTTCAAAGCAGATGCCTTAATTTCCAGCAGTGTGTTAAACAGGTGGGTTTTTTAAATGTGAAATAGTTTGGTCATTTCTTAAATGACCCAGAGACCATCTTCAATGCTTACCAGGGAGTCCTGTTGTTCCTGGCAAGCCTTTGGGCCCTTGACCTGGGAGTCCTCTCTCCCCCTTTTCACCTGTGTCCCCTAAAATAAAAATCAAGAAAACAAACGTTTGTTTTATTGTGCGTACTGTATACCCTTGCATCTTTTAAAACATTTGCGTACTACCTGTTGTTTAAAATTTCCCATTAGGGTACAATCAACCGTTAACACGTCCTTAAAACTATTAAAACGAGTCAAGAAGACTTTTTTGGGGGGCTAGAAAAAGTCTGTGAAGCAAGTGTCATTGGTGATAAAGTCTCCTCTGTTCTGCAAATGGCTTTGATTAAGGAGGTTGCTGGGCCAGAGATTAAGGCGCCCATGTCAATGCTCTTAAACGTTTATGGTGGATGCTTTTATCAAGGCACCTGAAAAAGGCTTTGAGAACACATCTTAAAGCCTGGTGGGCTTTCGGATATATCTGCTTCCAGCTATTTACAGCAGGGGTCATCAAACTTGGCCCTTTTGTGACTTGTGGACCTCAACTCCCAGAATTCCTCAGCCAGCTGGCTGAGGAATTCTGGGAGTTGAAGTCCACAAGTCATAAAAGGGCCAAGTTTAAAGACCCCTGATTTAAAGCTTTAAAAATAAATCCCTAGTACAGTGGTTCTCAACCTTTTTAATGCCGCGACCCCCAGCCGGTCATAAGTCGAGGACTACTCAACTGGTGCAGCACCGTTTGCAGAATGGGACTTTTGGCGGGCTCAGCAGGGCAGAGACAGCCTGGACAATTCCTATTGGCTTTTGAAAGCCAATAGAATTAGACTCTATTCAAGAGAGTCTATTCTATTGGCTTTCAAAAGCCAATAGAATAAAAGGGAGTAGCACAGCTAAGGAAAAGGGGGAAAAAAATGGCAGACTGCGTTGTTTGGCGACCCCCGTGAAATGGTCGTTCGACCCCAAATGAGGTCCCGACCCACAGGTTGAGAACCACTGCCCTTGTACCTTGAATTTAGCCTAAAAGTGAATAAGCTGGCTAATCTATATAGTTAAATGCAGGCCTCTTAGTCATGTTAATAAGATCTGAAAGTTTTAATAATACTGTAAACTGAAATACACCTATTTTCTAATGTCAAGACTTTGATTTTTGGGGGGGGGGGCAGTTTAGTTTTCCTTTTCATTATACTCTGTCTCTTTTTTCTGTTTCACGATTTCTAAGAGTGCCTGTGTTTCATTGCAATTAGTAAAAGTGGGTTTCTATGCCTTACATCCTATTAAGCATAAAGGATGCTTTGATTTTAATCAGGAATAGTTAAGCAATGCCAGAGGCATGTAAGTGCACTCTGAAACAGCTGATACTGCAGATCTTCAGTTCCCTGCAATGCTGACAACCAGAAAAGGCCATTTGGTTCATTAAATCAGAATAGTTTTGTTTAGCTGTGGGAGACATTACAGAGAATACACATTTTCCTTCCTTTTCTAGTATTCCGCATGGAGACTGCCCCAATGGGAGCTCAGCATCCTTCCTGAAGCTGCTTCTGCCTGTTTTAGAATTTCCTTTCCTCCTGGCTTGCTTTGGAGAATTGCCTAGAACAGTGGTTCTCAACTTGTGGGTCAGGACCCCATTTGGGGTCGAACGACCATTTCACGGGGGTCGCCAAACAACGCAGTCCGCCATTTTTTTTTCCCCTTTTCCTTAACTATGCTACTCCCTTTTATTCTATTGGCTTTTGAAAGCCAATAGAATAGACTCTCTTGAATAGAGTCTAATTCTATTGGCTTTCAAAAGCCAATAGGAATTGTCCAGGCTGTCTCTGCCCTGCTGAGCCCGCCAAAAGTCCCATTCTGCAAACGGTGCTGCACCAGTTGAGTAGTCCTCGACTTACGACTGGTTGAGTAGTCCTCGACTTATGACCGGCTGGGGGTCACTGCATTAAAAAGGTTGAGAACCACAGGCCTAGAAGATGGAGACTGAACTGTCATTAGGAGGAATGCTGTTAAAACATTATAGATTTTATTATATAACCTTTAAGCCACTCTTGCCAGGCCACATTCTTCTGGAAGCATTACATTTCTCACCTCTTCCTGTCTTTTGTAACTGTGAGTTTTAAAATGCAGACTTTGCATTCTTCCTTTGTGCAGGTTAATTAGCTGCTATTATCATGCTGGCTTACTTTATTTTGCCCACTCATTCACATTCTCCTTCTTTTAGGTATTACATGCTTTTAGGTGCTGATTACTGTGTGCCAGTGTAATTATCTTGTAGGGTTGTCAGAGAGCAAGTTATTTTGGTCTAAAGCTTTGTTCATTTTCACTTCTTCTCTCTCCCCCTTTTAGCCACCTCTGATCTTTGAGTGTGAGAACTATTTCACAGAATTAGTTTCCTCCGGGAGATATATATGCATGTTGAGCCTGGACTGTGGTTTACTTGGAAACCAAATGCTATTTATCATACCACTGCATGGTGTCTTTGGAAATGCCTATAGTAGAATGTCAAATTTTATTTAGTGGATAAAATACAATGTTGCACCCTAAGCTACGAACCGATATATCCTAACCAGGTTGAGAATTTCCAGATCTGATGAACATCTACCCTGAGTAGATCGTCAAAATTTAATTCTACCCATTGCAGAATTTTATACCCTTGCAGCCAAACATAACTCAGATTACATTAGGGAAATAGAGTATTATCTACATATTGGTGACATCTCACTTCATCTGCCAGATGAGCTCACTCAACAGCTGAATAAGGATCAGAAAGCTCACCTCGGATCTTGAAAAAATAACACATATTATAAAACAGAGTAAAGCAAATTGCACTCCCACTCTCCCAAATCCCAATTTGCTCAGGTTCAAAAATAACCATCTTGCCCAAATCTTTTCTTTCCCATTTTCCTGATTAGAGCTAACAATATCAGCACTATTGAGATGCCCCATATACAATGATCTGGATTGGATGCTACATCTTCTGCATGTTCCAATGACTGATGCTTCTTATTTGTAAAGCCGAGGAATTTTTGTTTATTCTAGAACAGACAGACTAATGAAAAAAATGAAAGTCATAGGGTTAACACAGCTTTACTTGATGAATAAATCCACTTCAGGGTCACTGTAGAAACACTGCCACTATAACAGAACACAAATTGTTTGGAGAACTCTGAATGAACTGAAGTGCAAATACTGTAATCCTCGATTTACAACTACAGTTGGAACACGAATTTCTGTTGTAAGTTAAGGCAGTTGTAAAAGGGTTTCCTGCCTGAGCAGGGATGGACTAGAAGACCTCCAGGGTCCCTTCCAATTCTGTTATTCTGCTAAATTGAGTCATCATGTGACCAGACCTGATTTCACCACCATTTTTACCATAGTCATGAACCAAATCTAGCCTCCCCAATTGATAGTCTTTCCTGTTTGCTGTTGGAAAGTGACCAAAAAGGTCACAAATTGTGATCTTGGGACTGCAGGAGGCAGCAAATGGTTATAAATGCAAGCCAGTTGCCAAGTGCCTAAATTGCAGTCATGTAACCATAGGGATGGTGCCACAGTCATAAGTGCAAGCACAGATTATAAAGCTCTTTTTCCAAGGCCATTATAAATTTCAATCATCAGTGTTCAGCACACAATCGTAAGGAGTCCTTGGTGCACTCTGAGCTTGGCTGTTTTCTTGCAGACATTTCATTACCCAAACTAGGTAACATCATGAGTTTGAGCGTGAGACTAGCATCAGACTAGCACTGATGATGTTACCTGGTTTGGGTAATGAAACATCTGCAAGAAAATAACCAAGCTCAGAATAGAATATAGCTGGAAGGGACCTTGGAGGTCTCCTAATCCAGCCCCCTGCTCAAGCAGGAGAACCTTTACCATTTTAGACAAATGAGTGTCTAGTCTCTTCTTAAAAACATCCAGTGATGGAATGCCCACGATTTCTGAGGGCAAGCTGTTCCACTGGTTAATTGTCCTCACAGTTAGGAAGTTTCTCCTTAATTCCAGGCTGCTTCTCTCCTTGATTAGTTTCCAACCATTGACACTTATCTTGCCTTCTGGTACTTTGGAGAATAATTTGACCCTCTCCTCCTTGTGGCAGCCCCTCAAATTCTGGAATACTGCTATCATGTCACCCCTATTTCTTCTTTTCTTTAGACTAGACAAACCTTTGATCATTTTAATTGCTCTTCTCTGAATTTTTTCCAAAGTCTCAACATCTTTTTCATAGTATGGTGACCAAAATTGATTGCAGTACTTCAGGTGTGGTCTTACTAGGTTTTTATAAAGTGGTGTTAATACTTCACGTGATTTTGATTCTATGCCTCTGTTTATACAACCCAGGATTGTATTATCTTTTTGGCTGCTGCTGCACACTGCTGGCTCATGTTCAAGTGATCGTCCACTAGGACTCCAAGGTCCCTCTCACAGTTACTGTTTTTGAGCCAGATTTCAACTATTCTGTACTTGTACCTTTAGTTTTTCCTGCCTAAATGTAAAACTTTGCTTTTCCCCACATTGAAACTCATGTTGTTGGATAGGGCCCATTGTTCAAGTCTGTCAAGATCTTTTTGGATCCTGAGCTTGTCTTCTGGGGTGTTTATTTATTTTTATTTTATTTTTTAAAATTTATAAGCCACCCCACTCCCGAAGGACTCTGGGCGGCTAACAATAAAAAACACATAAAACATAACAGAACAACAGTACAAAGAGAATCATCCAGGGGTCATGTTTTATAAACCCCAGGCCTGCCGGAAAAGCCAGGTCTTAAGTAGCTTACGGAAGACCAACAGGGTGGGAGCGGTCCTAATCTCCGGGAGGAGCTGGTTCCAAAGCGTGGGCGCCATCACAGAGAAGGCCCTCCTCCACGGCCCCGCCAAATGGCACTGCTTGGCCGACGGGGCCTGAAGGAGGCCCAGCCTGTGGGATCTAACCGGACGTAGGGAACTATGAGGTGTTGGCTATTCCCCTTCTATTCCCTCATGTACGTCATTTATGAAGATATTGAAGAGTACTGGGCTTAAGACGGAGCCCTATGAGTACTGGGCTTAAGACGGAGTACTGGGCTTAAGACGGAGCCCTATGAGCACTGTCTTAGAGGACACCAAGGACCCCTCATGTCAACCCTGAGCTGCAAATATTCTTTTTCATTGGAATAGTCTTAAGTCAAGGACTATCAATCCTGAAGTAAATATAGCTTTTTAAAAGTACTTCATATTCCTTTTCGGAGTCAAATAAAAAAGAGAGAAATATTTCTCATACTTCATGCGAACCCAGTAGTAGCATACATTTGGAGGGAGGAGGGTATGAAAATAATCAAGATGGCAGATGCTGCATTATCCTGCAAAGTCTGCCCTTTGGTAATGCATCAGGATTGCATGTCCCTACAAAAGGGGCTGGAGTTTTACATCACAATGCAGTGCCTCACCATGTTGCCTTCTTCAACCCCTTCCCTGCAGCTAAGGACAGGAAAAGGAATGAGGTTGAATCTGCGTTCATACATTTAATGGAGAACCAAATAACTGGGCTCCATAAAATTTAATAAACAGGTCACAATAATAACATAGCTGATGCACAAATCAATATTCTGAATTTCTCACCTTTGGGACCTTTCGGCCCAGTGTCACCGGGAGGGCCTTTAAGACCAGGCGACCCCCGGGATCCAGCTTGTCCTGGGAAGCCACTTTGTCCCGGAAGTCCAGGGGAGCCTGGTGGGCCAGGTGGGCCTGGGATGCCAGGATCCCCAAATTCAGGCCTCCGAAGACTAGCAGCCATCTGTGCAAATTGTTCTGCTCAATGAAAAGAAAGAACTATTGAACTTCATGAAGACTACTGGAGGGATTTTGTTGTGCTTGTGATTTTGGTATGTTTAAGTTTGACATTAGCATTTATTTTACATATAGTAACCATTTTATATTGATACATGTAGTGTTGTCGTGTAATCATTGTTTTGTTATTTTGTAATCATTATTTTGTAGTTAATTGCTTGATCAGATACTATATATATATATATATATATATATATATATATATATATATATATATATATATATATATATATATATGAAAAGTAAGGGTTCATGCTTTAGGTATAGGTCAGGGGTAGGCAACCTTGGCTCTTTTATGACTCATGGACTTCAACTCCCAGTTGAAGTCCATGAGTCATAAAAGAGCCAAGGTTGCCTACCCCTGGTAGGTGAACTACTTCCACACTATCCCTTTCTTCCCTCTGCCTTCTCTCTTAAGCAGTTTGCGGGCAAGCTACAAACTTATCTTCCTTTCGTGATTTACTTACAGTCCTAGTGTGAATCGCTGCGAGTGCTGTGGCAAAATAAAAACTAAAGTCCCCCTTCCCCTCACAAAAGGAGAAGAAAAAGAAATGAAGGAAACCGAACAGCCTAGTTTTGACATAAGGGTCCTCTCCTGCTTAAAAAAAGGGGGAAAGGGAATGTCAGTGTCAGTCCTCTTGAGATCAGGGGTGAGAAGAGCTATGTGCATTGTTTCAAAGCTCTGCAAAAGAAAATATTGAAGTTACAGCAGAAAACTGAGCTAAAGATAAGTCAGTTTTCTAATAGCAATAGTAATTGAACTCCTAGCTGTGGGCAGAGTTAGCCTGCAATATTGCATTCTGGTCACTGCACCACTGCATCATGGCCCCTAGCATTTTGGAATGGCAAAACCCCACATCTGATTTCAAAATGGTGGAAATCATTGGTATATAACTTTCCTACGTTCATTATAAATAATGTATTACTATGAAATTTTCTATTGTTATAAATTGGTTGATGGTATACAGATTACTGCTGGTTGTTCACGTAGCAAGAAGTCAAGTGAGCGTGAGATTAAGGCTTCCCTTCTGAGAGGGCCTTATTTAAAACAGCTGATTTCCCACTTCAGCATCTGGAATCCTAAAAGGGCAAAGCTTCGTGGCCCCTTCTCCCTCAACAGGGAGGGAAGAGGTAAGTCTGATAAGGTAGAGGTAAGGTAGGAAGTAGGAAGAGGTAAGGTAACTAGCAATGGATGTGTCCCCCCCCCCCGAGATTTAAAAAAAAAAACAGTTTCCATCTAGTAGACTGATTTTTGCCCTCCGGTTCTGAGACTGTTGGTGAGGTCAGTCCAGTGGCACTAACGCTATATGATCTCGGGACTTTCTGACCACGAGGGAGCCCTGAGCAGTAAGTAAAGATTTGCTCCATATTCCTTCTTTGTCTGTCATTCTGATTGACAAATTGCTAATCGGAGGTCTCTTTCTTTTGCCTTTTTTCCTAGGCCTATGCATGGAGTACATCCTGGTAAGATGTAGCTAGCTAGGTTCTAGGCTGTGTCATCCCTATGATCTATTCCTGTTAAATGGATCTCCTCTCAGTTATAAAAAAAAAAAACTTGCTTCATTAATCCTTGCTTAAATCAGAATATTGCTCTGAGATAGAGATGGATGGATGGATGGATGGATGGATGGATGGATGGATGGATGGATGGATGGATGGATGGAGACAGAGACGGAGAGACAGAGAGAGAGATGGAGAGACAGGGAGAGAGACGGAGGGAGATGGAGAGACAGGGAGAGGGAGAGGGAGAGAGGAAATAGGTGCTCTGGCCCCAAGCTGCTGCCTTTCCATTTTAGAATAATTGATACTGACACGGGAGAAGGAAACATTTATCTTGGTAGCAAAGGCATATTGGAACGGGAAATGAATGTAGTCCTCTGTTGGGCAATTTAAAAAATAGTTGCACTGAGAAGGCTTCAAATTAAATCACAAAGAGCAATAAAACCTCTTAAACTTCAGAAATACAACACTGTAACATCCCAGCAGATCTCAGTAGCAGCCTCTAGCAAGCTATTTTTCCACAACAATAAAATCCCAAACCACGAGTACAATAATGCATCAAGCGAGAATCAAATCTATGCTGTTAACATGTTTATGTGTATTAATAACTGAAGAAGCTTATTATCTGCTCATTACATGTACCATAGGAGAAAGACTGGTTATTCTGGGGCTGAGCCCTCCAATTTCTATGAACTGCTGTACGTGTCACAAACATTTGAAATTTTTACCTATGTTTATGGAACTCCATAAAATGCAACATTAGGTAAAAGCAACATTGTTTATGATTAATGTGTTTATATTAATTATAGCAGGATTGGGGGGGAGGGAAGTTCTTTTACTTAACACATATTCCTGCTTATTGGAATAACCTTATACCCTGGCAAAGGTCCTAGATTTCTATTGAACTTACCAATTTCTCTTTCCCAGAAAGCATCCTGAAAGACAGGTCACTAATCTATCTAGGTTTGACTGCTAGTTTCAGATGAGAGTTTATTCTTAGCCCTCCCTAGAGATTTTGGGATTGAATTTGCAAATATTTATATGTAATGTATATGTTATGTCCTTTTTTCAGTGATCTGACAGCCATCATAACAAGAAAGAACAAGTGATTATTTAGCAGTTCCAAATATAATCCTATTAGTTTAAAAACACAATCACAAAATCAATTTTCCATGAAGAAAATTTCCACAGAGAATATCTATGTGTGTGAGTGAGGCAGAGAAAGAGAGAGAGATCTAGAAGCTTAAGTATATGTTTCTTGGAGAAGAGTTTAATTTTTTCTTAAGAAATGAATTGCTATTATCGGCTCCTTGTTTTTAACTACATCTCTTCAAGAATCATAATTCTGATGGCAAAATTGTCTTCAACTGTGTAAATAGTTTAATGTCTTGATCATTTTCTTTCTACTCACTACCAAGTAAGATTCTATGTGTTACAAGAGATGTATCTAGATAATACTTTACTGGCTGCATTTAGGTTTTTTTTTTAAAAAAAGAGATTCTCATTTTTTCCCCTTCCTGGCAAACTTAGAAAAGCATATACCGTATTTGCTGGTAGCATGTTCCATTTAAAACTGGAACTTTGTACTGGCACTGTTATAAATCAGTCACGCTATTTTTTAAAAAATAGTCCTTTCCCTTAGTCGTGATTTTCCCTGAGCATGGAGGATCTTGCCTAAAAAGGCATTCTGGAGAATTCAAAAGCTCACAATTATTATAAAATGTCAAAATGCCTAATAAATAAGTGCTCCCTCTGTGGATCAGTTAATCTTCGAATTAATTTCATTTATTACTGTATTTATTTCTTGCCTTAGTCTTGAGAGCTCTATGCAGCACGTAGTACCTGGTAGGATAAAACATACCTTGCTGCTTCATCTACACAATAGCCCTGTGGAATAGGTTGGGTTGTGTGAGAGAGTGATTGGATTTGATAGAGTAGGAAACCTGAATCTGAGTTTGTACACCCCGATCTTGCACTTCAGCTTTTATAGTCAGTAACTCTGCTGGATTTAAAAAAAAAACTAGTGCAAGACAATGCAGGGGGATATGAATGCAAGAGCTGACAAAACAAAACATGCATGCATGCATGCATGAAATTGTAGAGTTAACTATACATGCAGATAAACTCATGACCAAACCTTAAAAATATATAAGTAGAATATTTTTATTTACCTTGTATTACTCTCATGCAAACCTGTTTAATATGCAGATCAGTCGGCTCTCTGCCCTGAAATAAACACAGCATTAAAATAACAGTGATTGTGTGAGGAAGGACTAGATGGGAATATAAACAGTAAAGGAAACAATTCTGCAGCTGCAAGCATATTTTCAAGCCTGCAGATTGAAGCAATTCCAATAACACAAGGTGCAGAAAGCCAAGAACGAGAATGTAAGCCATTATAGGATGTTGGGTGAGTCCTTTGTGCTGCTTCCTAGCACCTTACTTCAAAAAGGAGACCACTAGAAGAAGATGGGAGCTGAGCATGTGGGGCATGAGAACAGAGGCAAGAAGAGACATTCCATACAGGCTGGCACACCACCTGAGTAGGAAACTCTGTTGGTCCAACTCAGCATCTTGCTTAAGAGTTGCAAAGAGTTCTTATTGCTCCCTTTGCCTCTTGCAGGTTCAAGTTCATTATCACACAAATCCAAGTGCACTGTAGCAAAAAAAAAAGCACCTTCACGGATGAATGTCAGCAAGGGACCATTTTAAAAGTGAAAAGCATAGTGGTCGAGGAACGGTTATTTTTTTCCAATGAAAATAAGTGCATCGACTATGCTGGGGTAGGACCTTCTCAATGGCAATTGTATTATTCAGAGTCTAGGATTAATTCTCAAAGGTGGATTGCCTGCCCTGTTCACTTTATGGATTTAGTTCTGCCTGCTCTTTCCTGCTGCCTACACAAAGTTACCAAAATATATTTCATTAGTGATTCCAACTGTTTCCCAAAACTCTTACGTTGCCATGTGTAAATTCAGCTGAAAGAATATTATGGCTGACATCTGAGATACTTTAGATCGTAGAGCAGTGGTTCCCAACCTGTGGGTCGGGACCCCATTTGGGGTCGAACGACCATTTCACGGGGGTTGCCAAACAAGGCTGTCCGCCATTTTTTTCCCCTTTTCTTTGGCCACGCCCCTGGCACCCAGTGATGTATAAGTGGTTGGGGGTCACCACAACATGGAGAACTGTATTATGGGGTCGTGGCATTAGAAAGGTTGAGAACCACTGTCGTAGAGGATCCAGAACACTAATAGACTCACAATGGACCTGTTAGAAAAATACTGTAGGTTCTCAAGTGAGGCTAAAACTGGGGCAGGTCAAGTTTCCCCGGAGAGGTGGACAGAGTCACCCTCAAGATTCATTTGCAAAGCACAAGCCATCTATGATCCTTGAGATCCTTCTGGAGATCCTTAGAGACCCAGCCAATTGCTTCACTTTCAGACTTTTTCTTCCAAGTCTTGAAATGTATTGGCAGTGTAGGGGCTTGTCACAACCTCTTGCCCAGGATGCAGAAGGCCTCTGGAAGTGATCTCTGTGCTACATTAAAGCTTTGGGCAAAAAAGGAGGTCTTTGACTCTCTTGCAGTTTGTAATGTGCTGCTTTAGCTAGGACAGCACTAGTGGAACACTCCACACACAGCCAATCAAGGATGGTGACACACAAAAAAAAGATAATCTAAATTCATAGCTAAATAGCCCGTGCTAGCAAGCCAAGGAGTATGAAATACATTCTTCTTCCTGCATCTGTTCTTCCATAATACTGGAATTGCACTTACTAGGGCAGGGTGAGGCAACGTTGGCTCTTTTATGACTCGTGGACTTCAACTCCCAGAATTCCTGAGCCAGCATGGCTGGCTCAGGAATTCTGGGAGTTGAAGTCCACGAGTCATAAAAGAGCCAACGTTGCCTACCCCTGTGCTAGGGCAAATTGTAAAAAGAAGCTGTCACTTACCGCTGGTCCCTGGCTGCCAGGCAGTCCTGGAAGCCCTTGTTCCCCTTGCAAACCACGGGGGCCGAGCGGCCCACGAAGTCCTTCTACGCCAGGCATGCCACGGTTTCCTTCTGGCCCACGTGAACCAGCTTCACCAGGATTCCCAACCTGACAAAGGCAGGGACAAGAAATAAACAGACTCATCCCTTGTAGAAACGACTTTCCTTATATTATTCCAGGAATCGGCCCCTAATTAAAGTTTCGCGCACCAGAACAACTCTGGTTCCTTCTTTGTGAGATTTACGTTAACTTTTTTGCCACCTTGTTCAACGCTAATGTGAGCTTGCTAAAGGAGAAGGCTGTTCCATAAACAGGCAATGAGTGCTGCCTTCTTTTATCTCCTCGAAGGTAAGTTCCAGTGAATCTATAAGATTCATTTCCAGACATGTAGATTCCCACCTACTACTGAGTTTTTGGATATGCTGTCATGGCACCATAACATTTCACATTATTTTTAATCTGCAATTCTAGAAAAAAGTCGTAGGAGGGAGAAACAACCTGGAAATCTGATGTCGCACCTTACATTTCAGTGTTTTTTTATTATTATTATTTTGATGGAGGCTGGGCTCTTCTCTTAAACCAGAAAAGAAGCTTCTGCATAGCAAGTAGCATTTGATTTTCCCTGTCCCCACAGGCATCTGTGCAGTGAAACCTAATTTAAGCAATATGAATCCCCGAGGCAATTCCAAACTCCTGTCTTTGCACAAATCCTATAAATATATTAAATATTTAAAAACAGCTTAACCACCCGAAGGCTATAAACTACAAGGGCGTTTAAGCTTGTCATTTTTTTTGTATTCTATTAATATTACTGTCAAGGAAAGAAATATTAGATAAGAGAGAATTTGGCCGTATAAGCATTGGAGAGGGTGGTGAGCTATTTCTCTTCTTGGAGAAAAAGAAAATTAGGATGGTACAGGGAGTCCTCAACTTACAACCACAACTGAGCCCAAAATTTATGTTCCTAAGGGAGAAATTTGTTAAGTGAGTTTTGCCCCATTTTATAACTTTTCTTGCCACAGTTGTTAAGTGAATCACTGCAGTTGTTAAATTAGTAATACAGTTGTTAAGTGAATCTGGTTTCCTCATTGACTTTGCTTGTCAGAAGATCGCAAAAGGGGATCACATGACCCCAGGACACTGCAACTATCATAAATACAAGTCAGTTGTCAAGCATCCGAATGTAAATCACATGACCATGGTCATAAGTGTGAAAAACGGCCATAAGTCATCTTTTCCAGTGCTGTTGTAACTTTGAACGGTCACTAAATGAACTGTTGTAAGTTGAGGACTATCTGTATTGTTGCAAGATGCAGAGGAAGGGAGAGAGGGATAGAAAGGAAGGAAGGAAGGAAGGAAGGAAGGAAGGCAGGAGGGAGGGAGGGAAAGAAGGAAGGAAGGAAGGAAGGAAGGAAGGAAGGAAGGAAGGAAGGAAGGAAGGAAGGAAGGAAGGAAGGAAGGAAGGAAGGAAGCAAGGAGAGAGGGAGGGAGGGCGGGAAGGAGGGAAGGAAGGAAGGGAGGGAGGGAGGGAGGGAGGGAGGGAGGGAAAGAAGGAAGGAAAAAAGGAAGGAGGGAGGGAGGGAGGGAAAGAAGGAAGGAGGGAGGGAGGGAAGGAAGGAGGGAGGGAGGGAAGGAAGGAGGGGAAGAAGAAAGGGAGGAGGGAGGAAGGGAGGGAGGGAAAGTAGGAAGGAAGGAAGGAGGGAGGGAGGGAGGGAGGGAGGGAGGGAGGGAGGGAGGGAGGGAGAGAAAGAAGGATAGGAGACATGGCAGCAGGCCTTCACTCTAAATCTCTTGCAAAAGTTATGGCAATGGGCCAGCAACGGTTCCAAACGCAATGCCTACGACAAGAACCGGCTTTCTCCTGTGGGGTTATTAAGTGGCGTTTTCACCCAATAAGAATGTGGCTCTTTGGATGCTGCTGAACTCCATCTCCCAAAGTCCCTCCTCAAAGAGGCTGCTGTGAGGACTAAGGGACAGAAAGTCACATCTCTGGAGTGTGCTTCTTGATAACCTGATAACCTGTCACTAAAAGAAACATGCTCCTTTCTCATGAAAAGGTTATGGAAAACCAGCCACCCAAATCCCTAAAAACTTCCTCTATGGCTGGATGAGCTGCTGATACTTCTGTGGATCATTGGGGCACAGTGTTAACCTAAATAGTTCGCCACTGAAAAAAGGTAGGCGAATTATCTTTTGGAAGCCCATTTTGTCACAGCCATTTTGCTGACCTGCCAACACTTTCAACAATGCCATCCCTGCATTCATGCACTATATTAATGTTTTCACTACCAATACAGTATATAACCACATGATATTAATTTTAGCTCCTTTCTCTAGATTCCCAGCTGAATGTGAGACAAGCAGTCCTCAGCTTATGATCACATTTGGGACGGGAACTTCCTTCCCACTTAATGGGATTCATTAAGTGAGTCATCACCTGACCATGCCTGATTGCACGACCTTTTCTGCCATGGTTGTTAAGCAAATCACAATGATCATTAAGAAGATCTGATTTCCCTCACTGACTCTGCTTGTCATAAGCTGAGTGGGAAGGACATAACTGGCAATTACATGATCCTGCTATGCTGCAACTGTTGTGAAAACATGCCCAGCGGCCAAATTTCAATCATGTAAAAGCAGGGATAGCTGCAACCGTTGTAAATCAGAGAACCGATTATAAGTCACTTTTTTTCAGTGCCGTCGTAACTTTGAACAGTCATTAAATGAGTGGCCGTAAGTTGAGAACTATCTGTAATTACATATGAATCAGACGGTGGGAGCAGGGAGGAGACTACCTATGTGGATGGCAACAGATGTAATAAATGGTTGCCACCGATGCAGAAGAACTGGCTCATTGACTCATATGCACAGATGAAAACAAAGTCCCTAGGAGTAACATCACCCTGCCAACAAAAGTGCGTATAGTCCAGGCCATGGTTTTCCCTGTTGCAATGTATGGCTGTGAAAGTTGGATCATAAGAAAGGCTGAGTGCCAAAGAATTAAGGCCTTTGAACTATGGTGCTGGAGAAGACTCCTGCGAGTCCCTTGGACTGCAAGGCAATCAAACCGGTCAGTCCTAGAGGAGATCAACCCTGACTGCCCTTTAGAAGGCCAGATCCTGAAGTTGAAACTCAAGTACTTTGGCCACCTAATGAGAAGGAAGGACTCACTGGAGAAGGGCCTAATGCTGGGAAAGATTGAGGGCAATAGAAGAAAAGGACGACAGAGAATGAGGTGGCTGGATGGAATCACTGAAGCAGTGGGCGTGAACTTAAATGGACTCCAGAAGATGGTAGAGGACAGGGAGACCTGGAGGAATGTTGTCCATGGGGTTGCAATGGGTCGGACACGACTTTGCAACTAAGAACAACAAGGAGTGACTATGCAGAGAATGGGTAAGATGAGAATATTCTGAGAGAGCAATAATTGCAGCATGCAGGAGAGTGTTGTTTTTCAAATTGTAACTCAATTCCACTAAACTAACCTTGTGTACTTCAGAAATTCAATATAGTCCTCTAGTATTCAAGCTCTATTAAGCTTGAATGGTTACTGTAGTCCTCTGCCATTCACAGACATAAATTGCAAAGCCTTTTTTACCCATTCTAACCCATTCGGGGCACATTTTTCCAATTCAGATCACTATATCTGCTTAATCATACATGAACAAATGGCATCTTCTTGCAGTCTTCAGTATTTTTCTTCCCTTCAACATGGGTAATAATAAATAACACTTTATAACGTATAACAATATTTCTCCATTAGTCCTCACCAGGAAACTGTGTCTAATGGCTTTCAGACAAGGTGGATTATTAGACTAACTTTTCATATTCCAGCCTGTTCGAATATCATTAACTATAATTTTCCACTGCAGACACCGCTGAGTCAACAAATGCTGGTTCCACTTCAGACACCACTATGTTGCCACACATCACAAGAACAGTGGAACCCCTTAGTTTATCTAAAAAAAAGACCTGCAACATCTCTTAACTTCAACAGTTACTGCAAAATTTAAAAAAAATCAGAATTTTACCACAGAAGTAAGAGGGAGTTTAATTTTGCACCTTCCACATATTGAAATGAACTGATAATTTGCAAAAGTGGAAAGCAATCTAACTAACAAGAACCAACTTGAGAAAATATATAGCTATATCACCATTTAGAGACAGGGTTCCAATCGGTACTCTTCCCCTTGTTTATTTTGGGATACGGCTAACTGCAATTTTAAAGTAACTTTTAAACCAGATCAGATGTTGCATCCTGATTGCAAAGCAATTGGACACACGGCTATGCAGAAATCTGAACCTCGGATAAGGCTGCCAAGGGTTTAAGCCTTAGCAGTGATGCTCTCTGCTCTGGAAAGTGCGCAGACCTGGATATCGCCCTATGTAGAAATTGAATTCACAGGTACTGCTTCGCTGATGCTTCATTCTAAACCAGGGGTGTCAAACTCAATTTCACTGAGGGCCGCATCAGCATTGCGGTTGCCCTTGGGGGGCTGGGTGGGTGTGGCCAGAGTGGGTGCAGCCTACTGGGTGGGCGTGGATGGAGTGGGTATGGCCTACTGGGTGGGCATGTGTTTGACATGTCTGTTCTAAATCCTTCATTCCTTTCCCAGGTTTTTTTATTTACTTTTATTGTTTACCGACCTCATTTTTACATGCTCATCCCTCCTCCATTCTCCACATTAGGAAAAGTTACATTTCTCACTTTTGGAAAAAGTCTCTAGACTAGAGAATAATCCACAGTTTTAAAAGGTAAAAAAATAATAATGGATGGATTGTACCGTCTTAACTTCTTTCCTTAGGGAACAGAATATTTTAACATATTTCTGAAAGCAAACAACTACCCTCTCTCTTTTTTTGCCACATTCTGCTGATTTATTATGTTTTGGATTTTCAGTAACCCTGCAGTTCATCATACTTACAGATCCTTTAGGGCCTGGCACACCCCCGTCACCCTAACAAAGCAAGATGAATGATGTCAGGATGGCATAGATATGTGCTGTTTTACAAATAATCAATTCCATATCATTCTTTCTACATACACTGTACAGGTATTACCACAATTGCAGGAAAGCACGAATCTTAGAGGGATGCTTCAAAAGGATGAAAAGCAATAACCACAAATTCCACCATAGAATACACATTTTAAAGTTGAAATGTTGAGTTATACCTTAGCTGAGTTTCCACCCACACAGAAATATTTATATGTCACATTCAAGGTATATTTTTGGAGCGTTCTTGGCTTGAGGTTATCTTTGCAACAATCAAAAATAAGAAACCCAATAAATTTTTGCATCAGAAACAGCTAGGGCAGACCAGTTAGTTCATGTCTCCCCCAGTCTCAGCCCTGCCTAGGATTGCAGCTTTTGTGGCCCAGAAATTCTCAGGCAGGACAGCCAGCGACGAGTAAAAATTCAGGAAAGATCATACTTGGCAGGAATCTTATAAAAGAAATATGGAAATATCACCTGAGAATAAAGCCATGAAGATTACCTTGGCCTTGAGGGCTGCTAAACTGATTCATGCATTTATCTTTAAATGAAGAGGGAAACTTCTTTTCAAGCTCCCACTTGGGGGAGAGGAGTTTTTCCAGCTAACCAACTCACGTAAATGAGGTGCTGCTTTGTGGAGCACATTAGCCATGCACTGCTGGGTAGGAAAGAGATGTGTTGATGATGGTTGTTCTCAGACTGTCACCAAGTTCAGCAAAGAGTTTGTCACAGAGCAAGAAGAATCAAGAACCCAGCTCACATTTCTTGATTTGGTGAAGGTTACTGGCTCTGTTCTCTTTGAGAAGAGTACCATAACCTAGTCCAGGGGTAGGCAACCTTGGCTCTTTTATGACTCGTGGACTTCAACTCCCAGAATTCCTGAGCCAGCCACGCTGGCTCAGGAATTCTGGGAGTTGAAGTCCTCGAGTCATAAAAGAGCCAAGGTTGCCTAACCCTGGACCAGTCAAATGGCATTTGTGTCTGTTATTTATCACGATGACGTGCCTTTAATCCTTTTTGGAGGCTGCATCTAGTTGTTTGCAATTACACAACCATATCAATTGAATAAATAATAAATGTGGAAACAAGCAGCCTTGTGACTTTACTGCATCCAGAGTGTTCTAGGAATTGCAAATCCCTTCCGAACATTTTGCTACATTACTAAAGGGTTCCTTTATGAAATATGCAGTGTTTGCAGGAACAATTTCCTTGAACAGTTTAGTCATAATAAAGGACACAATAGGGTTTTTTTGTGTTTTAAGCCTGAATATTTCCTATTGAAAGGAGTGAACATTGAGTCTTACAAGATCGCCTCTTTGTCCAGACTCTCCTTCTCCCCCAGCAGGTCCCTGTGATATAAAAAGAAAGACAAGCCTAGATTGTAAACAGGCATCATATACTTTCCAGAATTTTTGGCACGGCTGGATAATAAATGAACCGTGCAAGTTTATATACTCACTTGGGCTCCTTTTGGCCCTCGCCCACCAGCTGAACCCTAAATGCAAATAAAAAAAAAATTACAAAGTCATTCAGATGTGGCCTAATAATTAAACAGTGAATCAGGTCTGTATTTAGAAATTGAAAATGTATAATTTGACTATTAGAGCGTTCTTCTACCAAATCACCAAAAACATGAATGGAATATTAATTCAACATTACAACCCAAAAGCATGCTCTATAAATGCTTAGCATTTTATCATCGCAATCCACACCCACATGTTTACACTGGAATGAAAACTCTCCTGAAAGCAAGGTCCCCATTCAGTTCAAAGGCTGAGTTCATTCAGGCATCTGGAACTGCCCATTTCAATCACTGTATAGGGAAAATTCTCTCCAGGAATGCCATGCAGTTTGAAATGACGGCATTTGCAAAGAATCAATGGTCTGGGGCAGTGGTGGGATTCAGCCAGTCCATACCACTTCAGCAGAACCGGTAGCTAAATTTTTGTTGACCAGGCCCAGACTGGACTTCTGGAAGTGGCATCCACGCAGAGAACCGGTTGTTCACATATTTGAATCCCACCACTGGTCTGGGGTGATAATCATGATAGCAACACTGTAATCAGTTGTGCTGCAACTAATTTTTGTTTTCTATCTAGGACGCGTTTAAAGTTGTTGTTTTTTTAAAAAATAATCCTGTATAAATGTCTCTATATTTTTTCACTTAAGCTTTTTCCTTCTCATTCACCATTTTCTCTTTTAATTTCGTGTCAAAACTGATCTTTTTTCAATTTTTTTAGGTATTTTGTTACCTACATTTATTTATGTCTATGCTTATCCCACTGATCTTCACTGGGTTGCTTGGTTCACTTACTTAAACTACTTAAACTAAATCAGTTTGCAGAATATATTGAATTTTTTTAGGAGAAATATTTTCCATCTTCCAAGGCTCAGCTTTAACAATTGCATAGCAGACATTAGATGCAGATAAGACCTGAAGTTCTTATCTATTCTAGCTTCATGCTAAGTCAAGTTTTTTTCTTTAAATGTTTGCCTGCCTTTCTTAGACAAGCTTGGCAACAGTGGAACAATTTGTTCTACAAAACAGATAGTGGAGAGTTTCCATTATAGTTTTTTTTATTTTGTTTGTAAAAACAAGAACTTTTCATACTAATAACACTTAGAGCCTAATATTAAACCAAACAACAAAATGAAATTTAAAATAGAATTTTGAATCAAACTACTCTTCTAAATTTGCTTAGCTCTGAAGCTAAGAGGATGGATGGAAGCGAATCTACTCTGCTCTTTGCCATCTCCCCAGTCATCTTTGTTTTGACAAATTAATCTGCAGTCTTTTATATTAGAGACATATGAAATAATGGTTTCGTGCATACCTGTTGCCTCTCTTAGCTTTAATAGATAGCAATTCCTGCTAAGCAGCAGTAAGGCCTAAATAAAGGGCACTAATGAATAAGGAAAGCAATCAAAAACAAAAATATTCAGTGCTTACTATTAGCTAAGGTTTCCAAGAGATTGTATATCTTGCTGTTTATTGAAGGAAAAAAGCAATAGTGGCACTGTTTTTATATAATGCACCATTAAAGCTGAAAGAAGCAGCACATTGCAAGAAAATGTATGTAAACATTATAGACTATACTGACACTGCTAAACCAAAATATTGGAGAGACTGGATTGTGGCAACTGTACAGGGATCTGTTGTGGGTGATTGTTGGTTACTCTCCAATGATTTGGACCTGACCTAGCCAATAGCTCATTTCCCATACATTCAATCTGGTTTTGTAATATATTAGAGAACATGCACGAGTATTTCTGACAAAGATGAATAAGTAGCTTCTCATCCTCACATAAAATACCTGTGAGGGTATAATGGTCTTGAAGTAGATGACTGACCCAAATAGATTAAAGCTTGTATCAATAGATGGAGAACCTAGACAAGTGGCAAATGAAATTTGAACCCTAACATAACCAACATCTGATAAAATGTATATGGCAAATGTATATTGATTTTATGTTAAACTTCCATATCCCCAAAGGCTACAAAGATGGGACAAAAATTGAATTCTTTTAACAGGTTCTTAAAAATCATCACCAAAGTAAGGCACGTGTGCAACCACAAATGTTGGCTTACAAACAGCAACTTGTGGTTGTCACTGTGGATGAACTGCTCTACTCAAAGATCAAGGCTAGCCATATAAAGTAGATCCACACAACTGATGCCCTGAAAGTTAAGCCATAAGGCAGTAAACTATATCCTGCTTAAATTGCATGTCTGGAATTGTAACAGCCTGGCTGGCTGCTGGAGTTCTTTTGTTGTGATCAGGGATTGGAGTGGCAAATATATCACTGCAGATATCCCTGGAAGTTAAGAAAATATATTTGAAATAGGCTTGGAGAAGACATGTTTCAGACAAAGTGGAGGCAATTTGTGCCTCATCACCCTGCATCCTGTGACTCCTTGCCTACAGTTCTACACCTGCACTGACCTGTATTTGGAAAGAAGAAATAACCAGTGTGCTAAGATTAGATTAAGAAAAAAAATAAAACAAATCAAGTTCCCCAAAGAACTTTAAATGAATGGTTCAGTCCTAGGGTGTACCAGTATAACAATTTGCATAAGTCAGGGGTAGGCAACCATGGCTCTTTTATGAGTCGTGGACTTCAACTCCCAGAATTCTGGGAGTTGAAGTCCACGATTCATAAAAGAGCTAAGGTTGCCTACCACTGGCATAAATGGTCCCAATTAGTATTTGCATCAGGGGGAAAATATCAGTAGGAAAAATAGTAGACAAAATATAGTCAAAAAAATAGATCATGTGTACTACAAAAACCACTGTTGCTATGGAAAGACCTAGCTAGCGCTAGCAAATGGCAAACGGAAACTATTATCCATATTCCTACATGCACAAATCCTTCCAAAGCACATTTCTTCTGCCAATGTAATAGCTGTTTTTTGGAGGGGAGGGGAAAGAGGGGAGGGCTTCAAATCAGTCTTGACTCCTGGTGACTGCTTGGACAAATTCCTGCAGTTTGGGGGTAAAATTTCAGAAGTGGGTTGCCCATGCCTTCTTTCTAACGCTGAGAGAGAATGAATGGCCCAAGGTCCATCCAAACGGCTTTGTCTTTCTGAGTGTTATCATTTTGGCTATCAGGTCAAAAAACAAAGCACTTTTTTATATAAAATAGCTGAGTCAATAATTAGGCATTGAAAACAGGAAGATGATCATCTGAAATTAGGTTGGATTGCAAATAGAAGGACGGGACTCTATTCTTCTAAGCTCTGCTATCAGCACCTATCAGTCACATTGCTTTCCTCAGAACAACGGAAGTAGCATTGCAGCATCACAGCACCGTCTTCGGGGCATACAAAATGGGCGGGGCATGCCCCATGGTGCTACAACATCACTTGGAGTACTCTGATTCCCCCACAGCCCCTCTGCAGATGCTACTGAGTAACACACTTCAGAAACAGAAAGATCACTTCTAGAAGCCCGGAAAGAAACAGGAAGCAAATTCCACAAAACAATTATCTGAAAAACTTTTGCAACAATAGAGGTTCTAGTCAGACAGAGTACAGGAAGCAAAGAATCGCAAGGTGGGACAAAGGATGAACAGTGGTTTGAAATTATTGCAGAAGAGGACGGAATGGACTTGAAGAAAAGTTGGCTCAGAGGCCAAACCAGGCAGCCAGTACTTTAGGAAGGACACGGAGTGAGAACAAACAAATGCTATATTTCGGCTTATTTCTCTTGTTGAAAGGTTTACACTAAGGACTCTTGCGCTAACAGCAAGATGAATTGTTCTGTCAATATTGAGTAAAGGAGAAACAGAGGAGGGGAAACTAAAGGGGGAAAAAATCTTTTAATTATACAGTACAGTAACTCTCAAAGAACACTGGAAAGAAAACTTAATACGATAATTTCATAACCTTCCATTTTTTCTCCTTTCAGTGGATTTAAACGTGGCACAAGGCAAAAAGATGGGAGGCTCCTGTTGTGTGAAAAAATGCGGACCAAAGTCAAGTGAGCAGCACCTTCTGACTTGCATCTGCTTACCCTATGGCCTTTAGCACCTGGCAGTCCCGGAGGCCCAGGTAAACCTGGCAGTCCAGTGTCTCCTTCTGCACCCTGTGAAAGCAATCAGAGACGACAGGGGCTTTAGAGCACTTTTACACAGAAGAAAGGGAGAGTTGAGATAGACCGCCGGGTTTTGGATTAGACCTTTCTCGCAGCTGGCTGTGCATCTCATTCAAAACAGTAGGGTGGGTTGAACTCTGGAGCTGGCTAGAAGATGCATGGCTATATAAATGTTTTAAATAAATGAATACACGCTTTGTTGTGATTTGCTGCTTCAGGAAACAGCACCTTCTTGATTTTATCAATCTGCTAAAACAATGGGGTCTTTATGGGCTTGGGGAAATGCTACAACCCACCCAAGCCTATGGTGCATTTCCTTCTAACAGAGAGTTCTTTCAGAGCCTAAATATTGAAACTGGCCTCCCAGCAGAAACCACGCAAATGAAATCCGAATAGTTTCAAAGAAGGTATTCATGCTGGGTAACTACTAGCAAAAAAAAAAAAAAAGGTAGCCTTTCAGCATTCCTGTATATGAATATTAAAATCTAACTTGGCTCTGCAAGGAGGGAAGGAGCTTCTGATACTAAAACATAAAAATGTTAGTTACAAAAAAAGCTAGTAAAAAAAGTAGATTTTTTAAGGAAGTTTAAAGAATGGGGCAATTGAGCCACGAGCTGAAACGAATGAAGCTGACAATGCTCCCTATTCACAGTTCATCTTTTCCTTTCCTGAAGAAATGACCTGGTTACCACAAATCCTTGACCAAGAAAACTCATGTGATGAAAGTCGAGGCTGCCTGCTTACCATTTTACCTGGTGACCCTGGAGGACCGGCAGGACCTGGCTCACCTCTGCTACCCTTTTAGAAAACAAACATATGGTTAAAGTAGAAATAGCTACATTTCCTGAGGTAAAATTGCTCACTTTTGAAGATGAATCGTAAATATTTCAGTAAAATCAAGCAATTTAAAGACTTCTAATTGCACAAAGAAGCATAATAGGGAAAAAGAAAGTTATTGCAACCCCCCCCCTAGAATTCAATTATAGGATAAAAATAATAGAGATAGTTAATTAATTAAATAAGAGAGATAGCTAATAAATGCATACATTCTTTTTTTAAAAAACTCATATTGCAACTCTTCCAAGAAATGGTTTAATAGCAATGCACAGAGATATATGTAAAGTCACACTAGCTTCTTGAGACAGTTATACACCAGGGGTGACAGAAACCAGGCCACCCAAACAAGCGAAGCCCCTTCCACAGGATGCAGGAAGCATGCAAAACCATGCCTCCTCCTGTCCATGGAAAAACCTTTCTCTGTGGAACCAGTCCCTGGTGCCCAAAAGATTGGGGGCCACTGTTGTACATGACTAATTGCTGAAAAGGCATGCAATTTGGAGAAAGTAGTGCAGGATTCTGCTATCGCATCTGAAATGACTCTCTGCTTGAGGAATGCCATTTACATAAAAAAATAATAATCCATAAATGCCTATTTGGCAGCTTCTGGTGGAGGCCCAGAGAATTTGGCCCTGCAAGAGTCATGATGCACTATGTAGGAAAATGTTTGCAAGGTAGCTACTTTCAATTGATTGATTGGTTGATTGATTGATTGATTATGTGAAAAGCCAAGTCATTTTCAACTCCAAGTGACAATACAGGTAGGCTTTCTCCAAGAAGATCTATCTCTAACCTGTTCCTTCAGGTCTCCCATCATGATCCTCTAGTATACTCATTGCCTGCAACTGAGTCCATCCATCTTGTGGTTGGTCATCCTCTTCTTCTCTTTCCTTCCACTTTTCCAGGATTAAAGCCTTCTCCAGAGAGCTAGATTTCATAATGTGTCCATGGACAAATAATTTGAGCCTGGTTATTTGTGCTTCGAATGAGAACTTAGGGTTGACCCGTTCAATGATACATTGCTTTATATTCTTGGCTGTCCATGGTATTCTCAGGAGTCTTCTCCAAAACCAAATTTCAAAGGCATAGATACTCTTCTTATCCTTCAAACTACTTTTGGGGAGCCACTATTAGGCAAAAATCAGAAAGAGTCTGATAGCACCTTTTCCTATCATGAGATATTATTAAAAGACATATTGTAAACTTTCATGAGCTGTAGATTGCTTCATTAGATACAGCAATGACATGAGCTGTAGCTCACAAAAGCTTATCCCTCTTAATATAATGTGTTAATCTGAAAAGGTTATCAAAGTCTTTTTGATTTGGGGTTGCTATAAACTAACGTGGCTGCCCTCCTACAATGATTATTTGCACTTTCACTGGCTTTTCATGTATATTACAAGTACAAATTAAAAGGATTAGATTTATCTACGCCTAATGCATAGTATATGTAAGTATTTCTAGTCAAAGGATCATGCTCAGCCTTTGAACTGCAAACTGGAAGCTATGCACTGAAAAGTAAAAAAAAAAAAAAATCAGGGCCAGAATAAAAACTATAATTGATTGGATTTCATTTGCATTTAATTAAAATTAATCATAATTAATATAGTTACTATCCAAACATATATGTATTTCATATTTCCCTCCTTTTCTTAAATTAAAACCTTTTGGAGAACTCATAGCTTCTGGGAACTGTTCTAGAATGTGGGAGTCAAATTTTGAACTTCAATTTATTGAATATAACTTGGCTTTTAAATTCATTTTGAAAAGGTTGATGACCTTGTAGCCTTCCAGATTATGTACAATGTGATTGCCAAAATTCCAAATAATCTGCATAACTATTTTTGAAGGCAAACTCTGGAGAAGCCTTGTGAGATAGCTTTCCTAGTTTTCTTTCTGTGAAGTATAAAATAATCTTTGCTTGAGGGAGATGGGAAAAACAAGACCCATAACCAAAAAATTGTGTTTGTGTATTAGTCAGCCTGGCAGCATTTGCAAGAAAGTTACTAGTGAGTTGTACATCACCAGATGAGAAGCACAACAAGAAAGCCTAATTCTAACTTGGGTTGTGTATTAACACCACTAGATTGGAACAATAATATAGAAGAAATGGGCTGCATCTCAACATTATGTGGAATCACTTTTCAAACAAGGCTCAGCTTGGAAGTTGACTAGAAAATAAATGGACACCAATGCCTCCTTGATTGCCTGCCTTCAAATAGACTGTGGATTTTGTAAATGAAGGGTAAATTTCAAGGACATCCCATATAAAAGAATATACATATCAAATGACTTTCCTACTACTATTACAGGAAGATCAAGAATGCTGACTATTTGTTTAGGTTTATAGAGGTATAAAAATAAGTACACGATCCTCAGCTTGAGCTCTGTCCCTTACATTGCATTTTATTTCCCTCTTTGAATATAATTTCAGGTTTATTTCCCTTTTTATTCGCATCCACCAAGGTCCAGAAAAATTAAAGACGGATTTTCCCCAAGGGTTGCCCAAAGTGAGTCTGCTCCCTCTTCTTCCTAAGAGCAAACAAACAGGGACCGGAGAATGATTTTTTTCTGTGGCCCTACCTCAGTTGTGGAATATCACCTCTAATTCCACAAAGTGTGAGGCAGTGACATTTATTTCCATCCAGGGCTTTTAATTCAGCGATTGCTGGAGTTTTACAGACAATTAGTTCACCTTTATTTTCACTGCAGTGCCTTAGTTTTAATGCAACTTGTTTTTTAAAGAGGTTCTACTCAGGGCTTTTTTTTGTCATAGAAAGCCCAGAATGGAGTTCCGGCACCTTTTTTAGATAGAACCTTGTCGGGTAGGCAAGGCGGGTTGTATGATGTGGGTGAGTTCCGGCACCTTTTTTTTTTAAGAAAAAAGCACTGGTTCTACTGCATATTGACAAGAGCGAGGATGAGAAAAACAGAGCAAGACAGAGAAAATAATGTAAATCAAAACAAAGGTACTATCCCAAGGATAGAGAGTGGATGTACATCCACCCCTTCTAGAATTTTCCCAGTTTGTAAATTACTTCTCATCAGAAAGTGATTTCTTTTAACAACCAGGATCAGAAAATTCAGAGCCTCAATCTAAACCAAAAGCTAAGCAAGTGAACTTACTGATGGTCCTTTGGGTCCCAGTGATCCTGGTTCTCCTTGTGGTCCTTGTTCTCCCTATTGGTGGGATTGCAAGAACGATACACAGTATATATTTAAAGATTGATATTTTAGGGGGAAAAATGCAAGTTTTCTGGTTTTAAAAAAAAGGTTAAACTTGAGATAGAAATGATCTTACGGGTTTGCCCGAATTTCCCATCAAGCCAGGTTTCCCAGGAGAACCAACATCACCCTATTGGAGAAAAAAAGATTTTAGCCACTTTAAAGTATAACAGCCATTCTCAGGCCATTTCAGTGGCAGAATAAGGCACTTAACCAGCCCGCCTTATTTAAAAATCTTTTTCACTAGTCTTTATTTCTCCATCTCTGTCTACTTTTTCCTTATTTGACCACATGAGATACATTTGAGTAACAGAGTCATTCTCTGTTCCATTGCCACCTTATCTACAATGAGATTGAGAGCAAACTTAGCAAATTATTTTTCTATGTCTAGACCAGTAATAGGCAACCTTGGCTCTTTTATAACTCGTGGACTTCAACTTCCAGAATTCTGGGAGTTGAAGTCCACGGGTCATAAAAGAGCCAAGATTGCCTACCCCTGGTGTAGACCATTCTGTACCATCTTCCATTTTTTTTCAGAGTGATCTTTTTTCTTTTGTAACTAACAATGCATAAACTTGTTTTTTATCCAGTTCTGTAATATATTCACTACCTTTAAACGAACTGATTGTGTGCTTTCCTTTTATTTTACATCAGTGAGGGCTGTCCAGGTCTCTGGATTCCAACTCCAGCAGGTGCTTTAGTAGCTGCAGAAGACAGCCACGCATTCCTGGGAAAAGTCCCAGTTGCTTTTAGGTTGCAGAAAGGCATAATGGTTGCACCCTTCTGTGCTCCAAAGTACTATTTTTATATCAAATCCAAAGGGCTACACAGTCATAATATAATTGCCCTCCATTATTTTTCTAATATTAGATACAATTGATGATATATCTATATACTACTAAAACTCTCCTTCCTGTAATCTTTCACTGGGCAAAACTATATATAGGCCAACAATTTTTGAACAAAAGTATCTTAAGTGGACTAATTTAAAGAATCCATCCAAAAACTTACTTCGTCCCTCCCTCACGTATGTTCCTTTCTTCTTTCCTTCCTTCCTTCCTTCCTTCCTTCCTTCCTTCCTTCCTTCCTTCCTTCCTTCCTTTTCTTTCTTCCCATGCCTCTCTCCTTCCTTTTTTTTCTCTTTCTAATGCTCTTTCCTTCCTTTCTCCCTCCTTCCCTCCTTCCCCCTCCCTTCCTCACATTCTCATCACTTCCTTCCTTCCTTTCTTCCTTCCTTCCTTCCTTCCTTCCTTCCTTCCTTCCTTCCTTCCTTCCTGCCTGCCTGCCTGCCTGCCTGCCTGTCTGCCCGGTTGCTCACTTTGACAATGAGGTGGTTCTGCAGCATGCTTTCCCTGGCCACCATGACTCCCATGGAATTGAAATTTGGTTAATTTTATAAAATATTTTATGAAACAAAAATAGCATGAGTTGAAGCAAAGGGTCTGAGCTCAACCAAACCCATGGCAGCATTCAGGTTCAAACACGGGCTTGCTAACCTCCATCCCAGCATCCTAACCAGGCGTGCTCCAACATAAAAATAATTATAAAACAGTTCATGATATAATACAAAATGTCATAAAATATTTCCTGTGCTGATGTTTCACTATGACATGAATGTATCCTATTTTTTCAGTGAAAGCAGTACATTAGAAGCTCCATCACTTTTGAAGCCCTTGAGCAATATGGTAAGGACATATCTCTGAAATGATGACTCAAGAGGTCATGGGCTGTCTGGTATGTAATATTTATCTCTCTTCCTAAACAAGGACTTTTTAATAAATGGCTTGTTCCAAGCCTCAATATATATAGCTATTAACCCTGTATGAATATTCTATTTTAAATGTGATTAAAACATTATTAATCACTCGGAATTTCCCAGGTGAATTTATTGATTGCATTTGTATCCCCTTGCATCCTTGTAGCTTCTCTGTAATTTCACTAGAATGCACATATTAAAATATTCAGAATCCAATAGAATCCAGAAAGATAAACTATAGAAAGCAAATATCCCAAATAGGATGCAGAGAGCAAATCTAAAAAGGACTGTTAGATTTTTATTGCCTTCTGAAAGTGCTCTGTCTTCACCCTTTCCAGATGGCAAATGAAGTCTGACTTCCAATGGGAGATGATTCCAAACTACTGGCACTGCCATAGATAAGCAACACCTCCAAATGGAGAACCACCAGCTGGGCTTTCCGACAAGAATAAATAGGTCAGTCTGACTCATGCAAGCCAACACAGTCCCGAAAGTAGCTTGGTAAAAGCTTTATAGGTCAATACCAATATTGCACCTGGAAACCTACAGAAATGTAGAGCATTAGCAAAGTGTAATGCTATCTGACCAGTGAGTACAAGCTAATGTAAGGGTTGCTGCATTAACTTAATCAACTGAAATTTTGAAGTGGTCTTTAAAGGCAACACCACGTACAGGATGTTGCAGTAGTTTGACCAAGTATTTATAAGGGCATGATTTGATGAATCAACTTCTCACACTCCAGGTAGACTAGCCAAAGCTAGATGAGGCTCTCCTGACCACAGCCTCCACTTACTCTTCAAGTATGGGCTACAAGTTCAGGAGAACCACCAAGTCATTGACCTCCTCCCTCAAGGATACTGCTTCCTCAGCCGAGAGAGGCCCCCAAGGAATGATCTCAGGGCCAGGTCATCTGTTGCCAGCAGCGAACCAAGGGCTCTATGATTTTCCTCCTCAGATTATCACAAACATCTCTAAGCACTCACCAGAAAGTAGCTGGATTCATAAGGGGCTTGAGGCAGACCATCCAAATGGGTCCAACCTTGTGAGATATAGGCAGCTGAGTTATAGCTAGACTCGGAAATGATCTGACCGTGACAAAGGGACGATGGTACTGACCTCCAGATCCAGATCCCAAGGCAACTGCTACAAAGTCAAAATGAGCTTAACCATGAGATTACTGGGATAAGCCCTTAGTTGCTGTGAATCCTGAGCTCTTCTCAATTCAGCTCCCATTGCATGACATTTTAAGTTCCCTAACACCAATGGGAGAGTGAGGGAGAGACTTCTTCAGTAGCCTGGCTGTGGAACATGCAATTCGGTTAGGCTTTCTTTTATGGCTTAGCACAGACTTAGGCATTTTATGCCCCCCAGACCACCTTTGGCTGTCACTGTCTATCCCATGTGAGGTCAGTTGGGAAAAAGAATTCAAATATAAATAAGGGCACCATGGGGGCAGAAGAAGAAGCCAAGTTGGCTGGTGTCTGTGGGAGGGCAAGGAGAGAAAACCCTTCCCTGCACTTGCACAGTGCTCACCCCTTACCTGGAGCAGCCTGAAGCGTTGAGGTGAGGGACTTTGAGTACATCAAATCAGATTATATTGGTTTGGCCCTCCCTCCCCAACAGCCCCAGTTTCTCATGTGATCCCTTAGGAAAATTAATTGCCCACCCCAGGCTTAGCATGTTGTATCAACCAATCTGTATAACTCATTTCTACTGCAGTTTAGCTATTGCCCATATCCAAAGTAAATGGTTCTTTCATTAACCAACTTAAGCATGCAGTATGAACACTAAAAAAAAAAAAAATCTCACTTCAGTTTTGACTTGCTCTAACACTGGGGTCAAAGGGAAATAAAAATTCAGAGTCAATAACTGTTCTAGAGTTTTTGAAAATAGTAACTTGTAAAAATGGTAATCCCAGTAGACCCGTTAATAAAGTCAAGATTGAAAAGAAGCTGGTGTTTTGAATTTGGACTGTGGGAACTTTGATCTAAATCTCTGCTCAGCCATGAAGCTGTCTGTCTAAATAAACTTTCTCTCCTTCGACCTTCTGCTCAGCACTCTAAAGAGGACACTGTAAATGGAATTGTCGCATTTAGGCTCCCAAGAGAAGGAATAAACAGTTCCTTCTGTAACAGTTCCATCTGTAAAGAGGATGGACTATTTCCAAATTTCCTAGCATACTTTACCTTTGGGCCAGCAACACCTTTTGCTCCAGCAGAGCCAGCTAAGCCCTAAAAATTAAACAGATATTGAAAATATTTGAAATATTGTAGTGAAATTTCTTAAGGGAAATGTCAAAAGTTTGCTTTACTTTGCAACCATTTTTCTTGAAACCCTATAAATATTAATTAATGAGGTTTCATGTCCTCAAATTCACCAGGAACATAAGAAAAATGAATGCTTTAATCCAGTACAAACAGGCACAAGGTAATTGATGTATCCTATTATAATGATAGATATGTCCTATATATGTCATGTCCAATCCTAATGACTTATACTTATTAAAAAGGTGTCTATTCAGATATGTATCAATGCAAAGTAACCCAGCATTGGTAGATATTTCACAGAACACAGAAGAGCTCTTAATGAGTTTTGGGAGGAGGGGAGGTCCTCAATTTTACAAAATTTTACAAAACTTAATGAGTTTTTGGAGGAGGGGAGGTTCTCATTTTTCAATTTATTCATTAGATCAGACATGTCAAATACAAGGGCCAGGGGCCGGATGCAGCCCGTGAAGTGGTTTCATGTGGCCCGCGAAGCCATCCTAGAAACTATGAGGGAATGGCCCCGCTGCCTTGGCCCTGGCCCAGGCCGGCTGGGAGGGAGCCAATGTACAATTTTGTGGTGGCCATCTATGCTGAAATGCATTCAGTCTTAGCTCCACAAGGCCGTCTGGAAACAGCAAGGAACCAGCCCCTGCCATGTCGCCCCCGCTCCCTGGTTGCATGCTGGGGAGGTGTCACCTTTGTGAGGAATGAAGAAATGCATCATCACCTGAAAGTGGTCCTGGTCTCACCCCCTTCTGCCAGATACCCTCAGATCTGTCCCACTCCTGCCCAGGCCCCCAAAAGCACCATTGATGTGAACGATGTAGAGTTGGCCATGCCTACTCAGTAGGCCACACCCACTCAGTAGGCCACACCCACCCTGGCCACACACACCCCGAGGGCAACCGCAATGCTGATATGGCCCTCAATGAAATTGAGTTTGACACCCCTGCATTAGATCTTTATCCCACCTTTATTACTTTATAAATAGCCCAACGCAGTGAATATACCAAATACTCCTTTCTCCTCCTATTATCCCCATAACAACAATCCTGTGAGGTGGGTTGGGCTGACAAAAGGGAATGGGACGACTCACTGTAGCCAGCTGGGTATGACTGGGAAGGTGTGGCCATCTGAGTGCCGCCAGGTGGGTGTGGGTGAGTGGGCATGGCTGGGTCGTTGCTAAGGATTAGTTGCAGCCCACTCAGGGCGGCTGACTTGCCTTCAGGGTGGCTGACTTGCCTTCAGCCTCTTATGTTTTTACAGAAAGGAGTTGCATGGTCAACATGCAAAAAGAGTGACACTGATCTATTGGTTTTGCCTGGACTTACATCAAAGAATTACTATAGAAATTAAAAAGTGCCAGGATACTGCCTTATTTCATTCCTTTGGGGTTTTTTTTTGTTGTTGTTGTTTTTAGTAAAAATGTCATTTTGGACTTATACTAAATTACTGTCATGATCAACAAAATAAATTGGTAACTGATGAAGGATGCCACCAATTTTTCTCACAGACTGTCTTTGGGGATTGAATTAAAAGCTGTCTTGATGAAAGGTAGTACCTAGTGTACAATTTGCTCTACCCAACACGGTAATCAGCCAGAAATGTACCAATTGTTTTCATTATTTGAACTATATTAAGCAATTTGCAAGACTGATTAACTTTTTAAGAACGATTGCCTTTCCCTTTTGCCACTGTATACATATACTATAAGCATGCAATTTGATTATTAAAATTAAAAAAATCTGGCTCAGTAAACATCCAGTTTCAGTTAGCTTTCAAATGTAACTTTGTTTACATTTTAAATATGCAAATAAAATATGGAAAACACTTACGGGGATTCCTTGAATGCCTGTATCACCTGGAGGTCCAGGTTTTCCTTGTTCACCCTGAAAAAAATATTTGTATTTCAGATGAATTCTGAAGAAATCCTGGTAGAGAATCAAGCCATCTGCTTACATGGTATACAAAGCTGTATAGTAAGAATATAAATAGGTTTCCTACCTTTGGCAAACACCATCCCTGCCACATACCTTAAATGTAGTATTAAGCAAATGATCCAGTTAAAGTAAATCACCAACATTCACCCAAGAAATAAGGACACAGCATGTAAACATCATCCTGCTAGAACAGGCTACCTAGTGTATCTCTCTATTTTCATAACAGCCAGGAAATTGCCTCTGGAAAGATCACATTGAAGACATATGGACTTTCTACTGCAGGGGTCTTCAAACTTGGCAACTTTAAGACTTGTGGACTTCAACTCCCAGAATTCCTCAGCCAGCTGGCTGAGGAATTCTGGGAGTTGAAGTCCACAAGTCTTAAAGTTGCCAAGTTTGAAGACTCCTGTTCTACTGTATGCACTGACACCTGATAATTCAATCTTTATTCAGTGCTTGTAATCCACCAAACGGTCATTTTAAGGGAGCAGTAAAGACATTGTAAAAAAAAAAGTATGGAGATATTATTCATTTAATATGTAACCTAGTATAATAATTAAGAGATGCCTGTATCTAGACCAATATTTCTCAACTGTGGCAACTTTAAGATGTGTGGACTTCAACTCCCAGAATTTTCCAGCCAGCGTAGATTGAGAAATATTGATCTAGGCTAGTTAGAAAGTATGTATACTATTTGTCACAAATAGGAAGACAAGCAGAAGAAAGCAGTAGCTAGACATATACAGTATCTTCCACTGCATGAGTGACAATCACTAGGACTTTTACTAGCATGGATCCACCATTAACTCTTTGGGAGCAAGCTCTTTGTACCCACCTTAAGAAAGAGAGAGCTATTTTGACTGAGCAAGCTAAGGAAGTAAATGCTTGCAGGGGATTAATTAAAAAGATATAAATGGAGAGAGGTGAACTTGTGCTGGAAACACCATTTATTGTATGTCAGACTCAAGTGATACTGATCTTCTCTGAGTTGTTGTGTTGTGTACATGAAGATCCCATTAGTCACACCAAAGTGACACCAGTTTCAACATTTATCTTCACTCAATCTGGCTTTGAGCAACTGGGTCACATATAGATAGAGGGCTTTCCTTTCATTTAGTACACAGAATCATTTCTCGTTTGGAAATATATCCCCTTCTGCCCAGAGTAGTTCCAATTAACTACAATGGCTGGTGGGCATCTGTAGTTCGGTCTTCCATTAATTGGCAAATCTTCTCTGAAAGCCATCTATATTTGTTACCATCAGTACATATTCTGGTATGCATGTATTTGATTTATATCGTATCTTCTTCTTTGACTGTTCAAGGAGACTAACCAGAAAATGGATCTATTCTGGAGACCTTTCAGCAGTTAATTGGATGATGTATTCTACTTGATGGTGATAGGATGGTCTGATTAATTTATGAATTGTTGAAATTGATGACTTTTACTATGGATGTTTCCATGTTAAATACATTAATTTTTGGTTTACCACGAACATTTTGGTTCATGCTTCATTATTTTCCTAGGAGTCAGTGTGCAATACAGCAGTATACATCATGACAGGCAGACAAGCAACAATCAGACAAATAACAGTATAAGATAGATCAATCAAATACAGAATGCTTTTTTAAAAAAATAAATAAAACGAATGTGAAAACTGGTTACCAAATTAAAAAAAAAACCTCACTAATTTCTTTTGATTTCCATTTCTTTTTTTGCCTAAACATAGCAAGTTTAAATATGACAAAAGAAAGCAGGTTCTGATGCTTAATAAGCACTAGGTGATGAAATCATATTTGCCATCAGAAATTGTTGCATTCCTTATTTCATCTCTGTAAACATAGGGCGTAGAAATGCCATTTGAGAATGCTCCTCATATATTTTAAAGAAGAAGAAGAAGAAGAAGTTGAATTTGTGAATCAGAGTCCTCACCATTCTGTCTTTAGTTGGTGACACTCAGCTTATCATTGCCTTCTTCGTAGGGTTGAAAGAGAGTGATTGGCCCAAGCTTACCTAGCTGGCTTTGGGCCTGTGCCTAACATTCACAGTCTCCTTATTTCTAGCCTGGCCCCTTAAGAAGTACACCAAACAGCGCTCTGAATACAGGTATATGAACTATTTAATTCTTATGGCTGATAAAGGGACTTCAAGTAAAAGAGGCTGGCCTGAGAAAAGAAAGAGGAACTTTGGATTGGTGAATTAATAAAAAGTAGACTGTTGTCCCTGGTCTGTAGACTTCCAGGTTCTGAAGGCACCAGCCATTGTTACAGCCTTTCAGTTTTACTAATAGCTGAGAAACTTATTCATACTAATTCATCTAACTCAGTGTTTCTCAAGCTTGACAATTTTAAGGCATGTGGACTTCAACTCTCAGAATTCCACAGCCAGCAATGCTGGCTGTGGAATTCTGGGAGTTGAAGTCCACATGCCTTAAAATTGTCAAGCTTGAGAAACACTGATTGCTCTACTTCTCCATAATATTTTCCTGGTCCCCACTTGGCTGTATTAAATTAGAACAGATATATTAATTTTACTTTAAGTACCTTTGCTCCTGGCATGGCAGGTATGCCTTCACGGCCATTAACTCCAGGTAAGCCCTTGAAGAAGAAATAGCACTGTATTTTATACACTGGTATCATGTAAGTCACACACGTATACTTAAATCACACACAGTTTTACCTGGTCTTGTAAGGCAATTTAAATTTGTTGGAAATATAAATAATAAATTCCATTATACCTAAGAATCCTGGCATACATACAGTTTCTCCTTTGGGCCCAGGAAGTCCAGTAATTCCTCTAATGCCTTGTGGACCCTAAAAATAAAAGATATTTTTAAAAAAAAAACAAACAAAAGCATGTTGAAAATATTGTATCACATGTATATAAGTAGAGATGAATAAAGCAAAAGAAATGACACATTTTAGATACTCTTATGATTGGATATCAGCATTACCTCCCAACTATTTTTGTTTTCTACGTTCTTTTTTCATGCAATTTTTCATTATGCCCTGGCCCAATTCCACCACAGAGTAAGTCACATTGAAGGCAATAAACCTGCTTACACTTAGATATGTGGAATCTGTGTCATTATATGAAATAAAGTCTGCACAAACCCCATAGGACATATTTGGACTTGCATTCCAACAAACATCCCTAGTTTTAGCTGGCAACTGGAGATATTCTTATTTTTCTCAATTATTATAAGACTATTAAAAACTTACCTTCTCTCCTTCGGGGCCTGTCTCTCCCAGTGAACCTCTTGGTCCCCGATCACCCTAGAAAGGAATGCAGATAGTGATTAGCAGTCTCTGAGCAATTCCTTGAAATAACCGTATCACCTCACCAGCATGATTACCAATTACAGGAAATGCACATTGACTTCAATTGTAGCTTCTCATGTTAGGAATCTTCTGTGTGCAGATTGGAGGTTGAGGACCCTTGTGTTAGGGCACTTACTGTGGTGTCTTGAAAATTAGTGCTTGGTTGTTTGTTTTGAATGAAAATTGAGATTACGGTTTTTTGTTAATGTGAGGGTGAAGGCAATCAGTTTAATTCTATCCTGAGGCTATCAGCAGGCTAAAAGACTTTAGAATTAGACAGATTAACTCACAGCTGCCCCAGGAAGACCTTGAGGCCCCGGCTCTCCATCAAAACCACGAGCACCCTATATTGTAAAGACCAAGAAAAAGGATTATTATGATTCAAGATCTCAAAAAAAATTCCATTTGCCTAGCAATTCCAATAAGGACAAACTCAAGTTTTATATTTGTCAAGACAAATATATTATACCGTATATGCCGGCGTATTAGGCGACTCGGCGTATAAGACGACCCCCGTCTTTATCGCCGAGCCGCATTCCTAGAACGTCGTCTTATACGCCGGAAACTACCAGTATTTCCGGCGTATAAGACAACTCGGCGTATAAGACGACCCCCGTCTTTGGCGCCGAGTTTAGTGCTTCCGGAAGTCGGCTTATACGCTGGCATATACGGTATTTGTATTTGGATTCAATTTCTGTTTTGTTTTGAAATTGTTCACTATTACCGACCCATAGTTATTGGGAATGAATGGCATAAAAGAGAGTAAATAAATGAAAATTATTTACAGTATGACCAGCCCTGTGAAACTACCCATCCCAATTTTGTTCTCTTGATGAATTGCTAAAACATCACAAGGTATCCTTATCATGATTCACGACACAAAATTTTGCTATTATTCTGTCACCAATCCTGCTCTACCAAGGTGGGTTACAAGGTGGGAACAACCTGCCTCCAGAAGCGGTGAATGCTCCAACACTGGAGGTTTTTAAGAAGAGACTGGACAGCGATTTGTCCGAAATAGTATAGGGTTTCCTGCCTGAGCAGGGGTTGGACTAGATGACCTCCAAGGTCCCTTCCAACTTTATTATTATCATTATTATTATTATTATTATGGATCATCGCACAGTCAGCCAGATGTTCAGACTGGATTTGGCATTTTGTCTACCTATTGAGTCCTTACCCAGGACCTGGGATAGGCAGATGTGGATGTTTGATGGTATTACAGGTATCGTCGCAGGATGGAAGCAGTTCCTAATAAGGCCGCCTTTTGCAATTGACTAATAGCGAATTTGTCAATGCCAATGGTGTTCAAGTGGTGCTCCAGTTGTTTTGGGATTGCACCCAAGGAGCCTATTACTATTGGTACTACCCTTGCTTGCTTTTGCCACAGTCTTTCTATTTCTATTTGTAGGTCTTTGTATTTTGTTATCTTCTCCAATTCTTTCTCGTCTATTCTGCTGTCTCCAGGCACTGCCACGTCCACTATCCAGACTTTTTTGTCTTTCTTATCGACAAGAAAGACAAAAAAGTCTGGATAGTGAACGTACTATTATTATTATTTATTATTATTATCTATAAAAAAGAGCCATGAAAATCTGGATAATTCTGGGCCTCTTGAATTTCAGACATCGCCAGTATAACCCGGAATAAACCATGGTGAGTTGTCTCCCTTTAAAAAGGTATAGTTAGAATGAAGTAAAGTATTAAAATGATTAAGAAAACTTTTAAATGTTTAAACTTTTAAAAATACAAGCCAACAATTAAAGGCCTGATTAGGAAAAAAAAATGTCTGAATACTAAGGAGAAAGTCTCCTTCCTCAATTCAACACGGAATGTGATCCAACTACCGAGAAAACCTAGATTGTTGTCAGAGAAGCCAATAGTGTCTCTAGGTAAATCTTCCTAGATAAGTTTCAGTTTAAGAATAATCTCACTCTGTCTTTCACATTGGTCATTGTCACATTTGAAACATCATAACTAGCACTTCTGTATATCATCAAGACAAGTATTGGGAATGTGTGTAATGTTTCCTACACAGCAGTAATCTAGATTTTGGGGGGAGGGGGAGTTGTATGTTCTAAAGCAGTGATTCTCAACCTTTCTAATGCCGTGACCCCATAATACAGTTCCCCATGTTGTGGTGACCCCCAAGTGGGTGTGGCCACCAATAAGAGGGAGTAGGATAGCTAGGGAAAAGGGAAAAAATGGCGGACAGCATGGTTTGGCGACCCCCGTGAAATGGTCATTTGACCCCAAATGGGGTCCCGACCCACAGGTTGAGAACCACTGTTCTAAAGTAAGGTGACCAACCGTCCTCTTTTAGGAAGGACAGTCCTCCTTTTGTAAGTTCTGTCCTCCCTCAAAAAGTGTCCTCCTTCATGTCCTTCTTTTCGAAGTTTGAAGACTAATCTGCAGGGCTTTTTTTTCCCCCATAGAACACTTAGAACGGCGTTCTGGCACCTTTTTTGATGGTTTTTTTTCAACTTTTGCATGAGCTGTGCTACTCCCACTATTGGCTTTCAAAAGCCAATAGGAATTGCTGCTGAGCGTGCCAAAACACCCGGCTGGCAAACTTTGCACATGCAAGTTGTCTGTATTATTGTTGCAATGAATAAAATGTTTTTTTTAATTTACAATTTTTTTTCTTCAATTTATTTGTGTCCTCCTTTTCATTGTAAAAAAGTTGGTCACCTTATCTAAAGGCTGTCCTGGCTGATGAACTCTGCACTAAATGCAATTTCCAAATTAGATACAAAAGCAGCCACATGTAGAGTACACTGCAGTAATCAGGTCAAGGCTGTCCTCTGAGATAAGCCATAGTTAGTACATTAGCTGAAGTTGATAAAAAGGTGTTCCTTGCTGTTTTCCCAGTCTGAGAAACTAGAGAGTGAGGCTGAACCAGAAGCACTCCCCAAACAGGCACCTACTCCTTCTGGTAGAACATACCTCATTCACAGCTGAAAGTCCTCTTATTTGTGGAAGATTAATATATCTAGTTCACATATTTACACATTAAACAAAGGGATATTAAATTGCATAGTTAAAGATCGCTGGTTTACCACCACATTTTGGCAGTACAAACAGGGTTTGTTCTGGAAATGATAAAACAAGTCTTAAACTAAGTGATGAAGTAGAACAGACCCTTTGTCGCAGAACTACTTCAGAATTTTTTAATCAATTACAAGCAAAAGAGAAAGCCAACATAATCAAGAAATTGCATCTTAGAGAAAGCCTATAAACACTGAATCTAATAGGACAACATGGCCAATCATAAATAGAGTTTGAATAGCGAATGTGCTGCTTGTGTGTGTTATTTTTACTTGATGAAATATTGAGATAATATTGATAATCAATACAACACTGAATCATATGAATAATTTTAAGAAAACAAAATACCCACAGCAAAAATATATGAGTTACATATATTTTAATCTCCCATCATTCTAAAGCAGGAGTGTCCAACCTTGGCAACTTTAAGACTTGTGGACTTCAACTCCCAGAATTCCCCAGCCAGGCATGCTGGGTGGAGAATTCTGGGATTTGAAGTCCACAAGTCTTAAAGTTGCCAAGATTTTAGCACCCCTGATCTAAAGAGAGGTTGCTTAGAGCACTGGACATCTGTAGCAGTTAGATATCTAGACCGCAAAACATAAAAATGTAGAATTGGAGAACCTTTATCTTTTGGATAAATGAGAATGTATCTTCAGATTTATAGATCATTATGCATTATGCCCTAGTTGGGAAAATGATCATAATTTTAAAAAAAACAACAGTTCTAACATAAATATTAAAAGTTCTTATTACACTTTTAGTAACTAAATATTCCAATGACAGTTTTAGTTTCATTCTTAAACCGCAAACCATAAAAATGTAGAACTGAAGAACCTTTATCCTTCTGATAAATGGGAATATATATTGAGATTTATAGGTTTTTATAGAAGGGTATCTATATATGTGCTAGTTGTAAAACAAGCATAAGTTTTTTTAAAAAAAAAACAATAGTTCTAATACTAATGTTAAAAGTTTTTATCACATTTCAGTAACTAAATATTCTAGTGACTGTTTTAGTTTCATCCATATATAATAGAACCATAGATACTAAGCACCAGGATAGGCCATTCTTTGGGAACTAATGATCACGCTTGTTCTCTGAGGATCAGATTGAGGTTTGCACTCCCTGATGCCCAACCAAGGCAAGGTGAAGAAGCAGAAATGCAATATTCACCATGTCCTTATGAATGTTACCACTTATCAATTCTTCTGTAAAACCAAGAGATCGCTCAATTAATCAATATTGCCAAGCAATTTGAAATCACAAATGTATAGCTGATGTTACTTACTTTATCACCTTTAGGGCCCATAATACCAATGAAGCCTCTTAACCCTTGAGGTCCCTGAAAGGCAAAAGATACATGTAAACCTGAAGCTCATGTACCTGATGGATCACATATATGCTCATTTTCCTTGGATAAAACAGTTCTTCAGCCTTTTCTTTTGTGTCCGTTCTTGTGACAAAAATTATATCTTATTTTAAAGCAGTGTTTCTCAACCTTGACAATTTTAAGGCATGTGGACTTCAACTCCCAGAATTCCACAGCAGCATTGCTGGCTGTGGAATTCTGAGAGTTGAAGTCCACATGCCTTAAAATTGTCAAGGTTGAGAAACACTGCTTTAAAGATTTTCTAATGATTATTTTTTCTAAAAAAAATTCCAAAGTCCTAAGGAAATTAACCCTGACTGTTATTTGAAAGGATAGATACTGAAGCTAAAGCTCAAATGCTCTAGCCACCTAATGAAAAGAGAAAATGAAAAAAAAACTGATGTTGGGAAAGATAGAAGGCAAAAGGAGAAGGAGATGACAGAGGATGAGATGGTTAGATAGTGTTATTGATGCCATAAAGATGAATTTGGGCAGACTCCAAGAGAAAGTGAGGGACAGGGACGCCTGGTCTGCTATGGTCCATGGGATCGCAAAGAGTTGGACACGACTTAGTGACTGAACAACAACAAAGTCTTAAACCTTGTACATGTTTTTCCGTCTCCATCTGTATGAACTCAGTACTTCTAAAATAATGAACTGTGAGTCATCTTTTGTGAAATCAGCTCCCAGAAATAAAACCATCTTCCTTTTTGCTACTATTTGGAAGATTATGAAAAGTTGGTTATACTTAGATGGAGAAGCAACTAATGACATGTTATTTTAATTTTACATCATATATTATTATTAGATGCACCATATAATTTATTATTTATCAATTGTGTGAGCTGCTTTTGATAGGTGTGGTGTGTGAAAGGGCTTGCAGTTAAGTCTAAAGAAGCAGCCATCAACACTTTGGCACTGCAGGTAGTCCTCAACTTACAACCATCCATTTAGTCACCATTCAAAGTTACGATGGCACTATCAAAAGTGATTTATGGCCGTTTTTCACACTCACGACCGTTGCAATATCCTCATGGTCACATGATCAAAATTCAGATGCTTGGCAACTGGCACATATTTATGACGGTTGCAGGTTCCTGGAGGTCACGTGGTCCCCTTTTGCAACCTTCTGACAAGCAAAGTCAGTGGGGAAGCCAGCTTCACTTAACAATCATATTACCAACTTAACAAGTGCAGTGCTTCACTTAACAACTGTGGCAAAAAAAAACCAGTGGTGGGATTCAGCCAGTTCGGCAGAACCAGTAGCTAGAATGTACTTCTGGAAGCAACATCCACCCAGAGAATCAGTTGTTCACATATTTGAATCCCACCACTGGGTAAAACTCACTTAACCTCTGTCCTGCTTAGCGATGGAAATTTTGGGCTCAGTTGAGGTCGTAAGTTGAGGACTACCTATATAGGAAGAAGACTGGGGCTCAGGCATCCTACTTCTCATATCATCCAGCTATCAGTTTCCTTATTCCTATTGTGAATGGCCTTCCCATTTATTGTTATCTTTTCGATCTGGTGCAAGACAGGTAATAAATTAAGCAATTGGTTTCAACACGGAATGTGCAGAAGAAAAATCCAGGTAATTCTGGTTTCAATTAGTACTGAACCCAGGAGAAAAATGACTCACATTAGTTTGATCATGATAACTGTTAAGTCCCTCGTTCATGGGCGAATGATGAACACACACATGGTGCATTTAACAGTTCTTTATTCTTCTCACAAAACACCCAACAATGCAAACGGCACGCAGGCCCCTTTTATGTGTCCGGAGACCCGGACAACGGCAAACAAGTAGCAGAGTGTTTTCGTGCCCTGCGCATGTGCACAAGGCTGGCACCGCTCAGTCTGGTCCTGGGCAGCCAATGCCTTGCGCATGCGCACAATGCTGGTGCCACTCAGTCTGGTCCCAGGCAGCTTTTGGAATGCCTGGGACCAATGCAACGTCCCGAGCCTGCTTTTGCAGGCTCAGGACACAACACCCCTCCCCCCTAGATGGAACATCTCTGTGCACATACATGTACGTCATACATTTGAGAGACTGTTATATAGTTCCACAAATCAAATGCATGGAATGTGGAATATTCAAGGCTACCCTCAGGCAAAACCCCCTTCAACTCTGTTTGGGAATAAATGTATCCGAAATCAAGAAATAATACAAAATATCTTGCCCGTTATTCAGGGCCCTTATGAACTTGACAGCAACTTCACAAATTCTCTAAGATGTTTGGGTGGGCACTTGGCCCGCTGCGACCTCCTAGGGCCATGAGAGAGTGCTTGGCTCACCTGCTCACCTACCAGACTAGGTAGGCCAAGGCGTTGCTGCCCTAAATTCTTAGGTAACTCTGGTATGGTTGCCTGGCCTACCTGCTTGCCTACCAGGACTTTGCTGCCCCAAATACCTGGTTGACTTGCCCCTCTGCTGGCTGGCTGGACCCTCTAAGTCCAAGCCAGCATACCTAGGAGAGGTGGCATTCCCGGGTCCACAATGGAACCTTCTTGGGACCACTGCCCCTCAAACCCCAGGCCAGCAGATGGAGATTGCTGGGTAGCAGAAGTGCCCCAATACTCCGTAGCCCCCAAGCACGTGTCCAAGGTGTCAGAGTCAGGAGTCGCCTTCATGGCAACCCCCCTTGCTGTTGACCTCCTTTTGGGAGCAATTGGGAATTTGGCAAGTGTTCCTGCTGGCTTTCTTTTTCTCTTGCAATTTGTGGGTTGTGTAGATACCCCCAGTCAGTCTCCCTGTCTGGAGCACTATCTGACATATATGAATACTGTGGATGCCCCCGATGTGACTCCCTGTCTGGAGTAATTATGGATGTGTGGGATGACCCCCTATCCATTGAATTCCTATTCGGAGCATTTGCAGACCCTTGGGATGAATCCCAAGTAGCCTCAGTATTGGCTAGTGATGGCCTTTTGGGCCGGTGAAACTGAGCCTCAGAATGCATGTTATGGTACTCCCCCCCCCCCAGAGCAGAGTCAGGAACAGAAGAGTGAGAGTCCAGTCTCCAACGCAGTTGGTCTATGTGTCTGCGCAGAACGCGACCGTCTCCCAAGGCAACTTCGTATGACAACAGCCCAGAGACCTTGCAGACCACAGCAGTGACCCAGAGATGACCAGGCCCATAGTTTTGTGCCCAGACCGGATCGCCCATTGGAGTCTCCTAGGTGCACACAGTTGTGACACCTGTGAAGCCACCCAGTCAGGGTGCAATCTGTCCAGTTTAGTGATGAGGCAGCGACCCCAGCAGAGTTCAGCAGGGCTCTTCCCTGTGGCAGTGCATGGTGTGGTGCGGTGTGCAAGAAGGAAATCTGCTAACCTGTGATGCCAATTACTGTAAGTCAGTTTCTTGAGAGCATCTTTGGTGGTGCACACCATTCTCTCTGCTAGTCTGCTGGAGGATGGGTGGAAGGGAGATGAAGTTGCATGCCAGATCAGATTGGCCTGAAGAAAAGCCTGGAACTCAGAAGAGGTAAATTGAGGGCCATTATCTGAAACCAGAACATCTGGAAGACCATGTGATGCAAAAATTCCTTTCAACACCTGGATGGTCCTGGCAGTAGTAGTGGAGGAAACAGGAACAACCTCTAGCCACTTGGATTGGCTATCAACAACAACCAGGAAGAATTGCCCCTGAAAGGGCCCAGCATAATCTATATGCACCCTATACCATGGAGTTTGAGTTTCCTCCCACCTATGTACTGGGGCCTGAGGCATTTCAGGCCAAGACTGTTGGCACACTTGGCACCCGTGCACCTGGGCCTCGATGGCTTTATCGAGTCCAGGCCACCAAAGATGATTGCATGCAAGCACTTTCATCCTGACTTTGCCAGGCTGTCTCTCATGCAGAGAGACCAAGATTCTAGACCTCAATGAGGCTGGGATCACTACCCTGCTACCCCATAACAGGCATCCCTTGAAAGTGGAAAACTCATGCTTCTTGTGCCAGAAACTTTGGAACTTAGTATCTGGGCACTTGTCAGGCCATCCTGACAACACCCATGTCAGCACGCGTGTAAGCGTGTGATCAGTGGCAGTTGCTGCAGCCACATCCCTAACATTGAGGGGAGACTCAGGCAATTCCTGAATGGACAGAATATTAATGGCTGGAGCAGGATCAGGCTCCAATTGGTTCAACGGCAATCTGCTCAGGCCATCGGCATGACCCATTTCTTTTCCTGGTTTGTGAACCAATATATAGTCATCTGCTGACACGAAAATGGACCATCTCAGCATATGAGGAGAAATGATATGTGGGGTCTGTTTGTTCATGGTAAACAACCCCACATATGGTCAGTATAGACCGTGAAATGGCGGCCGTATAAGAAGTCATGAAATTTCTTAATGCAAGCTACTATAGCCAATGCTTCTCTGTCAATTTGAGCATAATTACGCTCTGCAGAAGACAGAGTCCTTCAATAATAGGCCACAGGGACCTATGTCCCATCAGCCTTCAGCTGGCTAAGTACAGCTCCCACCCCATAAGGAGATGCATCGCAGGCGATGCAAACAGGCAGTTGCTCATTGAAATGCGCTAAAACAGCATTAGACGTGAGCAAGGCCTTAACCTCATTGAAACTCTTGTCATGGACTTTAGTCTACTGCCAAGGAGCCTGCTTGTCTAGGAGCCTGTGTAAAGGCTCTGCCACTGCAGCCTTATGTGGGAGAAATGCATGATAAAAATTTAATAGCCCCAAAAAGGCTTGTAGCTCACTTAGATTTAGGGCTTGGGGCCTGCTGAATAGCTTGCAATTTAGTTTCAGCAGGGTGAATCCCTTGAGCATCTATCCTGAATCCTAAGAAGTCAGTAGAAGTGACTCCTATCTTACATTTATCCTTCTTTAGTTTAAGGCCTGCTTTTCAAAAACGAAGCAAGACAGCCCTTAGTCTCTCTGCTAAGTTTTGAGATGACTTTCCAGCAATGAGGACATAATCAAAATAGGGACAGACCCCAGGAATACCCCGAAGTGTGCTCTCCATGACACTTTGGAATATGCCAGGGGCTATATTTACCCCAAATTGCAGTCTCTTGACCTTGAAGGCCCCTCTGTGAGTTACAATAATCTGGGCCTCTGCAGCTGCCTCATCAACAAGTAGCTGTTGATAGGCCTGTGCCAGGTCAAGTTTCGCAAAATTGCGCCCCCCCCCCCTTGAGGGAGGCCAGGATGTGACTTACTACAGGTACTGGATAAGCGTGCTGCTGCAGTGCTTTGTTCAGTGTACACTTGTAGTCTGCACATATATGTATGTCCCCATTAGCCTTTAGAGGCATTACTATGGGGGTTTCCCATGGACTTGAGTCTACAGGTTCTAATGCCCTGCTGGAGCAATTTGTCCAGCTCAGCATCAATCTTGCCTTTGAGGGCAAAAGGTACCCTCCTAGGCTTAACCCTGATGGGCGTGATGGTTGGGTTTAACCGTAGCGAAACTGGAGGCCCCTTGTAGGATCCAAGCTCTGAACTAAACACATCTGCAAACTCCTTGCAGACTTCTGCCAGGCTCAACTTTTGCAAATGATGCAGTCCAGTTACCTGGATTCCTAGAGTCTTGAACCAATTGAGTCCAATAAGACTCATGCGTTCACCCCCAACAACCACCACATCTAGGGGACCTTCAAAATCCTTGTGCTGTACTCTAAGGGTGACCTCCCCCTTAACACATACCATAGAATTCTGAAAATCTGTAAGTATTAAATTGGATGGCCTGAGTTTGGCTCAAAGACCACTGCTGTTGCATATCCTTTTGAATGTGTTAATAGAAATAATGGAGAGAGCGGACCCAGTGTCCAACTCCATGGATAAAGGAACCCTTTGCAACCTTACATTAATGGACAGCTTCTTCTTTAGGGGTCTATGTGTGCCTGTCCTCAAAATACTCCTGCGCGATGTGCAGAAACCTACCCTATGTTGGCTGGGGACCCTGGTAACTTTCAGATGCAATTCTTCATGAGGTTAGACCTTCTGGAAAACCCAAACAGATGGATGCGATGTGGCCTTGCCTGCCACACGCTCTGCAAATGGCGGAGCGAAACCTGCAGTCAGCTTGCTTGTGGCGTCCTCCACACCCGAAGCATTGAAGAGCTGCTGAGGCCTTGTCTGGACATTCCTTCTGCCTCCTTTCAGCTGGCTGGTGAAGCCTATCCACCTCTTCTTCAGGATCCGCTTCCGATCCTTCTTGAGCGTCCTCTTGATGGATGGTGGCTGCCTCTGTGGGGCTCCTGGTGGGCCACAAGGTCTTCACTGCCCTGCCTGCTGCTTCCTCAGCTATCACCTCGCGTAGAGCATCTTGGAAAGAGACATCTTCTTTTGCAAAAAATCTTCTGCTGTAAGTCTCCCTTAAACCACATACAAAATGATCTCGCAGCCTCTTTTCCAGATCCTTGAACTCACATGGTCTGGCTGCTCACCTTAAGGCCGCAATAAAATCCTTAGCAGATTCACCTGCCCTCTGGTCCCTCTGTTCAAACATGTGCCTCCAAGCAATAACAGACAACTTGGGCTGGAAGTGTTGCTTCAGCAGTTTCTTCAAGTCAGTATACGTTACTGACTCCAGAGGTGCAGGGCCACCAGATTCTCTGCAATTTCAAAAGTTTCCTGTCCACAGACACACAACAGAGTTGCAGCCTTCAAGCCATCTTCTCTAATCTGGTTTACTCTGAAGTAATTCTCCACCCTTGCAATGTAGGATTCCCATCTCTCTGGGTGTGAGACATCAAAATCAGATAAACGACCAATCTTCGCCATCCTATAGTTTACAACCTTCATCACTCACTCCTCTGCAACTTCTATTGGAGGAAAGGGTCTTTCAGCTGAGCTCACCCTCCAGCGACGCTATACTGGCAGGCTGGGACGCTGATTCCAACGCCGTCTTCCCCTCTTCAGGACTTCCTGGGTAAGTCTTTAAAGCTTTCTTTTCTTCAGCTTGTAAAGCATCCCATCCTCGTCGCCAGTGTTAAGTCCTTCGTTCATGGGCGAATGATGAACACACACATGGTGCATTTAACAGTTCTTTATTCTTTTCACAAAACACCCAACAACGCAAATGGCACGCAGGCCTCTTTTATGTGTCTGGAGACCCGGACAACGGCAAACAAGTAGTAGAGCATTTTCACACCCTGCGCATGCGCACAATGCTGGCACCACTCAGCCTGGTCCCGGGCAGCTTTTGGAATGCCCAGGACCAATGCAATGTCCCGAGCCTGCTTTTGCAGGCTCGGAACACAACAATAATGGTCATGATAACATAGTTGGATCAGGAACCTATAGTGATAAGAGGTAGATGCAGTGGTGGGATTCAGCTGGTTCACACCGGTTAGGCAGAACTGATAGCTAAATTTTGCTGACTTCAGAGAACCAGCTAAATGCACACTGCTTCTGGAAGTTCAGTCTAGGCCTCGGAGGCCTGGAGGAGGCCTCCCAGGCCTAAATTGGCCTGCCGGAAGTGCATGGATGCCACTTCTGGAAATCCATTCTAGGCCTTGGAGGCCTGGAGAAGGCCTCCCAGGGCTAGAATGGCCCACCGGAATTACATGGATGCCACTTCCGGATGTCCGTTCTAGGTCTTGGAGGCCCAGGCCTACATCCAATAAGAGAACCGGTTGTTCAGGTATTTGAATCCCACCACTGGGTAGATGGCTACTGGCTTCATTTAGTTCCTTACATTTCATTATGATGAGACATAACTAAAAATTTAAATAAAAGGAAATACTTTACTGGAGGCCCCAGATCTCCAATGTCACCTATTCGTCCTTGTTCACCTTCTTCTCCCTAAAAAATATACATGGCACAAGTTAGTAAATAACACATTCTAAAAATTAGCATATATAATTTATTCTGTTTCCCTCAATATTATGAATTGTGTTATTTATGTATTTCCCATCTATGTAAGCATGGAGGCGGCACACATTAAATAGGACTGACTTATTTGAGAAAGACTGTAACCAGGCAATAAAGGAGATGAAAAGCTGAGGGTATAAAATATTACACTAAATCATTGCTGCTTTCAGCCAAGGTTGACTGAACAAACTATATGCTAAAACATAAACTATAGTTTACAAATCACAAGATTTGTTCGCATGTCATAAAAAGCAAAACAAAGCAAAGCATTTTTTAGCATTTTCGTGAGTTACAGGCCTATCATTAGCTGCTGTAACTAAGTGCTATGAAAATAATGGAGAAATGCTAAGATTAATTATAAGAAGATTATTACTATTCCTTTCTTAAATACACACCAAAGTTAAACATTTTTCCTCCATAATCCATCACTGTTCCAGTTGATTTGCATGCAGTAACATTCTTACCTTAAAGCCTTGCTTTCCTGGTTCACCACTCTCACCTTTTGCTCCTTTGTGACCCTAAAATATAAGGCAAATATGTTTTCACTGATGCTAAATATGCCACCAGAAACATTGCCTATTAAAAACAATGGTTGGGATATGTGAAATCAGTTATTTTCCCAATCTGATGCCCTCCAGATGTCTTGGACCTCAACTCTTAGAATCCATTAACCCGACATCAGATGTGTAGTGTAACCTAATATAGTTGGAGGATATCAGGTTGGAGAAGTTGGTATTAAAACATATAAATCAGAGTTCTCCAAAGTGGTCAGTATCAATCCCCAAGAGTTAACAGAACAGAATAATAGAGTTGAAAGGGACTTTGGAGGTCTTCTAGTCCAGCCCCCTGCTCAGGCAAGAAACTCTATACCATTTCAGACAAATGGCTGTCCAGACTCTTCTTAAAAGTTTCCAGTGTTGGAGCATCCACAACTTCTGGAGGCAAGTTGTTCCACTGATTAATTGTTCTAACTGTCAGGAATTTTCTCTTTAGTTCTAGGTTGCTTCTCTCTTTGTTCAGTTTCCACCCATTGTTTCTTGTCTTGCCTTCTGGTGCTTTGGAGAATAGATTGATCCCCCCCCCCTTTTCTTTGTGGCAGCCCCTTAGATATTGGAACACTACTATCATGTCACTCCTAGTCCTTTTTTTTTTTTATTAAACTAGACATACCCAATTCCAGCAACCATTCCTTTTATGTTTTAGCCTTCAGTCCCCTAATCATCTTTGTTGCCCTTCTCTGTACTCTTTCATGGTTTTAACATCTTTTTTACATTGTGGTGACCAAAACTGGATGCATCGTTGTTATTATGGTTCGTCACACAATCAGCCAAATGTTTATAGTGGATTTGGTATTTTTTATCCACCTTTTGAGTCCTTCCCAAGAACCCAAATTAGGGAGCTGTTGTTTGATGGTGTTAAAGATATTATTGCAGGATGTAAGCTGTTCCAAGTAAAAGCTGCCTTTGGAATTGACTGGTGGTGATTTTGTCAATGCCAATAGTATTCAAGTGTGGCTCCAGTTGTTTTGGCATTGTATCCAAGGACCCTATTATTATTGGTACTAACTTTGCTTTCTTTTGCCACAGTCATTCTATTTCTATTTGCAGGCCTTTGTATTTTGTGATTTTCTCCAGTTCTTTCTCTTCCATTTTGCTGTCTCCAAGTACTGCAACTTACACTGTCCAATTTTTTTCTTGTCTTTCTTATTGACATTTATTAAGTCTATGTTATATGGTAGGTGTTTGTTTGAAGCACTTTTTTTCATTTTCTATTAGTTTATCTATTTTGTGATCCCACCAGTTCTTGCTTGCAGACAAATGGTATTTCTTGCAGATATTCATTGCAGTATGATTGCTACTTTGTCATGCTGCATTTGTAGTCAGTCTGTGCGATCTGCTTGCAGCAGTTTATTCATAGTACTATCACCTAAACTATTTATTAAATTGTTAAATGGTTTTCATATAATAAATGTTACTTTCATGTTCCAGTGAAGTTTAACCTTAACTCCAGATTGTTATGGTACTGCTGTAACATCTCTTGAAACTTATCAACATCCAACCAATATCCAGTCATACCCAGAATGTATCATTCCCATCCCTTCTCCTACCTTCATGCCCATCATTCCAGCAAATCCTGGATGGCCAGGTGTGCAAGTATTTGGACACTAAAAAAAATATGAAGCAATGAATTACATTAATAAGGAGAAGTCTGGTGAGAAAAAAGCTGTTTACCAATTTAATATAATTTAATTAGTATGGCTGTCCACTCTAGAAGGCGCTGGGCAGTTTACAAAAGTCACATAGAGACAATTCCCATGCCTCCAATAAAACAATTAAGACCCACATAAACATGATTTCTGCACAAAACAACTAGATGCCCAATGGTACAAACAGTATAAAAATATGACAGCCTCCAGTATAAAAATATGACAGCCCCCATCCATATAAATTACAACCACATTAACCCCAGACCTGGGAATAGAGCCAGGACTTCAGGGCTTTCCGGAAGCCCAGGGGGGTGGCAATCATCCATAAAAAGGAAGATAAATATCTTACCAGCGGATCTCCACCATGGTGGCTAACTGTTCCCTGAAGTAGATTAGCAAAGTTTAAAATTAGGATCGCCATGAATATTGTCAAGCATTGAGTTGAATTTGAATTAATAAGGCTGATGGTACAGATCCACAAATGCAGTAAAGGAGCTTTTTATAAGGTTCAGAGTTATCTTCCACCACCAGCAGAAGACCAATTTAAATTCACAGACAGAACCAATATTGAAAAATGTAGGACCTCATTCCTTTGGAATTTTTTCAGTTCAGGATTGCATCTTCCATTTATACTGGGCTTCTGTCATGTAGAAGAAGCAAGTTTCTAGCTTTTTGTCTTCATTTGACATAAATGGGATCATCTATGAACATGGGCAGCCTTCATATATTTTATTTATTTATTTATGAGACTTATATACCGCTTTAAGTGCAAACACTCTCTAAGCGATGTACACCAATAAGCAATGTGTATATATATATATATATATATATATATATATATATATATATATATATATATATATATATATATATATTTACATTGCCCCCAACAATCTGGGTCCTCATTTTACCTACCTCGGAAGGATGGAAGGCTGAGTCAACCTTGAGCTGGTGAGATTTGAACCGCTGACCTGCTGAACACAGTCAGCTAAAGTGGCCTGCAGTACTGCACTCTAACTGCTGCGCCACCTCGGCTCATTTATATATCTGCCCTTTTACTCAGAAGAGACGAATTAGTACTGAATTAGATCAACTGACACCCTTTGAAAATAAGCCACAGTAACATGTATCTAAAATAGGGCACAAAGGGCCCACTTGACATGCTATGCAAAGCTTGGTGCCTCCCTCAGGCTGACTAGAGTAGGATTTCTCCAACTGTGAGCCGCTGGAAATCCCACAAAAATTAAATGGAATTCCATGAGAGTCTAACAGAAGGGAAAAAAGAGCACAGCCAGGATGTCTATAGCAAATAAAGAACAGAAGAAAGACTGGGGCTTGTTAACTGCCATTCAAAAGTCACCCGCTTTCCAAGGCTCTTCGTAGTCAAGACAACTCAATGTTTTGCCTCTTGATCAAAAGTTCCTGGAGTTTTAATTTTACTAAGAGGTTCCGCAGCCTAAAATATTTGAAATTTCCTCTTTGAGAATATCTGTCAGGCACAAAAGATCAGGTCCACACATGAAGGTCCAATTAAACTGATTTATGGCTGCTTATGCCTATGTACAGCTAATGGGCAGCATGATTTTGGTGCTAGATGAGGGTAACAGAAGTCAAGGAGAGGGTGGACTTAGTTCATTTGTGGCTATGTAGAAATTCTAGGCTCATCCCTCTTCTAACTCTGCCCCCAGGTTCTACCATTCCTTTACCCTACAGTATCATACAAATTGCTTTAAATGAATTGGGGAGGGAGGACTTACTTTGAAACACTTCTTATTTTCAGTATTACTACTGTAAACTTACCCTCGGCCCTGGAGGTCCCGGCACTCCTGCAGGACCTCTCCTTCCAGGATCACCCTAAACAGTGTCACAAGGACATAAAAATAAGCTGTGTATCCAAGTCCCTTAGAACAGTGGTTCTCAACCTGTGGGTCGGGACCCCATTTGGGGTCGAACGACCATTTCACGGGGGTCGCCAAACAAGGCTGTACGCCATTTTTTTCCCCTTTTCTTTGGCCACGCCCCTGGCACCCGATGATGTATAAGTGGTTGGGGGTCACCACAACATGGGGAACTGTATTATGGGGTCGCGGCATTAGAAAGGTTGAGAACCACTGCCTTAGAAGAAAGGATAGTGAAAATCAAATAATCTCTACATGGGTTACATTAACCACCAAAAATGTTCTAGGACAGAACAAAATTCTGATGGCACAGAATAAGAAAAGAAGTGTAAATGACAGGAGCAAGAGATTCAAACCATTCATCCCTTTCGTTACTTTTATCTCTCAACTGATATATATATATATATATATATATATATATATATATATATATATATATATATATATATATATATATGAAGCTGTCTTGTTTTTATGTGAAATCCCTTAAATATACACCTTTAATTATTGAAGTGCATAGATAAAGATAGGAAAACCAATAATTCCAAAGAAATGGGTGTTTCAGAATGGGCAGATTAATTTATGAAATTTTGAAAGACTTCATTTATTACAGTCCCCAATAAATAAATATCCCACATCATTTGCACGTGCAGTTATTTGGGAAGAAAGGCTGGACTTAATTGAATTCACTTTTTAATCTGCACCAGTTGGAATGAGCTGTAAAACCTTTATTATCCGTATAAGCAGTCATAGGAGTGACTGGTTGTACAGTAATTGTAAAATAATATTCCCAGATGAGACTTTCACCACACGAGAGAATGTTAATCTATCTAATCTGTCGGTATTCAATTGAGTTCCAATAAATGCTACTTATAGGAATTAAGAAGAGCTTCTTATGCAATTAAGTAGAATATAACAAACATAATAAGAGCTGTGTAGGCTTAAACCAATGGTCTATTTATTCCACAGAGGACAATGGGCAATGGACTAAAGGTAAAGTATGAATCTTCTCTTAGACATAGTAATATTGGTGACATCCTATTGCAGAGAACCATATCAACAGCAGATGTCCACAATCTGTTGCCCTTTGTGCTGGTTGGACATTCTGGCTACAACTAAACATCTGAAAATTATCAAGTTTGGGATGGCTAATACATATTTACAGCTGGAACAATCCCTCAAAGATAGACCTAAAGGGCAAGTTCATTTTAGTGTGTTCAAGTATAATCAATGTGCCAAGTCATTCCTGAGGGATGTCTTCCCTAAAAGCATGGTACAAGCTTTAACAAGCAGCCAAATATTAATCAATGATTTAATGGAATATGGAACAAAGTACTCACAGGTGGCCCAACTCTTCCCACTTCTCCAGGAAGTCCTCCTATACCAGGAGGACCCTGTATTGGGAAAAAAAGGATAGAAACTAATTAAACTTTTCATAACAGGGATTGGCAACTTTCTTGTAATCAAGACCCATACTATATTATCATTACTATTTTTTTAATCTCTTAAGAGCAGCAAAGGATGGGTGCACATAGTAAGGGTTTAAAGGGTTTAAAGAGACAAAATATCTGACTTATGTCTTAGTTCAAGATGCTTATTTTGCCCTCCAAATGCCCCAAAATAAGGGGGGGGGATCTTATCCAACATTTGGGAGTATTGCTTTTTTTAAAGAGTGAAATTGGTGTCTTAAACTTTAGCAAGAGCCCTGCATCATCTCTTTAAAAGTACCCTTCCCAAACATGCAAAAAGCTTGGACCATAAAAACAGTGCTGGGGGTATCCAAAGGCTAACCATCCCCTGCTTTGAAAGCTAGTCCAATCCAAAGAATGATTTTTTTTTCTTGAACAGAAGAGTTTAATAGGCCCCTATTTGTGTCAAAGCAGCATTTCTAGCTGGCATGATCATTGGTGGAATAAGCTGAGGGTGAAACACACCAGTCTGTGACAGACAATCCAAAGGCAGAAATAACACAAACAAATATGAACCTCGTTTAAAAATGTAAAGTTTTTTTGTTTGACTGTGCAATTAATTATGTATGGCTGATTACATTCTGTCTGAGGGTTGATTTGGGTATGTAGGAATGGTTAAAGGCACCAGACTAGAAACTGAAAGATCATGATTTTAGACTGCTTTAAGGATGAAGCCAACTGGGTGATTTTGACCCTGTCACTTTTTCTCAACCCTAACAAGGAAGCAATGGTAAACCACTTCTGAAAATGTTGCCAAGAAAACTGTGGGGGCTTGTTGAGACAGTCAATGGGTGTGTGCAGACTGTTTCAAAGCACAACAACAACAAATGTACTCACAGGTGGTCCAGGAGTTCCCTTTCCCTAAAATAGAAAAAAATCAAAGTTTTCTAATTATTATTTTTATATATTTAGTTTTCAACTCAGAGCAACTGTAGAAATATTCAGAATGGAAAAAACAAACATCAATATTTTTAACTGGGAACATAAAATATTGTTTTCATCTCTCCGGTTTGTTGAGTTAGCAAAGAATTTCAAGCCGTTTTCATTATCTTTGAGACAGATGTTGAATGTGATCATTTAGAACAGACAAAGCAGTTTCCTTGCTTGATTAATCTATGCTTTAAACTATAATGCAAGTTTCACTGCTCTTGCCACACTATCCTAGAAATGACCATATTTTTCTATAGGCAAAAATGAGGAGAAAGCTTATTCTGGATTGTTTCAACATTTATTTTCAAAATGCAAAAATCTGTCTTCTTTATCTAAAGGAAAGAGGCTAGACAAGGACTCCGCTATCCAAAGCTTACAAGAAGCTAGAATGGACCCAAGCATTGAAAGCAATGTTGACTTCACAGTCAATATGAAAGTTCTCCCCTAATCCTTTGTTTGAAATACTGAGAACATTTTCTATGCTTCCATTTTATTTTTTTTTAGTGAAATGAAGCTTTTAACCAGAGGAGGTTTTTCCATTTCATCCCTAATGGCTCTACAGCCTGAACCCCATGAACATTGCCATCTTCATAGCAGTCCCTTATGCAAACAAAGAGGATCAGTTCATTTGCAGTCTGCTGCAGTTGCTGCTGCTGTTGTATGTCTTTGTGGTATGGTTCTCCTCTCGTAAATATTGACCATAATACCCTTCTGAATGACCTGTGAGGGTGGGGATTGGAAGCAGTGATGGTGAACCTATGACACATGTGTCAAAGATGACATGCCACGATGTTTTGGGTGATATGCCGGCATTCACATTTCAGCAATCAGAGAAGAGGGGATTGACTTATTGTCTAAAGCACCAGCAAGTAGGAGAAAAAGCAATGGGTGGAAGATTGTTAAAGAGAGATCCAATCTAGAACTAAGGTGGAATTTCCTGACAGTAAGACTGATTAATCAATGGAATAGCTTGCCTCTTGGAGTTGTGGGTGCTCCATCACTGGAGATTTTCAAAAGTAGACTAGATAATCATTTAACCGGGGTGGTATAAGGTCTCTTGCCTTGAATAGGGGGCCGGACTAGAAGACCTTCAAGGTCCCTTCCAGCCTTATGATTTTATATTCTATTCAGCAACACCCAACAACTATTCTCAAAAACACAACCTGTTCTCGTGCAATTTAGAGCTCCTGCAAGAGAATAGAACTTTCACACAGAATAGAACTTTCCAGAGGCTCAAAAAAAATTGAGCGAGAACAGGCTGTGCTTTTTTGCACAGTCCAGAGGCCATGGAAGAGCATTTTTCAAAGTTGCTTCAAGAGCAAAGGCCTTGTGGGACCCCGAGCAGCCTCAGGTGGGTCACAGGACCCTGTGGACAGAAAGACAATACTGCCTGAAGTAACATGGCAAATTCTGGGGACCGCTGGGCCATGGGACAGTCACACCAGTCCCCAAGGCTCACGTGCCTTGGGGAATAGCACAAGTCAGCTTTTTTGAGAGGTGCTAGGGCTGAAGTCAAGGCCCAGGCTCATCCCTGCTGCCAAGTGCTGTTGTTCAGGGAAGGCCTAGATGGGAAGGGGCCAGGGAGAGAGAATTATTTCTGTTTTGTCTGAGGGATATGACATGCCAGCAAAGTCAAATTAGGCTTTTTATGAATTTTTGACACACCAAGTCCACAAGGTTCACCATCTCCGCTCCACTCCTTCCTGGTGAGGTGGTTCAGGTCACTTTGTGTGCAGAGAGGAATAGTCATTTGTTCAGTCTGATGAAAGAGCTCATCAGGGTTGAAACTGAAAAAAAATAAATTCTATCCCTCAGTAGCTCCTCTGGGACACATTGGTCCAAAATTTCATTTTAATAAACAAATTTCAGCATGGGAAAATGGTTTTAATTACTGTCAACAGTGAATTAGAAGATATTTCTAATGGAGTTCCTGATGGTATCTCTCCTAAGAGAATGCTAGTTGTGAAATGTCAACGGCACTCTGACTTAGTGTGGGATAGTGATATATGTCTCCATCACACTGATCACACCAAATTGACAGATTACTCCCCCCAGCAATTTCATGATGTTAAACAGCATGAGGAGAAAGAGCCAAGCCATGTAGCACCTCATATTACATTGGTTACCCATTTGCTTCCAGGTTCAATTCAAAGCGCTGATTATCACCTACAAAGAATTATTTCTCTCTCTTTTGTATAATTTTATTAAAAAATTTTGGAAAGAAAATTAAAAACTAAGAAGAGCTAATTAAGAAGCAAAGCAAAGAAAGGAAGGAAAATGACAAAAATGCAGAAAGAAAAAATGAAAAATATAGAAAGTAGCTTCCAATTTTTTCCCCCAGCAAATATCTGCAATTTTCAAATTACCTTCTATACTATGATCCCCAAAAAGAAAAGCTCTCTTTTTTTTCTATTGTCTTCTTTTTCTAGTCAGCAAAGCCATAAATCATACATCTTCATCCAGAAAATCCATAAAAAGTTTCTAGTCAGCAGTCAATGTGGATGTTATCTTCTCTCTAATCAAAGAAGTCAGTCTGGCCATCTCTGCAAGTTCCATTATCTTCAGCAACCATTTATTCATTGTGGATAGTGCCAGATTATTTTGTATTTACAAAACCACCTCTCCCATGTCAAACCTTGAGTATTCCTTGAAAGGGGAATGCTGAGCATTTCCACTCTACAGGAAACGAAGAGGGTGAGTCCTGCTGACCTGATTTTTTTGTGGCTGCCTCTATTAACCACAACACCTTCCTTCCAGAGGTACAGAACATACCTAACATCCTACCCTTTCAAAAGGATTTATATCTTATTCTTCCACTGGGTATTTGGAGATCAATGTGACAGGATTACTTTGAGTGAGTTCATGTGGGGAGGTGAATATTTGCATTTTAGGCTTTTCTTGCTCCTCATACAATCCACTTCGAATCATGGGAAGTAAGTAGTCTACAAAATATTGTATGACTAAATAAAGAAATATACGAATGCAGCATTTGTGCCAAATAATATGACATAATGACCCAACCAACACCAGGATTTCATGTTGGGAAGTCTACCTTACTTTCATTTTGCCTGTGCTTTTTTCACTCATATTGTGCTTTGTAAATTGATTTATACAATGCCATGATATTCTCATTATTATGGCAAAGGTGTGGCTTGTAACTTCATGATGAAGTAGGCTGAGTTGAGCTACCTACCAAACCCATGCAGTTGAAAAATACCAAACTTCAAAAATAGTGGTTTTGGTTTTGTTCAACAGAGTTACTGAAATAATTGTTCATAGCATGGGGTATATTTTAAAAGCCTCCAAGTTTCATCTCCACCAGTTTTATTTTTTTTTCCTTTTCCAGAGATTCCAATGTAACCCAGTTATAAAATTTAAGGTGACCTTCCTCAATTCAGCCTTCTTAAATTGGCAGATATTGCAAATATTCTGGGCAGTTGTTACCACACAATCTATTGGAAAACCAGCCTCTTTGAGAACTTTTTCATAAGTTTTTCTAGACCTTTTATCATACTATAATTCACTTTCCTTATAGATAATCACACTATATTACACTATATTATGTAGATAATAATGCTCTACTGTTCTACTGATACTCCTGTCTTCATTTCACAGCCACTTTATGGTGTTCAAATTTGTCCATTTAATTTAATGAAGTTTTAATTTAAAAAAAAGAAAGAAAGAGCCCACAAACAAAAGTCTATTTATTAGGTGTGTTGGTCTTTCTACCCTCTTTATATATTTATATATATATAAACATCCATGCAAAGTTTAATTTTTATTGTTTCCTTGTAAGGTGCCTGTTACTTAAATGGCTATGATAATAAATAGGTCGCAGAACATGAGGAAATATGGACTTAGCTGTGTCATCTGAGAAGAAAGTTAAAGATGATAAAGGCATAACTATATTCTTAAATGCTAATGGTTGCCATGAGAAAGCTAGAGTGAGATCAGAAGTATGGTAGGTAGAAATATGTCTGCAGGTGGGATGTAAAATGTCAAAATATCCATATGATCAAGCCTGATTTTTTTCTACACACATCATATGCCTATTTAAAAGACAGGGATTCAATTTTATTGGAAGGTAACCCTCCCCTTACACCACTAATTCTAAAAAAGCTTTTTCCTTTGAAGTTCTCCAACATTTGTAGTTTTCTTTCAGCATCTTTCAGAGGCAATTTAAGATGTGTCTATTCAATCCAGAATCGTATTCTAGAATTCTTTTAATGCATTTTAAAATATATTTCCAATTAGAGCTTGCTTTACAGTTCCTCCGATTTTGTAAAAGTGGTAAAATCCCTTTGTTGGACTGAGTAGGGAGGGAAGAGGATTTTACAAAAGTCCTGTTTGAAATTTCAGCACCTTCAACTGAAGAGACCCTATTATTAAATCTTATTCACAGTTAAGAACAGTTTCTTGCTGGAATTTAAGCTCTGCTATTAACTCAAAGCTATTTTCTGGTATTAAGCTATATGAACACCACAAAAACTAATATATCCTACCAATTTCAAGACAGGAGAGTACTTTTTGAGCTCTTTTGTAAATGACAGAAACTGCCTCCAGGTTTACAGATGTGTTTTTTTAAATTGCTTTAGTTTTTTACAGAATAGTTAAGGAAATACTGTATATTTCATAATATTATTAAAAAAGACACCATGTAAAAAAATCGGTGACTTACAGGAAGTCCACGGCCTCCAGGCAAGCCCACTTCACCCTAAAAATCATAAATGTTACAATATTTCAAGTATTTAAAACATTTATACACGTTTTTGTTCGTTTGTGTTACTTTTTGTTTAGAGACAAGGCAGAGTACAAGAATTGAGGAGATTGTGGGTTCTAGACCTGCTTTACGCATGAAAACCCAGGTGTGTGACTTTGGGCCAATCATCTCTTTCAGCCCAAGTCACCTCACAAGGTTGTGGTTGTGAGGAAAATATGAGGCCGGAGAATTAGATATGTTTTCCACCTTGAAGTATATACGTATAAAAAGGGTAGGTTGTTATTACGGTTCATCATACAGTCAGCCAGATATTTAGACTGGATTTGGCATTTTTATCCATGTACTGAGATTATTATTAGTATTATTCAGCAACTGGCAAGCACCTCCAGTCCTATAATTAAATAAAAGAGTCTGGAGATTGAAAAAATGGGAAGGAAATCTAATGAAAGCGTTTAATCTTACCTTTTGTCCTTTTGGACCAGCTGGACCTGGTGATCCATCAGGTCCTGTCAATCCCTTTTGAAATAAAATATTAACTTTTAGTGCAGTCAATGGCTAAAACTACTGAAAAAAAGAATGTTAACAATCTGGTAGATAAGCCATTTTTCTCTATATATGCATGGCACGCACATACATTTAGAATTCAAGACTTTTTAACTTCCAATAAAAGGGTTTCTTCAGACAGATTTCAGGGTTCAGATGCAGCAAACTACATTCAATTTAAAGAGACTGTAGGGAAGGCTCCCAGTTATAAAATTCCATCCAGAAAATGTTCTCAGTCTCGCGTTCAACTCAGTAAGGAAATACCTAAAATTTGGGGTTGGTATTACTTTTTGGTTCAGAAAAGATGAGAAGGAGCAGAATATGATCCAAGGTTTGAGAGTGGTGTTTTACTTGAGGACCGTGCATTTTATATCTGCCCACTCGGCTTTACTGTGAAGCCAAGATGAATCAGAATCCTTCTGCTTCAAACCCTGTTCCATCAAACATGATCTACGCCTTTGTACAACTGTAAAGCTAAATATTTTGGAACATAAATGTATAATGTATTTTTCATATACATTTTTATTTTCAGTAAGAAATAAAGAGGTTATTTTCAGTAAGCAATAAAGAGGCTTCTGTTCACTGATTTTTATCACGGCGTATGACCAATAACGAGAGTTGCTGGCCACTTTTAAGACCACAAATAATCCAGAAAATGTTAAAAGAAAGTCAAAGGTTATAACTCAAGACCAATTTGCTAGTTATATTTTGGGATCCAATATGACTCCTAGGGGATCCTCTGATGCTTTGTATAAATTGGAATATATACTGCAAGCATTACCTGTAGGTCAGTGAAATTTATTTTCCTTCTCCCTCAGATGTGTCCAGATGTGTCCAGATGTGTCCAGATGTGTCAATTTTTAGAAAAAACACCAGGGAGGTAAACTCATACTTGTTGAGGGGGGGGGTTGCCCAGATTTTCTACTAGGAAAAGTTTGGCTAGCAATTCCATAATTGCCAATGAGTAAACAGAAGAGTAGGAGGACCTGGACAGTACCACTATTAGCTTAGCTTAGTACAGCAGACCATGCCTTGCAAAAGGACTCCAAACAAGTCACCAGGGCTTTCTGCTTCCCATACCAACAAAGCTTTGAGTGACTGTGGAGTTCTGATGTTCTCTCAGCCATGCTGAGAACTTTAGAGCCGCTGAAAAAAACCAAATCCCAGCCAATGCACTGGTCTTCCTCTCAGATCACAGAAGAGTCGCCTTGACGGCCAGTGGATGTATTAACAATGGAGCTGCTTTCCTTCAGAAGGACTAGCTGGTTGGAGGGGGGAATCAGTGCCAGAAGTGGCTCATTCTAGTCTCCTAACTTTGCTCCTGAGATGGAAGAAAGTAGCTGGTCGCTTAGAGTTCAACAGAAAGAGATGGTAGGAAATATAGGTGGTTGTCATTTTTCTTCCTGTTGACTTTTATCCTTTTTACTCAGAAGTTAATGCCCCCTGACTCAGAAGCAAATTGCGTCAATTTAAGCAGCTTTTGGAAACCTGCTCTTTAAGCCTTTAGCTCTCCACCTGCTTGTTAAAGAGACACAGCAGTGCATGAAATTCATTTCATTCATACTTACCAGGACAAGCACATATCCCCTATTGTGCATGGATAAGCATTTCCGAAGAGCAGATGTTCACCTGGGATTATCAGGTGAAATCCCCAGCTGATTTGGGAAAGTTGGAGGGCATGAAAGCTCTTTTGAACTAATTTATTTCCTGATGTATGCAGAAGATATATGTAAAACCAGGTTCTCTGAAAGGTTATTAAATTGTGCTTGTGTCTGGAATGCAATTCAGATACAGTATGGATGGATACAAGCTTTTATTCTCTGCCTGCTATTTTTTAAAGTTAATTGTATCAAACCAGGAACATTTCTTCTGGCATGGAACATTAAAGGATTGGAGTTCTCTTGTGAAATAGAAACACGTCTTAGCTAACTTAAATAATAAGTAAATATTTATTTATTGCAAGAGAGCAATACAGGTAATTCTCAACTTACCACCACAATTGAGCCCAAAATTTCTGTTATTAAGTGAGACATTTGTTAAGTGAATTTTGCCCATTTTACATGTCAAACTACCAGCCCGCAGGACGGATGCGTCATGCTGAAACCGCACCCACCCCATTGCCAGCAATGGGGGAAAAGTTGTGATATGTCGTGCAACGTCATGTGACTTCGCGAGTTTGACATGTCTGCTATAGACCAATCAGCCTAACATCAATATATGGGAAGATACTGGAAAAAAATAATCAAAAAAAAATCTGTGAACATCTAGACACAAATAAAATTATAAGTAGAAGCCAGCATGGGTTTGTTAAAAATAGATCATGCCAAACCAATCTTATTTCATTGTTTGACAAAGTGATTAAATTAGAAGACCAGCAAAATGCTGTGGAAATGCTATACTTAACCTTCAGCAAGGCATTCGACAAAGTAGACCACAACCTACCTTTTGGTAAACTAGAAAAATGTGGGATAGACAGCATCACCACCAGATGGATTTGTAACTGGCTGACAAACCTTACTCTACAAGAAGTCCTTAATGGTATTACATCTACATGGAGAAAAATAAGCAGTGAGGTATCACAAGGTCCCGTCTTAGGCCCAGTACTCTTCAATATCTTCATAAATGACTTATATGAAGGAATAGAAGGGGAACTCATCAAATTTGCAGATGATGCTAAGCTGGCAGGAATAGCCAACCTTCCAAAAGACAAGATCAGGATCCAAAAAGATCTTGACAGACTTGAACAATGGGCCTTATGCAACAACTGAAATTTAATGTGGAGAAAAGCAAGGTTTTACATCTAAGCAGGAAAAACCAAAGGAACAAGTACAGATTAGGCGAAACCTGGCTCACAAACAGTAACTGTGAGAGGGACCTTGGAGTCCTAGTGGATGATCACTTGAATATGAGCCAGCAGTATGCGGCAGCAGCCAAAAAAGCTAATATAATCCTGGGTCGTATAAACAGAGGCATAGAATCAAGATCACATGAGATATTAGTAAGACCACACCTGGAATACTGCATCTAGTTTTGGTCGCCACATTACAAAAAAGATGTTGAAACTTTGGAAAAAGTGCCAAGAAGAGCAGCTAAGATGATTAAAGTCCTGGAGACCAAAACATATGAACAATGGTTGTAGGAATTGGGTATGGCCAGTCTAGATGAAAGAAGGACTAGGGTTAACAAGATAGCAGTATTCCAGTATTTGAGGAGCTGCCACAAAAAAGAGGGGGTCAACTTATTTTCCAAGCAAGACAAGAAACAATGGATGGAAACTAATCAAGGAGAGAAGCAACCTGGAATTAAGGAGAAACCTCCTGACAGTGAGAACAATTAACCAATGGAACCGCTTGCCTTCAGAAGTTGTAGGCGATTCATCACTGGAGGTTTTTAAGAAAAGACTGGCAGCCACCTATCTGAAATGGTATAGAGTCTCCTGCTTAAGCAGGGGGTTGGACTAGAACAGTGATGGTGAACCTTTTAGAGACAGAGTGCCCCAAAACTGCCCCCCGCCCCCACTCCGTCTCCCACCTGCCTGTTCCACCCCTGCCTGCCCCCTGCCCCGCCCACCCACAGGGACACACACCGCCTCCATGGCCCACAGCAGATCACCCAGGCAGCCCTGCAGTGCCATGGCAGCCACGCCCTCCGCCCACACCCCGCAGCATCATTGCACGCTATGGGGTGCGAGAGCGGAGTCTTGTCCCTGCTGCCTGGCTATGTCCTTGGCTGCGCTGCTCTGAGCGGGTGACCCAGGGAGACTCTCCTCCAGGGGGGAGGAGGGTCTGGGGTGACGACACGCGTGCCCACAGAAAAGGCTCAGAGTACCGCCTCTGGCACGGGTGCCATAGATTTGCCACCACTGGACTAGAAGATATCCAAGGTCCCTCCCAGTTCTACTCTGTTTCTAATTCTAGTAACATGGTTGTTAAGTTAATCTACCTTGGCCAATGTGTCTCCTTGTCAGAAGATCACAAAAGGTGACCCCAGGACACTGCAACTGTCATAAATATGAGTCAATTGCCAAGTGTATGAATTTTGATCACATGACTGTGGGGATACTGCAAAAGTCGTATGAAAAACTGTCATAAGTCTTTTTTTCAATGTCGTTGTAACTTCGAACGGTCACTAAGCCAACTGTTGTAAGTCGAGGATTACCTATATTCTTCCTCAGAATAAGTAGCTCTTACAAAAAGCTTGGGTGGAAGAGATTTTCCTTAGTGGCAACTCTAATGGTACAAATTTAGAAGGTTGCTTTTTTATTTAGCAGACTGCCCAGATTGATTGCTGAAGAGGAAACATCAGATGGAGAAAACCATTTATTACCGTCATTGTCAGACTGGGTCATCCATATTAATCACTTTTATATTTACATGCTCCAAACATAAACTATACAAAACGAGTATATAATTTTCTCAACACATGTATATTAAGTCAGTGGAGCACGTACTAGTAGGTACGTGATAATTTGAATTAAATTTGAGGCCTTGTTGGATCATAACACTCTGTCACCAATATTATACTGTCAAATTTCTAATACATATCCAGATCAGATTGCCTGAATTTAATTTAGTTGATATTTGACATTCTATTAAACTTTCACAAAAAGAACATGCTTTTTTATATTCTCTATGCATAAGCATAGGAGTCCATTTCTTACATTATGACATAAAAATAACAAACTGGGCATTGTGACAGCATGATAGCATGATGCAAGCTCTATTCTTTACTACTTTTATTGTAATATTGCATTCAAGTAAGTAACAATTAAGTTGCATTGTGATATTACAATATACATTTTGTCATTTATGTCCCATACCATAGATATTGGTGAACACAGAAATGCTTTTAACTACATTATTTTATGAGTGCCCATTACTTGATGGCTAAAGTTAAAGCAAGCTATAGATTGTACTACAATTTCAGATTATACTCTTGCGGAATTTGAATGAAAATTACATAGTGTACATTCTTTAAGTAGTCTTTGAGAAACTGTTAGTAAGTATTTTATAAATAAATATTTATATTTCATATAAAATATATTTATATTATATGTACTATATACCTATTTATATTTAACATAAATAATATACATAAAACAGCAGTTATATAAACTGCTATATTATATTCATATAAAAGCTTCTTTTATATGTTATGTATGTACATTTCATATAAAAGAAGCAACTGTTAGAGCAGAACTTCGAAGAATTATGATCACTAGGCATTGCTAGACTGACATAGATTTTTGTCTTTATTAAATATAAATGTAACTCGCTTTACACTTCTAAAATAGAATTTCATTGCCTGTTAAATAGCAATGAAATTGGGAAAAGGGAGAAATATCTATTGAGATTTTTTTTAATTACTGGTTTCTAACAAGTTAATCAAGTAATATTGTACTATTTATGATGTTTAGGATATAAATGGGAGCGTTGTACAAATTCCAGACTCATTAATCAACAATTGTTGAATGTTATTCTAAACAGAATAATAATCTTCATAAATAGAATATGAGATTCTTTGTTTAATAAAAGTTGGCTTTATCAAATCTATCACAGGATTAGATTTACTTAAATCATGGGTGTTAAATTAATGGTGTTGTTTCTTGATTCAAATCTTTCAAGGAAATCTCTTTGTCCTTTTCTTTTTAATTTGGCTATACAAGTTATATCATGCATAACTAGAAATTCTGAAAGTATCACGGAAGTCCAGTACGAAAAAAAGAGTTACTTTTTCCTATTGGAATATAAAATAAAATATTACATATTGATGATATTTTATGTTTTAAAGATAGACCAGAAATCTCTGTCTGGATAGTCTGCAGATCAGATCTGATGCTATTGGCTTGCAACAACAATACAGAAAATATACATTGTTTTGCTTTCAGGAGTTGGTAAATTTGAATTTATCCACAGCTTTGATAGAGTTGGAAGAAGATTTAGAAAGATGGTATTAAATTCCCTTAATATAAATGTGATTAAAATGAATGTAACTCCAACGATGATTTAATTGTTTAGGAGCTTTCCTATATTTATTCCATCACATTATTTTGACAAACGGACAGGGTATTGAATACATTTCTTTGCAAGGACATCTCATGAAATTTTCATTGTATAAATCACAATTACCCATTTAAAGAGTGGATTTAATTTCTCACATGTTCAAGTTTGTCACTGGGCAATTATACTAGTTTTAGTCACTTCAGAACTCACCCCTTCTTTCAATTTAACGAAATGATTATCTGATCTCACTGAAGTACTTGAATTCCTGGGAAGGTAAATGTTGTCCCTGAAATAATGTGGCAACACATCTATGAGAAGTATTGAATCAGAAATGTAATTTTGACCCATGTCCCATGAAAAGATTACAATATAAAATAATCCCAGTTTAAAAATGCCATCTGTATCTGTGTGTAGATATATAAACTGGGTCTATCATAATACTTTTACTTTACATCAGCTTAGTTCTCTGGAAGCAAAGAAGTTTTAAAAATGAGCTTGATTTACTACCAACTGCTTCCTGGAAAGAATTTCAGCTTAAGCATCTAATATTTGTTTTATTTGGTCCAGCTTCAACTGCTTCTTCTGAAGTTCATTCATTTATTTATTTGTACTATCACCCTCCACAAGGATCTATTGCATGTTCCACAGTATTTAGATGTTTTAGAGAAACTGTGACCATAAAGTCAGTAATCTGCCTTTAGAGGGATATGATGAAAGATGATATAATTGCTATTAGTCATTTACACAATCATAGGAGTAATGAACTTGAAAGTTCTGTACTGGAAAACTAATGGAGAATTATATTAAAAACAATTTGACATGAATTTTGCATGAACATAAAATGACTTTATGATCAAACAAAAAACCTGCTTCAGTTAGATTGCAATCACCCTGCTGGAGATGCTTTGGTTTTGTCCTATGATCCTTGCATTTCAGCTGACATCGACAGGATTTTTCTGGATCAGTCTCTGGAAGATATATGTGTATGGGTTTTTTTTTATTGCATCCCTAATATTTATATGTATCAAAATATAAATTGTGGATTTTCCAAGTGTGTGGATTGGCTGCAGCATTTCTGAACACAGGAAAGAGAAATTAATTAGCAGCCGTGTATTTTAAGTGTGTGTGTGTGTGTGTGTGTGTGTGTGTGTGTGTGCGCGCGCGCGCGCGCGAGCGCGTTAACATTTGAATTAGTCTTTTTCAATAATAGGGCATGGAGGAAGACTTCACCAATTTAGTCAATGTTTTTGAACTGTTCTATTTATAACAAATAATTATGTACTTGCTTTGCAATAAAATCTATCAAATAAATAGATTGGGAGGTTTTTGAACAAACATGAATAGGTTCAAGTTATGTCATGTGTGCTTATCTATGGAGGAAATAGTTACCACTGTGTAAATTGTATGTAAGTAAACAAGATTTTGTAAGACCATTCAGTCCAGTGCCTAGAATACATTTCTCCTGCCTGATACCCTCCAAAGATTCTCAGCTTTGCTGTCACCCAGCAAAGGCAAAGGGCATCAGGACAGTGAAGGATGAGTTAGAATTACATAGCTATATCTATAACAATCAACATTCCCAGCTGCTGATTCTTTCTAAATCCCTTACAACATAGGGCACTTAAGGAAAGCATGCACAAAGAGCATAGAATTCTTTCCAGTCTCTTATTTCTGGAGTTCTGCTCTAAGTCATGTGACCAAGAAGCAGTTGGCAATAGGGGAAATATTATGAGGGTGGGGTTTTTTTTCCACAACATTACTAATTCCTCTCACTATATCAAATTTCGTCCCATTAAGTTCAGTTTTCAAAAGATGATTGTGCTGATGAACAGAGTCCTGACATTATTTTATAAAAAAAAAAATGTCACACATTTCATTGGATTGGAGACTACAGAAACACAGGCCACTGAACACTCAAAGGTAAGTCAAGAACTAGTGGGTAAAACCTTTACAGTGAGAAATCCAATTTTTTTTAAAAAAAAAAAAAAAGATGAATTCCCTGATTGTTAAGCAGTGGAACAGACTACCTTCTGAAATATAGATGGTCCATCACTGAAGGAGAAAAGATTTCCATTTGTCTGGGATAATACAAAGTTTGGTGTACTTGACAGAGGATTGGACTTTGTGACCACCACCATCCATTGCAACTCTATGATTCCATAATGTTATGATGCTCTGCCTAAATTCAAGGGAATTGTGAAGTAAAGAAGTCCCAATTTCAGGGAGTTCAGCTTGTCACTTTCACCCACCTGGTATCTGCTCTAAATCGAAAGAATCTTTTTAGCACAGGGAAGGCCCTTTTATGACTTGTGGACTTCAACTCCCAGAATTCCTCAGCCAGGCACGCTGAGGAATTCTGGGAGTTGAAGTCCACAAGTCATAAAAGGGCCAGGTTTGAAGACCCCTGGCTTGGAATAACACCATAAAGGTTCACTCACAGCCATAGTGCATATATTGTATCAGCTTCTCATGGACAAAAGCTATGCATAAATTTGCACTCACATCAGCTCCTGGTATTCCTGGCAATCCAGGGACACCTGGTTTTCCAGCATCACCATCTGGACCCTATAGGAGTGAATTGGATACCAACGAAGTAAGTTAGCAAATAAAAACAGATATTTTATTTAAAGACGGTATTTTAAAAATGCTACCTGTTCTCAGTTACTTACTGGACGACCTGGGGGGCCATTAGCACCTCTGTCTCCCTAATGGGATAAAGGAGAGTCACAGTCAAGTGAAATTCATTTTAACATAATAGCACTTATAATTCTATCTGTAAATTGTCTGTGTATTATGCAGATATGATAAATATCCCTGTACGCACACACATGCATATTATATGGAGGAATTCTGATGGCCAGTAGACAGAATTGCTATAAAGCTAATCAAATGGAATTTGCAAGTTATAAATACTAATCTTATAGAATCCCTAATGCAAATTACAGATGATATGATGGACCTGATCCAGCTCCGGAAAATAATTTGTTTTAGTTCACACCACCAGTTCTAGTTCTTTGGGGCTAAAGAATGCACCTCCTAAGTTCCCAGTCCAATCAGTACAACATTTCTAATACCAGTTAACAGGTCATGACAGAGTTGTGCCTGAGTGTGTTGCATGCTGAATACACTCAGAGAGAGACAGCAGTGTCATTGTATAATACTGGAGAGGAATGTCTTGAATGCTCCCTGCCACACACAGCACAAGCTATACTTACATCTATGCCATCAATGCCAGGAACACCTGGGGAGCCTGGGGGGCCAGGGGGGCCTTCTGGACCCGGAGGGCCTCTCTGGCAAGGAATAAAAAAAAATGTTTAAAGTGCAGTAGGAAGAAGAAGCAACTCAAACCATACTATAAAAAGGGGAAGGAGCAATTGAGAACCGCAAAGAAGATAGTCTGACTAACCTAATCAAATTCAGTTTGCTTGATTGGGTAATAGGCTCCTGTTCTAATCTGCGTGAGGGTAATTCATGACGAATGTGTGTAATTATAATCCAAGTTGTACAGATTGACAAATGGTGTGTGGGAATAGATGTGCATGCATATATATGCATCTCTTGTTAGTGGAGGTGAGCAGAGACAGAATTCATACCTATGCCTACAGTAAATCTCAAAAGAAGTGCTTTTTTCTTCAAAAGGCAACTAGACTGTTTTTTTCCTAGAGGAGGAAGATGAAAAGATTTTGCTTCTCATTCAAGAAGCTTCATCAGTTCTGAAGGCGGGGTGAAGCTGCTGAAACTGATGAAGCTTCTTGGATAGGAAGCAAAATGTTTTCTTCTTCTTCCTCAAGGAAAAAACAGTCTACTTGCCTTTTGAAGAAAAAAGCACCTTTGGGACAACTATGACTTGGATGACTGAGAATCTCCATCGGCCTACAGTAAATCCTTATGGAAAGCACCCCTTAAGGCGAACCTATGGCACACGTCCCTCTCTGTGGGCATGCGTGCCATCGCCCCAACCCCGCCTCCCCCCATGGCCCCTCCTCACCAGCAGCCCCCCCCCCAGAGGAGAGTCACCCCTGAGCATGTCCTGCGCGGAGCATCACAGCCAAGGACATGGCAGCCAGGCAGTGAGGATAAGACTCCACCCTTGCACCCCATCGCACATAGTTGATGCTGCGGGGTGTAGGCAGAGGGCGTGGCCACAATGGCGCTACTGGGCTGCCTGGGCAATCTGTGGCAGGCCATGGAGGCAGTGAGTGACCCTGCGGGCAGGCAGGGGCAGAACGGGGGTGGCAGGCGAAGTGGGGCAGGGCCAGTGTTTGGGTACTCAGTCTCTAAAAAGTTCTCCATCACAGCCTTAAGGCAATAACTAGGAATGAAAAGGAAGGGATTATTATGCTTTATATTTTCATTTCATTATAAACAGGAAAAGATGTCTTCTCACAATGACTGGCCCTTTGATAAAATGGAATAAAATAATGTCCTGTGAATTAAAATTGTGCCCCATTGACTTCACTCCCTTGTAAAATAGGAAATCAATTTCGGATAGAGAAAATAAGTAACTGCACAAATGAGTTTAAGCGAAATTGCCATTACTGTATAGCTAATATTAGCTGTTTAGCTAATATTCAGACTTATCTTCTGAGACATACAGTATACATAAATAAGAGATTCATTATATACATATATCATAGCCCTTAATAAAACTTTATCTTTTATTTGTTTATTTGTTTGTTTGTTTCTATTTTTGTAAGTCCCAAGAGGCTTTGAAAATTCCAAACTATTCATTTTTAAAAATAATTTAGGGGAGGGAATTCAAGGCCTATAAGACACATCGTTTTCTTTTGGTGATGAAATTCTGATTTCACAGTAGATGCTCTGTGATTTACTAACAAGCCCTTTTTTGTACCTCACAATTTTTATAGAGAAGGTAAATAGCTGAGAGGAAAAGCAGTTTTCCTATAAATTTCAGAATGTGACAATTCCAGCTTTCGCCAGAGTTCTCACAACCAGTAGTTTAAAAGGTATTTTTAATTCAGACATTACACAGAAAAGTCGTTATTGTTGTTTGCAAAGTAAGCTGTTTCATGTCACAATTAGCCATAAGGCTGCACAGTACACATTCGTTTTCTTGTAAAAAACATAGAAATTGTGGGCGCTCCATCACTAGAAATTTTTAAAAAGAGACTAGACAGTCACTTGTCTGAGATGGTATAGGTTCTCCTGCTTAAGCAGGATGCTGGACTGGAAGACCTCCAAGATCCCTTTCAGCTCTATTCTATTACCTGTGTATATCACTATAAGTTAATTAATTTTTAAAAAATCAATTTTGGCTCTATATTCATAATCACCAGGATCAGTTGGAAGCCCTTGTTATGCATAAATGTGAAGGAAATGATCCCTTTTATTATCCTGATTGTAATTATAAAAAGATTACTTAGAGAACTGAAGTGATAATTAACCCACCTAACTTAATCCTTTGTGGATTGCACTGAATTAAAACAAATGAGTTTCCTTGGACTAAAAATTCTGGTTTAAGGCAGAAGGATACCGAATATATCTGGGGGGAGGGAAGCATCAAAACTGGTAGAATGGATCCCAAGGTAATCATACTTGTTGACCTTAGTTAGATTACTCTTAATGGCATATAGGATCCCCGTGAAGCCTCACCAACCAGGAAAAATAACTCAGTGCAGCTTCAAACCATGATATGTCAAGCAGTATATTTTACAGTGGCTTCTGACTTCCCCTAGAAAGCTCTCCAGCTGGACATAACAGATCCCATACCTTCTCCAGTATAGCAGCATCACTAGAAATATACACACTGTTTTAACTGTTTGACAATCCAAAATGGAATCAAAGAGCAAGGAGTTTATAGAAACTTTTTACATGCTTCATCTGAGTAAGAATCCTTCTAGTTTTAAGACTTACCTTTACGATTGTCTGACTTATCTGAAAAGAATAACAAAAAAAGTTAGGCACAACTTACTTGTGTTAGACAAAGGCAAATGACTTGCAGAAAAATCCACATGAAGCAGGGAAACTTTGTGCAGGAGCCGGGGCTAGCCATGGTTTACTCCTTCAGTCGCCACAGATGGATTTTTAAGGTTACTGAACCCCTCCAATTACCTCCAAATTGCACAACCGGCAAAAAGCACAGCTGTTGTGCGGATGAGTGTTGGAGGAGGGTAGCTAGACTGGAGGAAATCTGATGTCTAGAAAGGAGGGATTGAATGACTCCAGCTTTTTAACCCTTTGCCCTACTTTTAGCATTGAGCACTTTCTGCCTAGTGCAGTGGTTCTCAACCTTTTTAATGCCGCGACCCCCAACCGGTCGTAAGTCGAGGACTACTCAACCGGTCATAAGTCGAGGACTACTCAACTGGTGCAGCACCATTTGCAGAATGGGACTTTTGGCGGGCTCAGCAGGGCAGAGACAGCCTGGATAATTCCTGTTGGCTTTTGAAAGCCAATAGAATTAGACTGTACTCAAGAGAGTCTATTCTACTGGCTTTCAAAAGCCAATAGAATAAAAGGGAGTAGCACAGCTAAGGAAAAGGGGGGGAAAATGGCGGACTGCGTTGTTTAGCAACCCCTGTGAAATGGTTGTTCGACCCCAAATGGGGTCCCGACCCACAGGTTGAGAACCACTGGCCTGGTGCTTGTCTCGATCTGTGCTGCAAAGGGCTTCATTGGACAAGGAGAGACACCTTCCCATCCTGAAATATGTATTTCTTAAAGCTTTGCTTTAAAAGGGAACTATATTATGGCATTTTGAATACAGGTAATCCTCGACTTACAACTTGTTTAGTGACCGTTCAAAGTTACAACGGCAAAAATGAAAAATCTGACATGACCGTTTTTCACAGTTACCTTTCCAGCATCCCCGTGATCACATGATCAAAAATTCAGAAGCTTGGCATCTGGTTCATATTTGTGACCGTTGCAGTGTCCCAGGGTCCTGTGATCACCATTTGTGACTTTCTGACAAGCAAAGTCAATGGGGAAGCCAGATTCACTCAACAATTGTGTTACTAACTTAACAACTGCAGTGGGTCACTTAACAACTGTGGCAAGAAAAGTTGTAAAATGGGGCAAAACTCACTTAACAAATGCCTCACTTAACAACAGAAATTTTGGGCTCAATTATGGTCGTAAGTCGGGGACTACCAGTATTTCAATGTTGAAAAGCAAGGTTTGCCCTTAATATTACCGAGCTCCTGATGGTGAGTTCACTGCATGTTTCCCTTTGAGGACGCCGAGGATCACAATGAATCATCAGCCACTGGATCTCAAACTGAGAAGAGAGCAAAAGGGAGGCAGTAAGAGGAAGAGAATTTTATAAAACTGATACTGCATTATTGATCATCGTCATTCAGCAATAGAACCACTCTAAGGCTAGTAATTATTTCTTTGATGGTATCCTTTCCTTAAGTCTGAAGATTGAGAGTTGCATGACTTCCTCACTTCGATCCTCACAGTTTTGTGATATAGTTAATCACTGACACCATTCACAAATAGAAAATGGAGACTGAGAGGCAGAGATGATCCCAAAACGATCTGATAATTCCATTTATAAATTAAAAATTGAAACAAGAATTTCAAACTCAGAGGATGAACTCTGGACCACAATGGCTAGAACAGGTGATAACAAAAGAGTTAAAAATAAGCAATACAAGCTTGGTCACATGAAAACAATACTTAAAGATAGCCCTCAACATATGACTAGTTGCTTAGCAACTGTTTGAAGTTGCAATGGACCCTAAAAAAGGAACTTACAACCCAGTTTTCAACTTCTGACATTCATTACCCTCCCATGAACATGTGACTGCATTTTAGTCTCTGAGCAACCAGGCCTCATTTACGGCCATTTGCAATGCCCCATGGTCACATGACCCACAATTTATCATGCTTTTGCCAGAAACCAACATTTATTTCTGGGGGGGGGGGAAATCTGCCCCTTAGGAAACAATGGGTTCACTTAACAACTGCCACATATCCTTAACAATTGCTGCAAAAAAAGTTGTAAAATTGGGTCTAGTCCCATGGTGATCCAGCTTAATAAGAATCAAAACTTATTACCATAAATTGTGGTGCTCAATTATAGTTATAACCTGAGGACTACCTGCACTTGATTCCTAAATGAAGCTTAGGAAATGCTAACAACGCAAGTCTTTGTTTAGACCAGGGGTAGGCAACCTTGGCTCTTTTATGACTTGTGGACTTCAACTCCCTCAGGAATTCTGGGAGTTGAAGTCCACAAGTCATAAAAGAGCCAAGGTTGCCTACCCCTGGTTTAGACATTCATCTCTAATGACCATTTCCAAGAATATCATTTACCATACCATTCCTACAGAATATACTGATTTGCAGAAGTATATAGCAAGGCTTTTCAACCAGTGGTACGGGTACCACCTGTGGTACATTGGCACCTGGCAGGTGGTACATGACCATCCTAGAAAAGTGGTAGCAGGGGAGGGGAATGAGCTGAATCGGTGGCAGCACCGCACAAGCCTGAGTGAGAGATGGCTGGAGCTGCAGGGCTGTCAGGGCTCAGCGGAAGCGCCAGGATCTGTACCGCTTTTCAGATGATCGGCACTTCTTCAGGGCTGTCAGGGCTCAGTGGAAGTGCCAGAATCAGCGCCAGGCTCCAGCTGGTGCTCTGCGCTGATCCTGGTGTTTCTGCTGAGCCCTGAAGAAACACCAATCAGTTGGAAAGCAGCAATGATCCTGACGCTTCTGCTGAGCCCAGAAGAAGCGCCAATCAGCTGGAATGTTGCAGCATCTCCAGGGTCTTGTGATTTACATTCATATGCTTGGCAACTGATTCATATTTATGACTGTCACCGTATCCCAGGGTTATGTGAAGTGACCAAAACCTGCTGCAACCACCCAGCAGACAGGGGGAATAAAAACCAAACACCCCCCACCCCCGCTGCCAATCCTCAACAGACATGCTCATAACAATGAAAACTTCGGATAGGAGGAAGAGCACCGCTGGGCAGGCAAGCAGGTGTCTTGCTCGGCTGTGGCTTGGGGGGCACTTTTTTCAGTGCCATTGTAACTTTGAAGAGTCACTAAGTGAATGTAAGTCGAGGACTACCTGTACTTTATCGCTTTTTTCCTTTTGGGGGGGGTCATCAAGTTTTTGACACCTTGCCAGGCGACTGGTGGTACTCGGATGTTGCCATAGCCTAAAAGTGGTACAATGGGTGAAAAGCCCTGGTATATATCATTTAACAAAAGGACAAAAAATTAATTCTATGATATATTTTCTTCCAGGAGAAATTTGCTCTTGTAAGTTGTGCTTACCTAATTAATTATTTCATTTTATTTTTATCAACTTTGGTTGACAATTTTACTTTGGTTAACTTGAAGGTCACTTCAAGTGTTAAACACCATGTCAAGAACTCCATTCTCAAATTAACAGGGACAGGATCCAGTTTTGGAATTACAGTGTTAAAGATTGCACTGTTACGTTAAGCATCTACTGTAGAACATTAGAACAGCCTTTGTGTCCCTTAACTCTCCAGACCACAAACAAAGCAAAAAAAAAATAATGTCCACAATTTTGTCTCATTGACTCTGAGCAGCCCCTTCCATGCAAAGTCACACTTTTCACACACCCTTATATAAAAAATTGAAATGGTAATTTTTACTAATTTAGTCCTATTGATTGTATATTCCCACTATTTATAAATAATATCTTTCTAGACTGATTCTTTCAGAAAAATTCATGTCATTGTTTCCCTTTGGAGAGCTAGAATTCTAATGCTATATCAATATGCTGTCAATATTTTTGTTAAATTCAAATTATATTTGTTGGATAGGAGAAAATATGGTTCATTTTCTTCCAGAACACTGAATAAAGATGAACATTTATTTGGGATAAAAGAATTGAATGCTTATCAAAATGGAATCCTGCAAACTCAGTTCATGTAAGGCAAGGTCATAAGATGGGGTGGGGTGGGGATAGAACAGGGGTCTTCAAACTTGGCCCTTTTATGACTTGTGGACCAACTCCCAGAATTCCTCACCCAGGCACGTTGGCTGAGGAATTCTGGGAGTTGAAGTAAACAAGTCATAAAAGGGCCAAGTTTGAAGACCCCTGGGATAGAATGTCAAAAAAGGTAATATGAAAGTTGCTTTTCTCTGAAGCATTTACAGTTTCATTCTTTGGTTTTTTTTTAATGTTTCATAGAATAATTGTCAGTGATTTTGCTTTCGTTTTTCCCCCAATTCTGGAATTTTAGATACTCGGGAAATATTCTATTACATTCCTTCTACATTCTCATTGCACATTACCTGCAGATTAACCAGATTTTCAATCATTGGGAACTGCTCCTGATGCCAAAAGGACTTTATTCATAGATGCACATTTACAATCACAGTGCTGCTTCAACCAGTTGTCTTTTAATATCATTAAATATATTTGAAAATTCTCCCTGTTTTCAGATATCTTCAGAAAAGAAAGCAATAACGTATATACACATTTTTGCCTCCCATGCCTAATTTGCAAGTTTCCAATTATGGAATGTAACTAATTTAACACAGATTAGTCTTAAAGATTGTAATTAACTTATTCTTCATCCCCTCCTCCTGTCAATGCATGAATGGAGAAGAATGAAGAGGGGAATCTATGCCCCTTTACTATGAGTTAGCACCTTCCTTTTACAATTTTATGCAGCATGGAACAAGTCTTCTTGCACGGAAGAGGTTCACTTCTTCCGACTTCCTTTTGCATGTATTTACAGTAACACCTAAAAGGCAGGAAACTGCAAGGCAGAGTCAGCTTTCTTAGCTTGATTAATACAATACAGGCAATCCTTGACTTACAGCCCTTTGTTTAGTGACCATTCAAAGTTATAACGGCACTGAAAAAAAATGACTTACAACCAGTGGTGGGATTCAAATATGTGAACAATCAGTTCTCTGTGTGGATGCTGCTTTTGGAAGTCCATTCTGGGCCTGGGCAACAAAAAATTAGCTACTAGTTCTGCTGAAGGAGTGCAAACCAGCTGAATCCCACCACTGCTTACAACCAGTTTTCACATTTATGACCAGTGGTTAGATTCAGCCAGTTCGCACAAGTTCGGCAGAACCGGTAGCTAATTTTTTGTTGCCCAGGCCCAGAATGGACTTCCAGAAGCGGCATCCACACAGAGAACTGGTTGTTCACATATTTGAATCCCACCACTGCTTACGACCATTGCAGCATCCCCATGGTCACATGATCAAAATTTGGGCACTTGGCAACTGGCATGTATATATGACAGTTGCATTGTCCCGGGGTCATATAATCATCATTTGTAACCTTCTCAGTTGGCTTCCGACAAGCCAAGCCAATGGGGGAAGCCAGATTCATTTAACAGCTGCAGTGGTTCTTCTAACAACTGTGGCCAAAAAAAGGTTATAAAATGGAGCAAAGCTCTCTTAGCAACTGCCTTGCTTAGCAGTGGAAATGTTGGGATCAGCTGTGATCGTAAGTCAAAGACAACCTGTATACTGACTAAACCGTGATGAGCTATTTGACAAATGCATTAAGGCAAATTCATTCAGTTGTATTAATAAGAGAAAACATTAACCATTTCATGCAGAGGCAGTCAGTGATCCTCTGCATAATGTTGCTTGCAAGGGGGATAAGAAGTAACCATATGCTGGGACCATTATTAGCTCATGATATAAAACGGCAGGGCAGTTATTGATTTATTGACTTATTGATTTATGATTAGATTTTATCCTACCTTTGTTACATTATAAGGAACTTAAGGCAGCAAGCATACCTAATACTCCTTCCTCCTCCTATTTTCTCCACAACAACATCTCTGTGAAGTTTTTGTGCCTAAGGCAGGACTGGATCTCATAGCCCCCCCCCCCCCCCAGTTCCTAGGCCAGGAGACTACTACACCAAATTCCTCACCAGCTTATGGGAAACATTCATTATTATTTTAAGTCCATAAAGATCTCTGTTTTAAAGCATGATTAATCTTTCTTCTATTGATATTTCTGTAAAAAGATTTATAAGAATTAGGTTTTGCATCATTTAATCCAAGTTGGGTATGTTCCCTACACTAGTAGTAGGGTTATGAATACAACCTGATACATACAATGCAGTACCTGGCTTAACTTAAATAAAATACTCCAATAACTAAGTTAGACATATGTCCCCACACATACTTGTATGGACATATTTATGGCAACTGTTTACTAAGACACAATAATATCTCTGTCATATTCAAGTCAATTTTATTTCATTCTTTAAAGTAAGAGGTAGTCTGCAGTGATTGCCCATATGTTTGTTAATGCCTTTATTTTATATCAGAGGTCCCCAACCCCCAGTCTGTGGACCGGTACTGGTCCACAGCATGCCAGAAACCAGTCCGCGCAAACCAGAGAAGCCCCATCTGCGGGATGCAAGCAGCATGCAAACCCTATACCCCCTTCCAGTCCATGAAAAACCTCTCTCCATGGAACCAGTCCCTGGTGCCCAAAAGGTTGGGGACCTCTGTTTTATATCATTGGAGTAAAGCTCAGGAAGATCTTCAGCCAACACAAAATAAGTACACATTAAAACCCAAAAATACACTAAGGCAGAAGCTTGTCCACCCCAGGAATAAAACACCCAGACACAAACTGAGCAACTTGGTATATGCAGTACACTTCAGTAAGACATGTGCAGATCTGTATATTGGGGAAATAAAATAACCACTTCATAAACGCATGGCACAACATAGGAGAACAAACCCATCAGGATAAGATTCAGCAGTCCATCTGCATTTAAAAGACAAAGGCCACTCTTTCGAAGATAGCAAAGTCCACATTTTGGACAGAGAGGATGGCTGGTTTGAAAGAGGGGTCAAAGAGGCCATCTATGTCAAAACTGAACAGCCCTCTCTCAACAGAGGGGGAGGGAAACGACATCATCTATCTCCAGTCTACAACACAGTTCTTTCAACAGTTCCAAGAAGGCTCCATAGCCATTTGCACTACTCAGGTGACCCCGAGGACACAGATAAACCTCCAAGTGGCCTCAATGACTCTTTAAAAGAATGCAAATGACCAGCTGTCTGCAAGGAGTATAAATCCTTCCATTTCCCACCATCCAATCAGAGCTGAAGAAGCTTCTTGGATGAGAAGCGATACGTCTCCAAAGAAAAACCAGAAAGTCCAGTTGCCTCTTGAAAAAGCACATTCGGGACAACCATGACCTGAATGACTGAAAACCTCCATAGACATTGGAATAAAGCTTTATTATGCTATTAGAAATAAAGCAAAGTGTTGCCTTTGCTCAAAGATATCTAAGCCTTACATGTCCTCTTTTCAGCTACCATAGATGGCAGGTTCTTCACTCTTTAATTCTATCTATGAAAATGAATAAATATTCACACCAACAAGCATCTTTTTACAGTTGAATCCATTGCTCTAATCTGGTCAATGTCCGGAGGTTCTCAATCTCTTGCCAAATGCAAGATATGTTCCAAAATAAAGTACTAGTTTTATTCTTTAAAATGTTTCATATTACTCTTAGATAAAAAGCATATGTAGTCTAGATTTTGGAACCATGGTCTTCGTAGGAAGGGGATCACATCTTCCATATCAGGAAGATACAGTTTCCATTCAGACTTTTTATGATATTCTTCAGTACCAGAAATAAATCCTATAGTCATAAGCCGAGCCACATTTATTTTAACTGACAGCATAATTAATTTTAATAAGCTGCTTAACGATAATATAATTCAAAGTGATGGTTCAATTTGCAAAAGTTTTGCAGATGTTAGTTACATATCCTTGCAATGAGTTAAGATGTAAATTTTCAGCGGATCCAGGTTCCTTTTTAGTCTGTTCTATTAATTATCTCCTGTTTTCATCCTGTTTCCCTTCAGTAGCTATGCAGTTTGTGAAATGTTCACTTAAAACAAATATTCAGATATTTATTTATTGTCAAGATTGAATTGCTGAGATGCTTGCTGATCTCTGTCACCACTCAACTTGCCATAGAAACAAGGGGGAGGGAGATCCTAGGAAAGAAACAGGATTTTCAAGAAGCCATCTACAGACCGTGAGACCCAAGGTCACAAAAACAGGTGACTGACAGAAAAGTTAATCATTCCCATAAAAACTGAAGAGATCTGATTGGGCAACGTGAACATTTGGTGAATGGGGGTTATGAAAAGCTATTGTTAACCAACCAGATTTTTGTGCAGGAAAATTAGAGTTGGTTTTGCTTCTTCAGTGCTGGATGTGTATTCAATAAAGTTTATCTCTTATGGCACCTCAAGACCGTAGAGTTCCTTCAATATTGATTTCTCTGGCTGGACGGTTGATTGACAGTTGTAATGAGGTTTCAGTCTTTATACCTTATTAAGTGATACTTTTTCCTTACAAGGTCAAAATTATTGAACTATTTCTTAATGTTCCATTTGAAACATATTATACTGTTGGCCTCTATTACCATATACAATTTCTTTAAAAATTGGGGGGAAAAACCACTTTTGCTATAAAGGGAAATGTCTACAACTTACCGGAACTGAAATTTGAGGATTATTTTTCAGTTTTCCCAATGTGGTAAAGCCATCAATATTGATCTTCCCCCTTGGTTTTATGGGTAATGTTTGTATCATAGCACAGTCAATATAAAGTGTAGCAGAATTCTTGTCTATACCGACCATAACTTTATGCCACAGGGAATCAAAAAGATAAGGTAAATCCAAAAATGAAACTGTCTGGAGACTTCCATCAATTCCTTTATATGAGAATTCAAGACATTTGGCTTGCCCATTAAGCTTCAGTCCAACTTGCTCTTTTCCAGAGGAATCTAGAACTTGCCATAGGCTCCAGGATTTCCGAATTGTATTCCCCGTCATCCGAAAAGTAGTCAGAATGGAGTATTGATCAGGTAGTCCTTGAGGATACAAGGATCTATTTAAAAAATACAAATAAAACAGGCTGCTTACCAAGTTGACTTAACACAGATTATCATTTCAGAGAAAGAAAAGAAGAAAAAATCAAGAAGCTACTATCTAAAGACAACACTAACAAACAGATTCATCTGAATCTGAACCAATAATTCCACTTTACTGTCAGAGAGAGATGCAGTAGTATTAGCTTACTCTATGGAAGAATTAAATCAAGACAAGGCCTGAAGCTCATGACCTTTTATCCATTACAAAACAGTGCTATGGATGAATCCAAAACTGCCATCTAAGAGTGCTAATCGGATTGCTGAAATCAAGTTATCCCGTGTTCTGTATTATTTTCCCTTGTAAAGTTGTAGTTTGGATTAAATATTATACTATTAAAACAGATTTTTTTTTCTGGCTGTACCAGATTCTTCAGATTTGCTTTAGTCAAAGTCTGCATTCCAACACTATTCACCATCTGAACATCTGTCCTTCCCGTTTTTCTTTGATAGCCTTTGCTATGCTAAATTTCTCACTTGGGGAATTGGTTTCTTCCATGTTTGTGCCTATATACTTTCTTCCAGCTTCAAAAAGCATCTCAAGACATTTTTAATTAATTAAGAAAAGAGGACAACTTGTCTGTTACCGTGTCAGGGGCCACCAATCATTGCCGGAGCATGTGATTAATTCATCTTGACTGGCTGTGAAGTGTTGAGGTTAGTTTCAGTGATAAATTATTGGGCTGAAAGCAGTGAATAAATCTCATCCTCCACCCCTATATGCAATATTGCCCCTCTGATCTCTCTCATTAGGTTTGTAGTTTTGTACAAAATCTGAGATGATTAACAAGTTTTATTTTAAAGAAACCTTAATCCATTTCTCCTCCGGGTCTGATATATGTATTATTTTTTTTCCCCTGTGGTGTCTTTATAAATGCTGTAAGTCATGAGTATGTAAGTCCTCACAAACTGAGAAATCAGGTTTATTTTTCCAAAGCAGCATTTGTTTCTGAACACAACCTTGTTCTGGCAGACTTTTGTAAGAAAATATGTGGAAGAATTGAGCACATAGGTACTGTAGGTAGACATTAGTTCTCAAAGAAAACCTGTTTGTGTTCCCAGCTCCAACAAATGTAAAACATCTTAGGTGCATACTTTTAAAATATTATTTAAAATGTGCTATCCAACTCAGCACAGATGCAATTGAATTTATTTGCAAAATGCAATACCAAGTGGTCCTAGCTAGTGTCTATATGTTCTTCATTCTGGTCCCCTGATCCCAGTGGGCTCCTTGCATATAAACAGAATAGTTGGCTAGTCATTTTTTAACTACTTAATTTATTAGGCTTACACCTGGCCTGTTCTTCAGGATCTCAAGTGACTTACACAGGGATCTCCATTTATTTCATTTCACCTTGATACAACAATGGCTAGGAAGCACATTGGACTGGAAAAAGGTGAATTCCAAATCACATGTTGCACTCTTGTGGTGGATTTAAAGCTGGTTCAATACCTTAATCATTACACACCATGCTACAGAAGCAAAGTAATAAGAGTTCTTTCCTGTAATCACTACAAAGATATTTCAGACTCTAGCTGTGGTTTCTGTGAGTTTCAAACTATCCAACTGTGGTTACTGACCTAAAAGTACCTTTTAGGTACTTCACTTCCTCAGAATGCAAAATAGTTGAGTCAGCATTACAGTTTGATTGAAAATTCTAGGGGTAATTGTAATGATGTCTGGGTCATCTCTTCATCCCAAGCACAGATATCAACAGGACCACTTCAAAGAAGTTTTAAAACCTTTAATTTCAGTGCTGATTGTGATCGACTTATATGCAAAAGTGCAAAAGGCTTTCTTCTACATAGACACAAATGTTTTAAATTCAAAATCTTTCACAAACTGTTTTGGTCTTGAAACAAGGGATCTGAATTCAAACCAGGGTGTTTCACTTTAAAACGTGGAATTTTAAACATTTTGCACACTGCTACTTCCTTTGATATTGACTCCATATCAGTCTGTATCTATTTACGTATTCTCTTGTATACCTGTTATACAAATATACATACATACATATACACACACCCAAATATATATTGTGGTTATTTTTCTTTCACTACACATACCTATGCACATATAAACACATCCTTGCTCATCTATGCTATATTTACTTTCTTTTCTCTTTCTTTACTTCCATAAATCAATTGAATAAACAAAGAAGTATTCACAGTTCTATGCATCAGTCCATAAGAATCTCTTCATAGGACTCTTTCAGCAGACCATTGTGTTAGATGATCATATGCATTTCAAATTTTGGACAATTGAAAGCCAGATTGATAGTGGGACTTTTTTCTCTCTATTATGCATTGGTAGTACCAATCTAATATTAATCTGCATACCAGATTAACATTCAATCGTTTTGCCTCAAGTATCATGGCTGAAGTCCAAACCTTGGATTCATGTACTGAAATAATGGTTTTAGAAGACCTTAGTTTGACTGAAAAGCTATATGTCACCTCTTTCAGGCTATATGAATTTATATTATGCCCAGTCCTTGCTGGAAACTATATCAGCCATAGGAAGATTATTTATTCATTGGGGGGAAAGGAAAATGGATAAAACAAAACAGATAAACTTCTGCTTTTTATTAGTTTTCAAGGTTTCCTTGGGGATATGCAAATGGGAAGCAGAGAGTAATAACCCAAAAATTATTTATTCTGAAATGAATCTTGCCAATGCCAACAAATACTGAATATACACGTTGGCATTTATTAGCCTACTCCTGATGCAGCATTTGTAACATATTTTATTTTATTTATTAGAATATTCCATAACAAATAAGCTAAGGCAGATGAAATAACATTAATTAAATGTAAGCTTCCACGAAGACAGAACAGACTATTTAATAAACACTACAAAAAACACTCTCATTCTAGTCCTGATATTTTTAGTATCCTCTAAATTCTCCCCAGTTATTCCTTGAAATTATCTCTATGTATGCTCACTATGTATATAATATTACAAAGGAAACAATGATAAAAAATAAGTGATGTTACTTAGAAGACAAAAGCAAACTATTCAGAAGGAGAGAAATAAGTGAAACTTTATTTCAGTATTTTAACTAAAGTCATTTTAAAAACTGGACCTAGTAATTCTTCAGCACTTTTCCATCATTAGACTTGTTCTTGAGTGAAAATAAATTGCTGATTGCATATAATGCTGCCAAGGCATCAGTGAGGCATACTCAAGTATAAAATGCTGCACCCCTATACATTGTCACCAGAGAAGAAAATTGCAACCAAGTTTAAAAGAGTGATACATAGAAGAGATTTGTTTTAAAACATTAAGCACTGCTTTTCTAGCTTACAGAAAAATCTACTAATTGAGTATCTCAATATAGAACTGCTCTTGTGGCATCACCCTATTCTTGTGGCATTTCTTTAATGTTTTATTCTGTATTCCCATTTTCATGGTGTTATAAGCTCCCCAGAGTTACTCAACAATGAGACAGAGTGGCATATAAATTTAATTCATTGACTAAATAAATTTCAATAGATAGAATTCATCTATTCCTTTGCAACTAAGCTCCAAGTCTCTTTGGGGGGGGGGAAGAGATTGCAAACAGTCCATTAGAACTTTTACTGTTTGATATACCACTTGTGTACTCCCATTTGTTTATGTTAAATAAAGGCTTTACAACCTTACAAGACTGCCACAGAATTTCATTATTAATATTTTAGCTTTTGGTAGAATGCAGTGTTTCTAATAGAGCTTTTAATGAGAATGATTATGAAAAGAGCAAACAAGCATTCCACTGACAACAAAAGCCTGAAAAAATGAGAGAATTTGCAATAAAGAAAAAAAGACTTTACATTCTTCAATTAATATTTACAACTGTATCTCAGCCTTTTCCTTCTTAAAGATAGCAGTCTGTTCAAACAAAAGAAATCATTTTTAAAATGTATGTTTGGGGATGGGCAGTATATCTTGAATACTCCCCCACACCCCAATTATTGAAGGTTTTTAAGAAGAGACTGGACAGCCACTGGTCTGGAATGGTTTAGGGTCTCCTGCTGAAGCAGAGGGTTGGACTAGAAGATCTCTAGGATCTCTTCCAACTCTGTTATTCTGTTAAATCTGTTTTAATATAAGTAAGCCTCCAAATAATTGTTGGACTCCGATTTTAAAATGTAGCTTTTATTTGCACCTATTATTGTTTGTGAGTGGAATAAATGTGCAAAGCTGTTTGAAAAAAATGCTACTATATAAAGGAAAGTTTCTATCAGTAATTAATAAAGCTGAACTGGAAATAGCCTCTTCTGGATTTAAGTTGCCTGTGAGAAGCTATAAAGATACATTCTTGTTTTTCCCTTCAATTTCTGGTGACAAATTCTGATATGAGGGATTTGGGCAAAATACTTGATAATTGAATTCACTCTTATCTACACAACAGTCTCCCCCTAAGCCTACCTCCAAATTAATTTTACGTTAACATTTTTCTCACAATGCAAAATTCAATACAGAGCAATTCTGATGTTATTATGCTGCAAAGAAACACATGGAAAACAATAACATAAAATCTATTGTTGGAAACACAGGAGGAAAAATAGGGAACTGGAAACTGGGGGAGGGGGGAAACACCACAGATTCTGAAATAAAACCTGTAAGAGATTAATTCACATTTGGATGCAACTGACAGAGGATTGGTAGGCTCCTACTTTTGTCAGTAGCATTTTTAATCTTAGGGATTAACCCTTAATTCGAACTACTTTTGCAATTCCTTGAGGGGAAATTTGTTAGGATTTTTTAAACAATAGCAACAGTCATACTAAAGTATAAACATCTCTGTTTGGGGTTTACAACAAGAAGAATGAAAACCACCACAACAGTAAAAAGAAGTCAGTTCCAAATTGCACAAATGCAAGGAGAGGGAAATGTCGATCTACCGAAGCCCGTTACAGCAACACAATAACTAAGCATCTTTCAGCACCAGTTTTGGTGAACAGCACCACTGAGCTTCCACAGCCACTAGATGGCGGTAGGTCCAAGACATACATTTTAAGAAAATACAGAGCCCTTTCAACCGTATCCAGCCAAATTATAGAAAAACTCACACATTCCCCACATAATAGCTGGCCGCTGTTGTGTCCCAGACTAATATTAAAAATAATTACATGCTTCATGTAAAAATAAATGATAGCGCAGTGTGTGAGGGATAAACAGCTTTATTAGCCAGATTCAGGAGCCAATATATTACTCACATTCAGGTTAGGCCAGTGGTTCTCAACCTTTCTAATGCCGTGACCCCATAATACAGTTCCCCATGTTGTGGTGACCCCCAAGTAGGTGTGGCCACCAATAAGAGGGAGTAGGACAGCTAGGGAAAAGGGAAAAAAATGGTGGACAGCGTGGTTTGGCGACCCCCATGAAATGGTCGTTCGACCCCAAATGGGGTCCCAACCCACAGGTTGAGAACCACTGGGTTAGGCGATCTGAACAAAATATGTTATAAACTTATTTGAGATCTCTTCTGCAATTCATTCATGGGTCGAACACCACCACCCCCTTTTAATTTAACTCTTAGAATGATATTCCTGATGCCCCACTAAGCCAGATTTCATGAGCTCTTGACAGCTAACACAGGATTGTGATTGCTGGGTAAATACTTCAAAGGCTTAAATGGTTTACTCTGCAGAACAGAAAGGTGTCTTATCAGAATATAGCCTTTCTCATTTAATGCTGTCCAATATCCTTGCTTAATGTTCTTCATTTTTAATTCCAAAATAAATGAAAAGTTGGGCAATGGAAAGTTTGACGCAGTTATGCTTCATAAAAACTAAGGAAAATAGCACTGGGCTAAATTTGAGAAGAGTTTTCTCATTCCTATTATATATTTCCAATGGATACTTGGGAAAAAGTTACAGAAATATGAAATATGTATATTTAGACCTGAATATAAATATCAATGAATAAAAATGAAGACATATTCATTAAAAAAAGTGATAAAAGAACAATAGGGTAGTGTTCATAATCATAAAGTTGGGAGGGTCCTCAGAGGTCATCTAATCCAACCCTCTGCTCAGGCAGGAAACCCTATACCATTTCAGACAAATGACTGTCCAGTCTTTTCTTAAAAACTTCCAGTGTTGAAACATTCACAGAATTTGGAGGCAAGTTGTCCACTGATTAATTGTTCTAACTGTCAGAAAATTTCTCCTTAGTTCTAGACTTGGAAGTCTGGACTAGAAGACCTCCAAGGTCCCTTCCAGTTCTATTCTATTCTATTCTATTCTATTCTATTCTATTCTATTCTATTCTATTCTATTCTATTCTACTCTACTCTACTCTACTCTACTCTACTCTACTCTACTCTACTCTACTCTACTCTACTCTACTCTATACTTTACTCTATTCTAATTGTAGGCTTCCCACTCAATTAATAGTCCTAAATTTTCCAGCACTATAATTGTACAGAAGGATATCAAATGCAGCTATTATTCCTCAACGTGGGAAGGGTAATTCATTTTTACTTATTTTTTTATATTCTGCCTTTATTATTTTTACCAATAAGTCAAGGTGGTGAACATATCCAACACAGTTTTGTTTGGCCCACAGCAACAACCCTGTGAGGTAAGTTGGTCTGAGAGAGAGAGAGTGTGACTGGCCCAAGATCGCCCAGCTGGCTTTCATGGCTAAGGCAGGACTAGAACTCATGATCTCTGGCTTTCTAGCCCGCACAATTTTTAAAAAATGGCTGCTCAGTGAAATAAACAGACAATCTTAATAGAAAAATAATAAGGAAAAGCAAAAAAAAATACCTAGTAGGAATCCTGAAGTCTGCTTTGGTACCTAATTTATAAGCAACTTGTAAAGATGTGGAACCCTCTAGACGTTGGATAATGCCTCTGGAAGCAGCGTTATCAAGCTGGAATTGTGAAATTAAGTCATAACCTAAAGTAAGGAATACAAATATTTGAGAAAAAAAATAAACCACGAAATTATGTAGTTAAATCTTTTTTCCCTGCTATTTTTTTTCTTTTGATACATATTTTCTGATTAACTCAACTTTTTGCTATTCAAAATTCAATTTCAGATAGTTAAGTTTCTTAGTAGTTCACATTAGAAATATACAGGTGTGTCACCTTGAAAATAATAAATGATGGCATAATTAAATAATATATAAAGCAGCTTCTTTCAGCCACATTCACTTCACAGAACAAAAATAAGTGGTCCTTAAAAAAGATAATAATAATAACAACAACAACATCATCATCAACAACAACTATAACACCCCAGACTTAACAATTGTCGATAAGAAAGACAAAAAAGTCTGGATAGTGGACATGGAAGTGCCTGGAGACAGCAGAATAGACGAGAAAGAACTGGAGAAGATAACAAAATACAAAGACCTACAAATAGAAATAGAAAGACTGTGGCAAAAGCAAGCAAGGTAGTACCAATAGTAATAGGCTCCTTAGGTGCAATCCCAAAACAACTGGAGCACCACTTGAACACCATTGGCATTGACAAATTCGCTATTAGTCAATTGCAAAAGGCGGCCTTATTAGGAACTGCTTCCATCCTGCGACGATATCTGTAATACCATCAAACATCCACATCTGCCTATCCCAGGTCCTGGGTAAGGTCTCGATAGGTAGACAAAATGCCAAATCCAGTCTGAACATCTGGCTGACTGTGCGATGATCCATAATAAAGTTGGAAGGGACCTTGGAGGTCATCTAGTCCAACCCCCTGCTCAGGCAGGAAACCCTATACCATTTCAGACAAATAGCTGTCCAGTCTCTTCTTAAAAACTTCCAGTGTTGACGCATTCACCGCTTCTGGGGACAGGTTGTTCCACTGGTTAATTATTCTAACTGTCAGGAAGTTTCTCCTTAGTTCTACGTTGCTTCTCTCCTTGATTAGTTTCCATCTGTTGCTTCTTGTCCTGTCTTCAGGCGCTTTGGAAAATAGCTTGACTCCCTCTTCTTTGTGGCAGCCCCTGAGATATTGGAACACTGCTATAATGTCCCCCCTCGTCCTTCTCTTCGTTAAACTAGACATACCCAATTCCAGCAACCGTTTCTTATATGTTTTAGCCCCCAGTCCCCTAATCATCTTTGTTACTCTTCTCTGTACTCTTTCTAGAGTCTCAGCATCTTTTTTACATCGCGGAAGATATAATGTAATAACTTGTGTTTACTTGCCTGGTAGATCATCCTGGCCAATCTTGGTTCTTGGGCAGAGGTCCATCCTCATGTTGGAACTGAATGTTATTGGAAATCCTGCAATGAGATTAGACATGCTGCAGTTATCTCTGTCCATTTTGCTGTTGAATGGTCTATGACAGGGTAGGCAACCTTGGCTTTTTATGACTTGTGAACTTCAACTCCCAGAATTCCTGAGTCAGCATAGCAGGTTCAGAAATTATGGGTATTGAAGTCCACAAGTTGTAAAAGAGACAAAGTTGCCTACCCCTGGTCTATGACCTGGAGCAATCTCCTTAGAGGGAGCTTCAGAAAACAAATCAGTTTATTTATTTAGGAACATGTATTAAAAACCTAAAGTACAAACAAGGTCACACTTTGTACAGCTAAAATCAAAAGAAGCCACATTCATGAAGTCAAATGATGCTACAGATGAGATAAGCATATATTGGAGTAAGCAGTGGAGAATCTCAGTTCTTTCCCTGCTATTTCTGAAGATCCTCTGTCTTCCCTAAGATAGCTTTGGGCTAGAAACAGATCTGCAGTGCAGAGTTATTTGTGGTTTGGATAACTTTAAAAAGTTTCTGCCTACATAGTTAGTGAAGTTCATACCTCCACTAAAATCAAAATAAGCAAATGCCAACTCTGCTTTTGAAAAACCTGTCAAAGTGTTGGTGGTCTTCCCTTTTTCTTTCACATTTCAGATATTTTGTTCTAACTCTTTCTTTTCCCATGTTTGATTATACAACATGCTCAGTAACAGGAGGGCAAGTGTGGGAAACCTAACTGAAGATTTCTTGGAAGAACAAACAGTCATTTCACTCTCTCTAAAGCACCACTGTGTGTATGTGGAAAGGGGGAAAAAATCAGCCTATTTAGTGTACCAACCTCACCCGTCCTAATAAAAAAAATGAAAAGGAAAACTAAACATTGGTTCCAGTTAAGCTGTAGAATTCAACCTATGCACTGTTTTAAGTCAAGTTGGAAGATGACTCTGGAGGCTGGAAGAAAGAGTTACAGTTTGAAAGGAGTTTTTTTTTTTTTCCTGACCGCAAAAAGCATTTGGCCTATTCCAAGAAATTTTCTTATAGCTGGTTGATCCCATTATATTTCTAGGATGACCTTCTCAGATTTAGTGCCCTCCAGGACAACCATCTATATCTCAGCCAACATTATGAGTTAGATGGAAATTCGGGGGAATGTAGTACCAACACATCTGGCAGTAATAAATTTAGGAAGGCTGTCCTAGAAAGGCAATGATCATTTTTTGCAATTCTTTGCAAGTCTGACCACTTTTGCTTGGATGGTGCTTGGATTTGTGTATGGATGGGTGGGTGCATATCTGTGTGTATATATAACAACTTCTACAAAGTATCGATGTTCATATTTTTAGTCCTTATATTAATCTTTCTAATTCAATTCCATTCATATCCTCTCCAAATTGTTCCAATATAATCTTTAATCATATCTATTCTTAGAGCTTTCATTTCAAAAATGTAATATATTTCTGTTCTTTTTTAATGTAGTAATAAAACAGAAAAATGTGTCACCACGGAGAGATTGACAGGAAAGTCAGCCAGCAGATTCTATGTTCCCCAAATTCTACTTTGGGGTTTTTTTCTCATCCATTGTACGGGAAGAATAACTTTGCCCTGTAGCAAATAAATGTACAGTTGTCTCTTACATATACCTGAATACAGTAGAACCATTTTGATTACCAAACATTTAGTTAGTGTAATGAAGAAGTTTCTCACTTGTTTGCCCTTGAACAGTAACCAATGTCAAAATCTCCAGAAAGCAACTCACAGACAAGAGAAATTGATACTGCCTGCAAGAAGAAAAAAAAAAACCTTAAAGATAAAGGTAGACTGCCTAATAATCTCATACATTTTCATTTCAGAGTCATGAATATATTCTGTGTAACTTAAATACATAATTCCATGATATTTATTTATTTATGAAAATTTATTTCACCACCCAACTCACTCTTGGTGACCCCCCCAATGGCTTACAAAGATAAAAACCTAACATAAAAATAATTTTAAAAGCAATACCTCCCCTACACACACATATACATAAACTTTCCTTAATACAATAAGCAAGCAATTCTTCTTAAAATGTTTCAGATCTACCACATTTCATTTCCCCATACAACAAAACGTTTGCATCGGAGTCATTCTCTGAAGCATCCTTTCTTACACATACATTATTGCCATAGGGAAATAAAAGCAATAATACAGAGTGCAGCTTTCATAGACTGCTTTGAATACAGTCCATTGAAGTGTCTCCATTTTTAGAGAGTGATTCTTTTAGAAATACATTTGATTGCTTACCAGCCATTCTTCATGTTTCTACCTTCTCGAGAACAGTACTAGATTAGAGAATTATTTTGGATTTTGTTCCCATTAAAGAAAGGTTCAAGGTGCCCCAGAGTCTCTTTGCCCTCTGCAAGGCATCTGCGGAGGAATGGATGTCACACCTCTGAAACTGTTTCAATAATCCTGAGGAAATGTAGAGGTGGGCACTAGGCAAGCTTACGTGTCCTAAACTAGAAGGGAGGGTGAGAAGACTTTGGCTGGCTCATACAAAGAGGAAAGGAGCAGTGGAGGGGTGGGGTGGATTTCAGAAAAAACTTTGGGCTAGCAATACTACCTAGCAAGTGACGGAAGAAAACTAAAGGGAGGAACTAAAAGGAGAACATGAAGGGTCTAGTGCCTGGAACTGACCCAATAAAGTTTATGCATATTTTGGCACATCTACGATTCAGGGTAAATTTAAACCCTTGAGAAAAAAGGAACTTTTCATTTTCACTGACTCTCAGATGAGGCAGCCACTCCTGCAGTACAGGAATTTTGCTGAACAGAACCAGGCAATTTATACAGGATTCATAGATGAGGTCTGAATCTCACCAGATAACAACACAGATAACCCAGTTCAGTTTTCTATCGTGGCTGGTTAATAAATCTGCTACCCCTGTCTTTAGGTTAGCTACGTTTTAGGAATACATAAACATGCCTGCAGACATTTTTCTGTAGCTGGAAAAAGCAATAATTCTTTATCCGGGGAATTAGATACTGCTCGGGTGGATAGAAATAATCTTTAAAAAGCAGTTAGGTCAATATTACTTTGTATGATGTTAAAAATAGGTTGGAAGTGAAACTGGTACACTGAGCAGTGGCTAGTCAAATCTGTTGAAGGACCCAGTAAAGGGAAGTACTCAAAGGTTTGTTTATCCAACCATTTGTTTAGTGACTGTTTAAAGTTACAACGGCACTGAAAAAAGTAATTTATGACCATTTTTCACACTTATGACCACTGCAGCATCCGCATGGTCATGTGACCAAAATTAGATGCTTGGCAACTGGTTCATATTTATGGTGTCTATGAAGTCACCAAGGGTCTAGCTCAGGGGTAGGCAACCTTGGCTCTTTTATGACTTGTGGACTTCAACTCCCAGAATTCCTGAGCCAGTATCACTGGCTCAGGAATTCTGGGAGTTGAAGTCCATGAGTCATAAAAGAACCAAGGTTGCCTACCCCTGGTCCAGCTTGACCCAAAAGTCATTTTGAAATCTTTTCATGATGTCCTTCAGATGTACCTTTCCCTTGGATTTATGGTAGGACCAGCCTTGAAATGAAAGCATGAATGGACAAAGTTTATTATTTAATTGATTACCCTTGTATTTTTATTCTGAAGGAGAAGTGATGACTGTATTGTCAGTTTCAGATTTTAAAAGGGATGTGTGCACATTTGAAAAAGTGGGGGGGAACACTGTTTCCTCCAGTGATTCAGGAATGTCCCAACGTTTTTGAGATAGCCCCAAGAAGGGTGGGAGAGTGGAAGCAGAGGTAAGAAATAAAGTTATGTCTTGCTGAAAATTTGCTCTTGAATATAGCAAGGAATTTTCAATAGAAGCATCAGGGTATTATAAGCCATTATAAACCACCCTGCAAGCCCCAAGATACATGAAGAGGTAGATTCCTCCGTTAATATTTATCCACAATGCAGTCATGTGATTGGAGCAAGCATACCCTGGTTCTTGTGCTCTGCTAAAAAGATAAAACATCAGGCATCACATTTAGAAAAGGGATCTTTGGAGTAAAGGCAGTATAAACTTACCTGGCATAATGTCCCCTTTTTCTTCAGTAATGGTATGTGAGTGCCTAAGAAAAAGGAACTAGAGTTTTCTGAAGAGGCTAGAATTACAAACTGGTATTTTGAAAAGCCCAGTTTCCATCTTAATGGTTTGGCTTGAGCCACAGTATTACTCTTGGCTGTACTTTCTCTGTAATAAGAAAGAGATCTCAATCGGCTTTTTACAGATGGATTTCTAAGAATCCGAAGGCTGGAAGGCACCTAATGGTTTTTGGATCCAGCTCCTTGGTCCATGTAGAAATCTAAATTAAAGCACCTCTGACAGATAGCTGGCTAATCTCTGCTTGAACGCAGCCTGCAAATGGGAGTCTACCACTTCTTTGGGTAACGGGTTCCACTGCTGAATGACTCTTAAATATTTTATACCATTATGTTGGCATCTCTATCTTCTTGGAACTTAAGCCCATTATTCTGTTTACTGTGCTCTAGAACAAGGAGAACACATCTTGTCTTTCTTCCACAGGGTATCCTTTTAGTACTTTCAGTAGTGCTATAGTATACTTCCCTGATCTCAGCTGCTCCAAGCTCTTCGCATAGCAATCACAATCGCAATAGCACTTAGATACAATTTCATAGTGCTTTAAAGCAATTTCTAAGTCAGTGATGGCGAACCTTTTAGAGACCGAGTGCCCAAACTGCAACCTAAAACCCACTTATGCATCGTTGGTGCCGGGTGGGTGTGGCCCATTGGGTGGGCATGGCCAATTGGGTGGGCGTGGCTGTGGTGGTAACAGCAGAGTGGGTGGTACTAAAAAGTTCAATCAATCAATTCCAACTTTGCAAGATCTTTTTTTCCCGCGAGAAGTTTAAATTGACAGGTTGATTGAACCTTTTTTTTTTTTACATGGGGGCCGAGGCCTAAAGCGAAAAGGTTTTATAAAACCCATCTGAAGGCCTAGGACTGGGTAATGGCACACGTGCCCACAGAGAAGGCTCTGATTGCCGCTTCTGGCACCCGTGCCATAGGTTTGCCACCACTGTTCTAAGTGGTTTCCAGAGTCAGAATATTGCCCCCCAACAATCTAGGTCCTCATTTTACCCACCTCAGGAGGACAGAAGGCTGAGTCAACCTTAGGATTCTGATAAAATGGATAGGGTGCTCTTATGAGCTGTGCCATCAGTAGTCTCAATCTGACTCCATCCTTGATCCTTTGGGTAGCTGGGGGAAGTTTTAAGAGCTGAGTCCAAAAAATTATTAATGCCATTCAGAGAGAAGACACTGTTTCAGCTGCCTTTAAAGAGGCACTGGATTATCCCTTTGTGAACCCAGCTATATTGGATAAAAATTGTACAGTCTCCAACCTCCCACCTCCACCTCCCCTGAGAAAGTGGAATCCATCCAGCTCCAGAACACCATAGAAGACATAGATTGTCTGGTGGAGTTGATGGTTTTCAGGATGACATATGTCAGGACCTGGATCTGGGAAATGAATCATTCTTGGACCTATTTAACCTTTCATCAGCATTTGATATCAGTGACCATGGTATTCTTCAGTTACAATTGGAAATTGGGACCATTTTTTACAAGGGCTGCACTCCTTTCTAAGTAGGTGGTTCCTGACAGTGGTACACTCTCCACCCCCTCTCCCTTGGGGTTTCACAGGGGTGCATTTACTCATCTGAGCTGCTTAACAGCTATATGAAACCATTGAGAGAGATAATCCATCAGTTTGGGGTGAAGTTACACGTTGCCATCCTGGGATAAGCCAGATGCAATGAAGGCTGTAATGTATTGGTCATAACTGTTTTAAATCACTTGCTTAATGTCTGACCTACATTGCTGTATTGTTTAACAGTTACTGTTACTGAAAGCCAGACTGGCTGTCTCCATGCTGATAATGAGGTTTGGGGCGGGAAACTGTTACTTTAAACCTATTGGTTGCCACCTAAAGGCTAACTGTATAAATAGCTGTGCAGCAGCCTTCAGGGCTGCTTCTGTTCTGAGTTGATAAACTTGTTGCTGTTTCAACACTCTGCCTCATTCAATGCCTAAAGAACCAAAGATATAACAAAGGTCTTGATGCAATGTCTGGAAACCATGCTGGTCTGGATGAGACAAAACAAACTAAGATTGAGTTGTTGTTTGTCTACAGATCAGTTGGTTCTCTTTTTACTGTGGTGCTACTCTAAATGGGGTGGGTCTTCTTGGATTCTTGTCCCCCTGGAACTTGTGTCCTCTTGAGCTGACAGCTAATCATAGGCAAGGGAAGGTCATAGCCAGCCTTACCCCCTTTAGTAGGTGTGCTCATTGCAACACCACCTAGAGTCAGAAAATCTAGCAATGACGAGACATGTGCGCATCACTACCTGTGTTGCTTACTGAAGTGTGTTGTACCCAGAACTATGTTTGATGAATAGTTGGAACCAAATAAGACAATCCTTGTATTTACAAATGAGGGTTATTATTGACAAGCACCATCCATATTGCAGGCATTACACCAGCTACCAATAGGCATTCAGCTACAATTCAGAGTATTAGTTGTGATGTTGTTCCTAGGTACATGGCAGAGGACCTTCTCCAGGCAGAATTCATCCATCCAACCTGCTCAGCCTAGATGGGGATGCTGCAGGTTCCCAACCAAAAAGAAAGCTATTGGGTATTGGACATCATGTTGGTGACAGACTCCAATTCTATGATAACTTTCCCCATAGGTAAGACCAGCTCTGGCTTTATTTTAAGAATCACGAAAATTATATCATTCTGAACTTTTGAATGTTGATGTCACCTTTAACGTATAGGCTTTCAATCCCTTATTATAGCTCAACTATTTTTAAAAAATTATTATTAAACTTTTAGGCTGCTCACCTCGCCAAGGTGACTGTGATTTTACTTGTTCTCCTGTATCTTTTTATTGTTATGAAAAGGAGCCTTCTGAACCTAGGAGTATATAAATGAGAGAAATGAATAAATAAAAGTGCTCACTATAGCAGTGTGATTAATGGTCAAGAAGAGTCTGATGCTGCAGAAAGAGAGCGTGAAAAGGGGCAGATCGTGGACAGCAGGATCCTTCTCTACTGCCCAATTGTCTCTCATTGCAGGCCAACAAATTCTTGGGAATAAAACACCATAAAACCCCCTCCCCCCCCCCAAACCACAAAGCTTCTTCTATTAACTTCAGGAAGAGTATAGTTCTGTGGAAGCATCTCTTTTTTGTGCCAATTCTATTTTTATTTCACAGCAGATTGCAAATTCTATTACCCTTATTTATAGTAAGTGTCAGCAGTTAGTAGCTTGCGGGCTGAATATAGATTTTTGTTTTTAATAAGATTGCCATCTGGTTTCCCCCATTCCTTCTTACACTTTCCACT